AAAGAAACCAGACAAGTAGTGAATAGGTCTTTATTTCGATCTAAGCGCGGTGACAGTGGAGCATGGGATTATCTGTTCAGACAAACAAAGGCTCTCAACAGTCAATATAAGATGATAGGGAATATAACGCTTATACAAAACAAGGAAGTGAATGAATACTTGAACAATACTGTTTCGGCATATGCTTGGTTGTTTGGGGTCAACTCTGAACCATGCAACCTAAGCTGTTACATGTTTACCAACGACAAACTAGTTGGGTTTAAACTTCTGGCTGGTCACGTCTTAGGGTCATCTTTGCGCCACTAGGGGATAATGATCTGGAGCGATAAATAACCCCCCGAATTCAACGGCTCTGTAAGTCTTCGATATTTAATTCTGACCGCATCAGTTTTAATGTACTGACCTAGCTAAAGGGCTCGGTCATGCATCCGCACCAGATTACGATTGGGCACGCGATGCTTCATTTCTCTCACAACCACCAGCCAGCTTAGATTGATCACTTTTCTGGCTTTTGATTGCTCAGGGTTGGCACATTTTGATTATAAAAAGTGTTACTGGTTATGCCATTGTCAAATTCCGAGTACTTGTTCCATCTTTACCACTATTAACGTCGCTGATTTTTGTGGCGACACAACACTGTTGTCCGTAACACGTTTCCAATCAAGAATCGGAGTATCAGTAGAACAAGAAGTCTTGTCTTGAGGTGTTCGAATATATATATGGAGGATGGTCGATGTGTTGAGAAACAGGTAATTTGAGCAAACCGATTGCTGCGCGAAGTGTGTGACATGGTACACTCAGTTATGATCAGGTGCGGGTGCTTGATCGAGTGCCTAGATAAGGAGTGTATCCAGTAAAACTAATGAGGTCAGCATTAATAATTACGACTAACAGAATGAATTATTTTGGAGAATTTTTTGCGAAAGCGGCATGCAGTGCGACGAGTGCAAAGGCTGGTACCACGAAGTTTGCACGAACTTAACGCCTGCTGCTTTCAAACGGTTCAGTAAGAAGGGTTGTGTGTGGCTTTGTCAACAGTGCTGCTCGGATGCAAACAGCTTGTTAACCGAGGCTATCTCACTGATTAATGCTGCCAAGAAGTGTTTTAGCAAGCATAGTCGGAACGCGTCAAACAGCACTCGATCTGTCGACACGCAAATCAACGTGAAGGAAACTAAGGTGAGTCCGGTGATAGATGACTCACGCCCGTCGAAGAAGGAAAAGCAGTATCCAAAGGGGTCTGCCTTAAAAAAAAGCTCAAGAAAAGCAGGGTCTTCTGTTCCCCGTCTCCCAGATGGGATCCAACAGGAAACACCTAGGAGCCGCAATCGCAAGGCTCGATCGGTTTCGACTGGTAAACATAACACGACCCCTCAGGTCGTCGACAACCCCCCAAAACCCAACACTAGTTTTGACGCAACTGCTACTGCTTCTACCAGCAGCGTTAACGAATGGGTAAAGGTTGTAAGGAAGAAAAGTATTGACATAAAAGGGAAACCTGCCCCCGTAAAAGTAGTTGAAAAATCGAAAGCTGATCATAGAGACCGATCAGCTATTTTTCATAGAATCAAGGAGAGCGAGAGCTCTGAACCTAAAGCTCGTTTTGAGCATGGCATTGTACTGATTAGGCAGCTGCTTAATCAACTCATGCCTCAAAATATGACTGGGGTCACCTTGCTAAAGGTGTATAGACTAGGGAGTCTAACGGACTCGAAACCAAATCATTCCAGACTGCTTAAAGTAGTATTCGGCTCTTCAAACGAACGTGACCTAATTTTACAAAATGGACACAAATTAAAGGGTTCGGGAGTATTTATCCGAAAGGACCTACCGTTGGCAGACCGTGTTAAAAGACGGGAAGCCGAGAAAGAACTACAACATAGGTTAGACGCTGGCGAAAAGGACCTGAAAATTGTAAATTTTCGGGTTGTAAGACTTCGACAGAGAATGATGCCGAAGCCACTCTGGGTGAAGCACGAAGGCACCTAAACAGGCTTCGGATCTGTTACACCAATGCACGAAGCTTACTTAATAAACGATCGGAACTAGGTGTACAGATTGACTCTATAAAGCCAGATATAATCGCAGTAACAGAAACCTGGCTGACACAGGCTATAGAACTTGATTTCGAGGGCTTTACGTTAGTAAGGGCCGACAGAACACAAAAGCGCAAAGGAGGGGGAGTAGCTCTATTCATTAGGAATGCTATCCCATTTACCATTATCGATAGTGTATCCCATGAGAGTGGGACATGCGAATTAGTTAGTCTTCGCTTAAAATGCAAGGGACAAGAGCTGCTGATTGGTTTGGTCTATCGCAGTCCAAGCTGTGAGGCAAATGAGATCCTGTTAAGCAGTCTCAATACTTGGTCCCAAAGTGGTCGATGTCTAATCCTAGGGGACTTTAATGCACCAATGGTAGACTGGGAAAATCTGCGAACTGAATCGTCAGAAAATTCCTTTGAGCAGGAACTAGTTGATGCGGTTATCACATGTGCCCTAGTGCAACATGTGAAAGAAGCGACTAGGTACGACCCGGACACTGAATCATCCTTATTAGATCTTATACTGACTCACTATGAGGATGATGTTGCGAACCTCCACCATATGCCACCCTTAGGTAAAAGTGACCACGCAGTTTTAACTTTCGACTTCCATATAACTGCCAGTCATGAGGACGCGTCAGTCCAGTCCAGACCCAACGTCTGGAAAGCAAACATACCAGACATCATGCACTCAGCATCGTTAATAGATTGGACAATAGACCCAGAGTCCTCCATTGAAACGGCCTGGGACACATTTCGAAAATCATACTTAAAAGTTACCACACCTCACATCCCTTGGACTATACCAAAGGGGCCGAAAAACTCACCACCATGGTTCAGTAGGGAGGTCCGTATCCTTCTCCGTAAGAAAAGGAAAACGTGGGATAGATTTAGGTTACTGGGGACTGATGAGTCAAAATCTCAGTATCGAAAGGCTCGGAACACTTGTGCCTCGACCCTCCGTAAGTCTAGAAAATTGTAGGAAGAAAAACTTGTTAAGGAATCTATAGAATGTCCTAAACGCTTGTATTCCTATATAAACCAAAGGACAAGGAGAAAAGGAAATATTCCTGCTCTATGGGGAGACAGTACTGCTTCATCATTAGTGGAGGACGACTTTGGTAAGGCTCAAGCGTTCTCGAACTACTTTAGCAACGTGTATACCATAGAAGCGCCCTTCTCGTCAGCGTATACAGATCCCCCCATACATACACTGGATAGCGTGACCATTAAAGAACTCGATGTCTTTGGTCTGCTAAATAAGCTTGACATAGGTAAATCCACGGGGCCCGATGAATTACATCCTAGGCTACTGAAGGAATTATCTAACTTCGTTGCGAACCCTTTAAGTACATGCTTTAACCTATCCGTTACGCAGGGTCGCTTACCGAAAGATTGGAAAAACGCCATAGTAAGTCCTGTCTTCAAAACAGGCACGAAATACAAACCTGAGAACTACCGCCCCGTTAGCCTAACTAGTGTGGTTGTTAAAATATTAGAAAAGATTATTCGGAAGGAGCTGTTTAAGTATCTCGATAAAAACCGGATCCTCTCGGAGAAGCAGCATGGCTTCAGAATAGGTTATTCTTGTCTCACTAACTTATTAGTAGCTCGTGAAAGCTGGTGTGCTCTTAGGGACCAAAAGCTACCTGTAGACGTCGCCTTCATTGATTTCAGTAAAGCTTTTGATAAAGTTCCGCACAACCGGCTGTTATATAAGTTAAGACATGTCGGGATTGGAGGTAATTTATTGATGTGGATAAAAGACTTCTTAGTTGGGCGTCAACAAAGAGTAAGGGTGAACTCAAAGTTATCTAGCTGGGAAACTGTGCTTAGTGGAGTGCCCCAGGGTACAGTTTTGGGGCCAGTGCTATTCCTCTTATATGTAAATGATCTTCCTTGTCTCCTATCATCATCGGTCTTGCTATATGCTGACGATGTCAAGATATGGAGAACGATACGATGTAAGAGTGATAGCTTAGAACTTCAAAATGACCTGAAGAAGTTATCTGAATGGTCGCAAACATGGCAGTTGCCGATAAATACTTCCAAGTGTGTTGTGATGCATATCGGTCATCAAGGCACAGATACATACACGATGAATAACACTGAGCTACCTGTCGTCCAGACATACAATGACTTAGGAGTTATCGTTAGTCAAGACTTAAAGACTACTGCACACTGCCGTGCAATAGCCGCCAAAAGTTTTAGAACGTTATGGTCAATACGTAGGGCTTTTAGTCATGTCGACACTAAGACGTTTTTGACTTTGTATACAGTGTTCGTTCGTCCTAAACTTGAGTACTGCATACAAGCGGCTAGCCCCTGCTTTAAAAAAGACAGAGAGCTTCTGGAAAAGGTTCAGAGAATGGCGACTAACCTGGTTCCCGCAATAGCGAAGCTTCCGTATGAATCTCGACTGGCCAAGCTGAACCTTTTCCCGTTGTCATATCGCAGAACTAGAGGCGACTTGATTACAGTCTACAAATTGCTTAGTGATAAATTTGCACCTGATATGCCCTCATTTTTCTTGTCTTCCAAAACAGAGAATTTACGAGGACACTCCAAAAAAGTTCATAAGCCGAGAACAAGTTACTTGTCAGCTGACTATCGACTTTCCCATCGAATCATCAACGAGTGGAATTCACTACCTCAGCACGTGGTTGAGGCTCCATCCGTCGACTCTTTCAAAAGAAAGTTGGATCAACTGAGAGACCACCATTGCCAGGACTAACATAGGCCATCGAGCCTCCTGTCCTTCCCAAACTGAAACTGAAACTGAAACTGAAACTGAATTCATGTCTTTTTTAAGTCAAATTGATTATAAGTACATCTGAATGGGTCACACGAAGGCAGATTAAAATATAGTTCCTTTTGAGTTCTTGGCAAACTCCTTTGCCAAATAGTTATTTGTCCAAGAAGTTTTAATCAACCAACTCCATGATCTACTGCTTGACCTAATCCCGCATTATTTGAACTTCGGGAGACATGACCAAGTCCAGTGATGGTAAAAAGGTTTCGAGTCAGTTGGTGAGTTAATCCCATGACACTTAGTAGTTTGCTAAACTTTTTATTACCTTTGTCTATGTATTCCACAAGTTTCTAAGGTATAAGTATCTGCATTCATGAGCCGAAAGCTAGAGACTCGGCTAACCATGAAGTTTTATATGCTGTTAACGTCCAAAATACAGATTTGTTGTACTATGTGGTCAATTGACTAGTTATTGTCAGAAGACAATTCGGTTTCAAATATGAATTTTCACTAAACAAATGTATCTATCGATTACTATATGGCATTATTGGATTGACCACTCCGGAACATTCATTCTGTGAAGTTTCTCAATGTTCTGTCGTAAGACATCCGAATATTCTGCATGAAATGCTTGAAAGTGTGTTTTTACGCAAACTGTGTAATAACTAGTCTTATGAAACACACGGAAGCTAGGCGAACTGCATGTATTATTCGCTGATTAGGTTGATGACGTATCAGTATCATATTGACAAATACGATCTGTATTTTCTGTCCTCAGTGGTTTGTGGTCAAGTTTTACTGAAGTAAACTTCACGGGAAGGTATTCTGTGAACAGCATGACTGCTTTCCAATTTGCCATATTTAACAATGACTGCAAAGTACGGTCAGCACTTAGCCATAAATAACAACTTTAATACTAATAGAGGTAAAGGTAAATCGATATAAAAATTAAAAGAGACGTACGGAAGGTAAAGAGTTTGAAATAGTACCGTGTTCATTACTTTGATAAAGATAAAAAGTTGATTCTCCACTGCAAATTTGTCTCCAACTCTCAGTTGTGATGGTCTCATGGACACCTAGATGACCTGAATAAAAGGAAAGTGAATTCTCTGTCTTCTTATCACCACCATCTTGTTAACTCAGTTTTAGCCAGTCCATTAACGTAAAAGGTAGATCGACATGAGGAACACCTAGTTATCTCGGTTTATAAAGGTTCATAAACCAACCAACCACTTCATTTATTGCTAGATGACTTGCAACATATATCACTATGGTTTCATTATATAGGTTAACACCAACTAAAATCTTGTAAATGAATTTTTGACTCTTTTTCACTTACAGGCATCAGGTTTCATGCACTGTAGACCTAACTTAATGTCATATACTAATTATCTAGCCTTAAGTTAGGTAGGTTCAGGCTGAGAACTTTCCATTACTTAGCTTGGTAGTTTTGTAATCCCTCGTCTTCTTAACGCTTTATTTTTGACTGTCATATCTCCTTGAATTATTTTAGCACTTAAGTTTTTTGCAACCAAGTTTATTTAATTTTTGGGTGAGACTATCATTTATAGACAAACCAATGGCATTTAAGATAGCAGGACTTGGACTTTGGCGCGAAATTAATTCATCCATTTGGTTAAATACCATTTTAGTATTATGGCTGATGTCAGTTCATAACCCTAACATTCAATTGTGAATCCTAATCTCAATTCCTCGCACTAATTTATAACCCTCATTTAACCACGGTGAGCAGGTGGACATTCCGAGGTCATTTTAGCGTTGCTCAAAGGTCGTCCATAATTTATAGTCTTACCAATTTTCGTCTGCCGAAATTCACTTTGTTGCATCTGGTTATAACACAAAACGTCAAGACATACGTTTCCCACCATATCTTCCTGATGGCTCATTCGCATTTGCCGTTAAATAACTAGTTTGTAGAACTGTCAGGCCTAAATGTTCGCTTGAAATATGCTTTATCTAACCAGGGTAGTCATATTTGAATTGACTAAACTTGTCATATATTGGTCCATCTAGGGTTTTATACGTGTGCTAATTTTGTTACTGGGCCATATTCTAAGCATTTTATTTTGGTGAAAATAATACCTATGAATGACTGAAGTATAATTCTTAATAAACTCGTCTTGAATATTACACGACACAACTTTGGATTGTTGTTTAGGAAATCTGACTTCGGGTCACTCATACAGAATCCTTCTAAGACAATTTAGTTAGGGGTTGTGTCAAAAAAGGTAACACATTTTGTCTGTGCTTTCGCGTTCTGCAGTTACCACACATCAATTAAATTATAGGTGTTTTTGTACTTAGTTATACTGTAAATTAATAAGTGGAGATGGTGTCGGATAAAATTGATATTATCATGTTTAGGGATGTTTGTCGACATATTGGTAGTTTTTCTATTGGTGCGCTGTTGCCTCCATTCGATTTTTAAATTTTTGCCGTAGTAATTTTTTGTAATGAAATGTGAATTTTCGGTAGATCAAATAGGGAAGTGGGGATTTTTAAGGTTGCTAAACATTTCGATTCACACCAAATATTCTGGCAAACCTATTGTCCATTTGTTTCTTTACAGAACGAAACTGAGCAGAACTTCTTACGTGCAGCTCGTGCTGGAGATCTGTCAAAAGTGGTAGAACTTTTGAACGCTGGTGTACACATCAATTTATCCAACTCGGTAAGTATATAGATTTAATATTGATAACGGTATCAAATCTTTATAAAATTAAAATTTGGATAGAATCAGTTAATCGTTTTCTACGTTAATGAAATCAAATTAGACTAAGCATTTAACTTCTAGATTAAAATATCGGCTCATTTTAGATAGGTTCACTTGCTGTGAACTACTTACTGTATGCTATTTGTTTATGCAACCAATGTCAAGATGTAAGTTTTATCACAAGCTAAGGCAAAATTACAACTTGTTCTAGCACTTGGGTTTTATGTATTGGGTTCAGGGTCCTCACCGCTTTACACGTAACTTGGTTTATTATGTATTGTGCATGCTACCCCTCGTGTAGCATAGGCTATCGACTAGGATTCTCCAACCTACCGTGTTCCTTAATCTCCTTTCCAGTTGTTGTCAAGTGCTGTTCGTTCACATGTCTACCTTCAATTCCTGACACAATGCATTCTTTGGCCTGTCACATTTCCTTTGGCCTTCAGAACTCGAAGTTTTAACTTGCCTCATGATGTAATTTGTTGATTTGCTCAATGTATGTCTTACCCACCTCTAGCGTCTTACCTTAATTTCCTATTCAACTGAAGGCTGGTTATTCGTCTGTCACAGTAGGTTGTTGCTGATGATATCCGATCAACGGACCTGGAGTGTCTTGCACGGACAACTGTTTATAAATACTTGTACTTTTTGATGATGGTCGACAAATTTCCTTGGCACTGATAATAGTGTGATATCCCTTTAATTCTCACACTAAAACCTCTCTCCTTTGGTATCCTTCCCGGTCTGTTGATACGTGTTTTTCCTTTGAAATCTTTCTGAAGAGAGCATAGAGCATGTTTGTAGTTACCTCTATGTCTGACTTAAGTGCTTCAGCTGGTGTGTTGTCTGGTCCTGCTGCTTTCTCATTCTTGATTTATCTGATGGATTTGCTAATTTCTCCGATTATTGGTGGGATAACATCTACAGTAAGTTCTGTGGGGTATATCGATGTCCAAGGTGTTCAGTGGAGCTGATGTACTCAAGAGTTCTTTGAGGTGCTCTAGCCACCTGTTCCGCTGCTCTTAGATCTCAGTGATTGGCTTGGTTTCTTTGTTCTTGACTGGCCGTTCTCTTTCACCAAATTCCCTAGGTAGTTTTTTCGTTGTAATGTAAAGTTGTTTCATATTTCCTTCTCTTGCAGGTCTTTCCGCTTTGATTGCTAGGTCTTCCACGTACTTCTGCGTGCAAGTCCTAATGCTCCTGAACAGGGTTGAATTGATTGAGTTTATCAGAATCTGAAAGAAAAATTGTATTAGACATTTGTAATGCTGTTTGTGCAGTTGTCCAGCACTTTTTAAGTTCCAGGTTTAGCTTGGCCACCACTGTGCTGATCTGGAGCTATATCAGTTTCTTGCCTTTTTCCTACATCCTTCATGAAACCCATGTAACTTAGTGTATGCGTTTATGCGGGGATGTGGTGCCATCTGTAACCGTTTTGTCGAAGACACATAGATTTGCAAATCTCTCACCACTCTGATTCCTTTCTGCGGATACATGTCGTCCCATGATGTCTTCATACCCGATTGTGTCCATTCCGACCTTGGAGTTTAGGTCTTCCATCAGGATGGTCAGGTCATATCCTGGGCACTATTCTACAATCGACTGCAGCCTCTTGTAAAGCTGATCTTAATCATCTTCATTGTTTTCATTGGTGGGTGCATCGCACTGGATAACGTTCATCATAATAGCCTTCCTCTTTGTTTTGTAGGACACTTTGTTGATCCTGGATTCATTAGATTGCTATCCTATAAGTGCTTATCGTGCTTCTTTGGAGGGTGTCAGTGCAACTTGTGTGTACGAAGCTTCATCTTCTTCATAACTAAAGTGCGACAGAACTTTTCTCAAAGCTAATCTTTTTTGTCCAGCTTCCGTCCAATGGCCTTCACTTATTTCGAGTACCAACAATTTGTATGTTTTTCATTTCTGCAGCTACTTGAATGGTCTTATCGGTCTCTCTGATTGTGTGAATATTCTGTGTATTTATGTTAATTGTTGCTCTGGTTGTTAGAAGGGGTATCGACCTCATGATTTTTGAAGAATCTCGGCTTTCACAACATGGCGTCATAACAACTGTCAGAACAAAGCCTGGGTGGTTTCAAGGATTTTTCTCTAATTAGCGTCTTCTTAGCAAAATTGCTTTTTATAGGATGGGTTTGCTGACTCCGTGTCCAACCCTTCTCCTTTATCCGGGTTCTGGGCCGTCAGTAACCCTAGAAGGGCTCCAAGTGAAATCAGTTGATTTGGTTTACTCATGGATTTTTATGTATTTGTGGTTTTTTAGTTTTAGTATTTGGTTACTGAGTAACTACTGCTGATTTTATTATTATATCCACCATACAAGAAACATTATGCTACTCATAGGAAATATTTTCATTTTTTAAAAGATTGATATACAGTTTGCTAGTCGTTTTATTAGCTGAACAAAGTTAGTGATTACTGCGGGTTCAACTTATAACTATATATTTACAATCTATATAAACTACCAGTCACAATGTTCGTGAGCATATGAGTTCAATTCTGTAGCAAACGCGTATCAAGTACAAGTTTATGTACTTGTCTGTTGGACGCACATTTCAATGAAAGCTATTGATACTACTACTCATCCTCAAATGGAATTCTTTGGAACGGACGTTTGAGCTGTGTACTGAAATCATTAATCCTTCTATCTTACCTTTTTTAAATTCAGTTTGGGTTGATGAATTTTGGTAATGAATATCTTTAATAAGATTGAAACAGATCTGTAAAAGCTAAAAAGATGGTAATGTAACGTATTCAGTATTTAAACTTTCGAATGGTGAGGATTTTTTAAAATCAGTGACTAAATACATTGAAACATCAAAACTATCAATAGCTTAAGTATGTGTGGTTACTGTTTGTCTGGTTCACTGTTCTCACCAATCATTTAATCTAATTTTAGCCTTTTTAGATTGCTAATTATACTACTTTTTTTGCTTAATATATTTCAGATTGGACTTACGGCACTTCATTTAGCCTCAAAAGAAGGTTATGTTCATGTTGTCGATGAGCTACTTCGACGTGGAGCAGATTTCGATGCTCCTACTAAGAAAGGAAATACAGCACTTCATATCGCAAGTTTAGCTGGTCATTTCGAAGTTGTCAAGCTACTTTTGGATGCTGGTGCCAATATAAATCGTCAGTCAGTTGTAAGTTTTAGCGGAAATGGTTAATTAATTAATTAGCTAATTAGCGAGTATTGTGAGAAACTAGCTATCATCATACTTTATCGTGAAAGCGAACAATAAAATTTGTCGAATTAATAGATTTCTCAGGAACTCATTTTTCATCGAAGAGTAACTTAATTGTAGCTAATCGACGCCAGTTTAGTTATGTTGTGACATTTATCAGTCAGGTTTACCACCAACTATTTTTAATATTGATGCACTGTGAAATCTATGGTTTAGCTTAGAATATAGTCTTTTATTACATTGTTCAATCTAAACTATTTTTTTCATGAATGAACTTGTTTACCATTTAAGTAATTATTCATAAGTTACAAGATATGTTCTATGCATGTAACAAAGATGGTTACCTAAGTGTATTCTTTTTTAGTTTTCCTTGTACTGATCTGATAGTGTCGACTTCTGATCACCACTTTATGGACTCATGGATAACTTTTTTCATGTGCTTCATAATTCCTTTGTTCAGTTCAGAAGTAATTAACGTTATACGCTTCTGAATACTGAATCAGTGTAGAACCCTACTTTCACTAATTACTGTTTATTCATAAATGATAAAACTGATTATTATTTGTTTCTGTAGGTAGCTTGTTGTCGATGTTTCTAGAATTTATAACTAAATTTTCCAGCTCGTTTGCGTAAAGACATGATTCAATTCATTTGTAAGATATCAACCAACAAAGAACTTGCGTAGGTTACGGTTTAAAAAGCAAATTTATGCATAACTCCTGACTTACTTTTATTTATACAGGGTGGTCACTTGGTTAGAACACTCGTGTTTAAACAGATCTCCTCAGTTCCTAATTTGGTGCTGGGACAATATTACTTTCCATTTGAAGTGTGGCTCTAAGTCAGATACGCGAATCGTTATACGCATATATCAGTACATTTTTATTTACACACACCATGTTATACGTTATTAACTAACCATACAAACCGATTACATGGCTACTCTCATATTACTGAAATGGAATGTCAGTTTAACGAAATATATTTATTCATGATATTTGTATTTGAACACTAGATTCTATCTGTAAATCAGATACTATTTAGGAGTTACTCATTCTAACTCTGAATGTTGTTGGTCGGTTTGATCGTCATTATTTGACTTACTAATAGTTCTTGATGAAAACTCCCTTCAAACTATAAGAAACGCCAGTAATCAATAATTGTATGACTTTTTGAGAAAGATTTCTTGAAGTTCTGGCGAGAAGCCATGACTTATAGGATCAGTCAAGTGTGATGCAACAGCTATTCTCCGATGACTTTCTTATACGCTGTTGTGTATCACAAGTTGATTTTAGTCAAAGATTGGGTTTATCCAATTTTTACTTAATAGCTTAATGGTTTTGTGCTCACTGGTAACCTGAGTTTTCTGATTTGAATTCTTTATCAGATCGTGAATGCGTGCGCACGCATTATCCAGAAGTCATAAACGCCAATGAAATAGCTGTCTGGTGCTTTGTACTTTTCAGTAGATCTTTCCGTCTGCTGTCAGTTCATTGTAGCAACCAACTTCAAGTTGTACAGAATCTACATAAAACCCTCATTATTAAGTGTTCATGAATTTGTTTATTTCTTTTTCAAATGTTGAATTGTAGATTGGATTTACCCCATTGTATATGGCTGCTCAAGAAAATCATCTTAATGTAGTTGATCTTCTACTTCAACGTGGTGCAAACCAAGCATTAACTACTGAAGTAAATCTTTGTTTTCTAAAATGATTTTTTACTGCTAAAAAAGCTTCCAATTATTTTTTTGTGTTATAGAAATATGGGAATTTTTGTTTGCTGGGATAATAGAATTTTCTTTTCTATTTTTGTGAAAGTATTTCGTGTAATGTAATTAGTTTGTGCTAAAGAATCCGGTCATATTTCAATCGTTATTATTATTGTTGCAATAGGAAACTGTGGATCCGGTAGCTCCTAAAGTCATGTCTAAACCATTGGTTTGAAACATCTAAGTATTCTTCCATCTAATGGTTTGTTGTTGGTTAGAATTGCATTGCACTCAATTGGTCTTTGGCAGGCATGTTACATTACTAATTAATCACCATAGTAACAGTTTAACTCGAAGCTAAATAAACTTATACTTAATAAATGAGTTGGATTAGTTTAACTTACTAGATTCAAAATCTGTTTCATTGATTTCCATCGCAGCAGCTGGATAGTATGTCTCATCTTAGCGTTTGCTGATCGATGCGCATTGTTGTCATATAATTATAACTTATATGTTACAATGTACTTACTTACTTACGCCTGTTACTCCCAATGGAGCGTAGGCTGCAGACTACCATTCTCCATCCCATGTCACAATGTAGTTCACTATTAAATAATATATTGTTGGCTTTGTCATATTGATTGATCTTTCTTTTAGAATTATGTTGTGTAATTTCCAACCTCAACGTCAATGACAATGAACTAGACTACTTCCCATCCTTTTTTCTACCCATTAACTAGAAATAAAATGAGGAAGAGAGAGACGCAAGATTATTAATTATTTGGCTACACTCATTTATACAAATATTTAATCACAATCATTCAAAGTTTGTCATACCGAGCAAACTTCACACAATTAATGTAAATAAATGTCATAATAAGTTGAAAAATTTCTGAATTGATCCAAAAGTCAAGTGGGGATCTCACTGAATTAATGGAGAGTTTAACTGAGTGACGATTACATTTAAATCAAACATCTCTTAACTTTTGAAATATTGGTTGTCTACCCAATGGTCTACATACTTTTCATATTAAGTTCTCGTCTTTTCCTCACACTTCTGAAATTGTGCATAAAAAAAACTAAACATTCTCACAATTATCTGAGATTTCCAGTAGTGTTATGACAAACTGATTCAATTCTTACTTAGATTAAGAGTGCAGTGAGTTAAAGCATAAGAGAAGAAAAGTGTAATTCTTGTTTATTATTACTATTGTGATTAACATCATTCATACCTTTTCCCATTAATTTAAACTGCAGTCAGTAAGTTTGTTCAATGGTACTTTGTTCTCATCATTTATTAGGAAAAAGCCGAATAAAGTAAGCGGCGTTTCGGCAGATAAATAATATCGGTTTCATTTCACCTAATTTTTAATATTTTTGTTGTCATGAGACCAACCAAAAGTCAATAACCACTGATGAAAGATGTTATGATTCTTTTTTTCTTAAAAAAATGCCTATTATATATGATCATATAAGAATGTTCATGTGTTAAATATTACTGATTTAAAGTCATTTACTTCAAAGGTATATAAACTAGTGTAGAATTTATTGCTCGTATGTAAATATAAATTTTAGGGAAATATTAGCTAAAATTCTCTGTCGCACATTGGTTAGATTTATTATTATTATTATTATTGTTGTTATTACTACAGAAAGTTGACTTTGAAATCAATCATTTCTTCCACATTTTCTTAGATAGTTATGCATTTTTCTGGTTTTATCTTATACCTTGATTTGAACAAACGAATCATCCCTAACACTCCTATTCATTATCTTGCACAGATGTTTTTTGTCTGCATTATTTTGATTTTTATAAGTTGATATTTGACCTATTGATTAATGTACGGAAACATCCCTTAAATTTTATTAGACTAGAATATTAGTAGTGATGCTAATAGTAACCAGTGTAATTCAACACTAACAATTTTTCTTTTAGTAAAGAATTCTTATCACTAATTTTCGTAATATTGCAACAATTCTTTGTCATTTCATAAGGACCACTGACCAATATTTCGTTCCAAGTCACCAATCAGATACTTATTCCAATTTTTCTCTATTTCAGCGTCTACCATTTCCTCTATAGCATATCACACACCTGAGCAGTACTATTGTCCTTAAGCGGATGCAGCTAAGTTACCATCAGTCTGTTATTCGCAAGCACTTTGTGCCCTACCTTAAGTCCAGGAATAGCAACCAGTTTCAACTATATCCATATTTCAAACGGACGTGGTTTATATGCAGACATATCGAACCGCACAATATTATAAAATGAAAAATAACAATTATACATAAACAAGTCAAAAGTGGTTGTGAATAGGGGGAAAAATGTGAGACTTGCAAGAAACTAGGAATAGTAATTCGTATGACAGTAGTTTATGAGTAAACCGAAAGCTTAAGATAGACGGAATGCTTAGATATAATCTAGTTACCTAATAATTATGTAATAAGACTACATATAAAAATTATCCGTAAATCAGTTTTAGGGGTCACCATTCCTTTAATCTCCGTTCTGATATAACAGTTTCTGTTTAGCTTATATTCGCATTGCAATTATTTGAAAGTACCATTAATAAAGCTTTTTAATCGTTAGTATCTGCCACCCATCTTAAATCATGAGTTTTCTGTCAGAATAGTTGCTACCAATAAATTTTTCCACCTATTGTATATAAGATGCATGAACCACGATATATTCGTCTCTTGTTTTTACACAGGATAGATAGTGAAGAGAAAATTCCCACAACATCAGGGTTTCTGTTTTGTGATATTTCACGTCACATGTAATCGTAGGCCTTTTATAACAGCGCGTCAGTACATAGTTATTATTTGTAATTACCAAGCCTAAATAAATCTAAAACATGAAGATTGATTGCAATGTTTTCGCAGTTGGTAATAAGCACATCAAATCTCTAAAAACGCCTTGAAAGGGCACACACATTACAGGGAGACAGGGTTTTTACAACCACTCTTTGATACAACTCTACCATATATATAACCTGTTATTAACCGTTGAATACGTATAACAAAATAAAATGTCAGTAGATAAAGTGATACAGCGGTAGTTAATAGTTAAACTAGTCGCATTTCAATCAGTGAGTCACAGGATCAAACTTGCTCCCATCTACGTCAGTTTAAGCAGTCACGCAGCATTTCTAGCCCCTCACATAATGCTCTTCAATGCCAAATACATAAATGAGTACTTGGCTAGTGAATTACATTAAAGCGACTAATTAGGAAAAAGTGAACGCGACGACGGATTACTAAAACAACATAAGTGAATATTCCATTCTGTTTAAAATGAAATATTACTCATCCACTAAATTCCCTTATCAGTCACTTCTGTGTTGTAATAACTGAGATCGATTGTATTGTTGTTCGTTCTCATTTTTTTCTACAGGATGGTTTCACTCCTCTAGCAGTAGCCTTACAACAAGGACATGATCGTGTTGTGGCACATCTTCTGGAAAGAGATTCACGTAGTCGAGGTGGCATGCCAGCTCTACATATTGCAGCACGAAAAGATGATGCAAATGCTGTGAGTTTGTTATTGAACAATGCAGAAGTTAATGTGAATCATCAATCTCAAGTGAGTTTTACTGTTTTCTTTTCAGAATTTAATTAAAAATGCACGTACAAGAGCTGAAAGAGCTTGATTTCTAATCTTGGTTTTGATACTGTTAAGATGCAATCTGTAGTAAATGAGCTACATGTAGCTTACATTTTATAACTTCCCCATACATCCTAATGAGTATTCGAGTACATATAGCGAATAACTCTTCACGAACTCCCCCAACTTTATTGATTATAATGCGGTCACTAGTGGCCAACTTAATAATAGAACCAGAAAGTTCTCCAGATAAGCTATGACATGTGGAGTTTAACAATGTAATGTGTGATGCAGCTACTTACTGATGATTATCATGCTACATCGCGAATTGAACTTCAAAATAATATAGGCCTTTTGCTTTCGAGTCAGTACTGTAAAGTCATCACGTTAGCGACGAGGCTTTGTGACCTTGGATTTAATCACTGATTGGGCTGGAGGCCCGACTTTTGATTAGTTTTAAGTTAGGTCTTAACGACTGTCCGGCATATCACAGTCTTTGACGTAAACTATCTTTATGTTGTGTTGCGCACTTATCAAATAGTCTAATGTGGACAACACAGTTTTCTGTCCATTAAAAAAAATTAACTTCAATTAAAGAAAGGAATTTCTTTACCATTGTGATTTTTTTGCTAAATATGTAAATTCAGTGGTAATCTAAAGCAAATAAAATAATTTCTTACATATATTATTGGCTTACAATAATAAACTCAGTTTCAGAGACTGTTAGCTGATTGAACTAGCTACTATTTTTCTGTGTCTGTGATTACTGGACAATGCATGCACAGTTCCACTTTACTAAATTTTAACAGATGGATTTTTAATGATACGAAATGCTTTTTGTAGACAGTTTTGTTGTCCAGTATCGATTGATATTCTTACTGTGTAATAATTATTAAAAAAGTGTCTTCTGTGTAGAAACTTTTTCTGACCAAGTTCTCGTTAAATTCATTCTGTCTGTATATTTCACTTTTAATGTAAAACTATACAATCGATAACATTGATAATAACTACATCAAAAATAAAGCCATACCTTAATGGGTATAAATCACTAGATGGAAAATTAAAATCCGACTCTGTTTACTTTCACTCTAGACAATAGCATTATTCATACACGGAACGCACAACTCAAAGCTGGTTACACATTATATTACATTGAAATTTATCTGAGGAATATCCGGTGAATTATGGTTATTGTGATTATTATCATTTGTCCCTATCTACTATAAAACTGTTTGGTTTGGGAGTCACGTTTATGATACATTTCTAATTGTATTGAAATTACTTTTAATTTCTGACTTTCTTTTGCAAAGTGATTACTTTACTTTTTGGATTTACGTTTGGTGTTATTACATAATCGTTTACTAATGTTTTTGTTCGATTTGGTGATGTATTAAAGAATTTGATTCATTTCATGACGTGTAGTCTTTTCAAGGAATTTCTAGATCGATATACTGGCTGGTGCATAATCAGCTCTCAGGTTTAACCTCCGTTTCTGTCTAATTTGCTGTAGGTGAACCAAGATAGTGTGTCAGTTGACCTGAGAGGAATTTTGTGACTTAAATCTGAGCAAATAAACTTATACTCTTGGCTATTAAGTTAAATTAAAAATCGAATTTTTCTAAAGTTGGTTGGCAACTAGGTGTGGAATATTGAAAATATTTTTTGTCCTACTCAGGACTCGTCAGCTGGATGCACTTATGTCTCGGTGTGTGGCATCAATAGCAGGAAAATATCAAGTTGTGTCAAATTAAATAAATGATAGAGCAGAAACCAGTGATATGGCTGAAATTGGTTGCTGTGTTAACTTTATCGTTTCTAGTCCCAATCACCTTCTATAAGCGTTTTTTCTTCATATTGCTTCCTTCTATTCCTAAGATTTTCTAGGTTATCCTTCCCCACTACCTCTTGTTATATTGTCTCTATTGTTTCTCTCAATATTATAAGATATAGTTTCGTTTGGAATAGGTTCATGACATTAAAATCGTATTAAGCAACTAGTTTATACGAGTAGATATGGTCTACACCACAGTATTTAGATTTTAATTAAGGTAATCAGTTACGTTTCTTTTTCTCAACAGAACTATTATTTGTGACTGCAAAAACATCATTGTTATGAAGTTAAGTTTTTGTGTGATTTGATGATCGGGTTTTCGATTGTTTGAATGAATGAATCCAATGATAAGACCGATAGATGGAATGCAATAATACCATATGACAATGATAACTGCTTAGGCGACCGAATCATTGATATAAAGCTCCCAACTGAACTGATATGAGATAACAAGGTGATCGTCCAGGAAAATAGGTTATTTCGTGTAAATACATAACACGCTAATGTGAAAAAGGTTAATGGATGTAAAGGTAAACTGATTCGAAGTCATTTTACAGATCGATAGTCGGAGGACGCATATCATTCACTTTGCAATATAATTAGTGCTTTGCTTCTTCATACCAGCTACTCGATCATTAGATTAGTTGCAAATAATTCACACTTATATCTTATTCATTACATCATAATAATGGTGATCTGTTCTTAGTATTAAAATAATTATGGGGAAAGTATGGCACACGTCAAGACTAATAATGAAAACAGTAAGCATATGAATAGTAAATGGTAGTTTAACAATTCCAAGTTCAAATCTCACTATGTTCAGAGAAATTATCACTAAAGCTCACAAATTGTAACTCGAAGTTAGATTACATAAATCTAAACTTGCACATTGTGTTACATTAAGTTTGCTAGTGAAGTGTAAAATCAAAATTACACCAAGTATAAAATATCTAATTAAGCCTTATAGAAGAATGTTTAAAATGGATTTTTAAAAGAAATATAAATGTGATTACAGAAAGTCCTCTCTCCGACTAATATTTTAATACCATTTTTAATTTATGATTTGACTGAAGAAAACCTAGCAGAAACAACAAAAATATAGTCGTTTTATTGATTGATCACTTAATAGTAACCAGTGTCATGTATGTAGTGCTGATCAAGTTGCAGTTTGACTACTAGTCTTAGTGATTCGATGTTAAATGTTTGAAAATAGTCACCTGAACCTCCTAAACATAGATGTCGTATTATTTGTTACTTTGTAATGTTGGTCCGAACACCGCGCAAACCATTCGTTCCATCATGATTGCAGGTACGCTTTGTCGATAAATCTCGACCAACAATAAACTTGGGTTTGGGGTTTATTACCAGACTGGAATCTTGAATAATTTCTTCAAACACGTTGAACGTGCTGGAGTAGGACTAAGCTAACAGAAAGTTAGGCAGAGCCAAAACACGTCATTGGTCCATGTAGTTGTCGACCGTTGATCTGGACCATACAGACTATCTAGTTTTAGTGATGTTTGTACGATAATCATAATCAACGATTGAAGACCTTAAGTAGTGTGGTTCCAAATCAGTCTGTGGCACAATCTCACTTGTTATTATCTTTAAAACTATTCTGTATATTTATTTTTATTATCACTAGTACTATATTTATTATTATTTTTCTCTTTGCCATTGGTCTTGGTAATATATTATAGCAATTGAAGCGGTAGTAACCTTGCACCAGATTTAATAATGACTAGGTTTTATAAAAGCATTGAATTTTATGAGATTTTCTCCTGTGATAAATTTGACTAAACTAAGAACAGTAAATGTAGAAGAATAAAATGATTTTATTTACTTAGTATGGTTTCTTTTCAGCTACTTACAAACTAGAAACAATAGTAATAATAATTATGTACAGTGTGTGTACTTTATATCATTTTATGAAGTTGAAAGAATTGTAAAGTGGATGAATATTTATATTTTACCATATGTGAGAATCCCGAAAGATATAGAGACACGTTTCTAGAGAATGAAAATCGATGTCGAATTTACATGGTAACAACCGTAACATGGGATAGATTATAAGCGAAAGGTGATTAAAGTTTAGAAGAGATGCCAGAATAGAAGGAATAAATTTATTATGGAAATTCTAAAATAATTTATCACGTAATCAAATGATGAAAAGTAACAATTTTTGTTCAGTTCTTAAAAGAATTTCATGAACTATAGTCATTTGGCCAAGTTTACTGTCAATTCTGCATACTTTCTACATTCCCTAAGTTCTTAATAGAACAAAATAATCCTTTTTAGCGATTTCATTTTTCCATAGTTGTCTTCCATATTATTTTCCTATTTAGATTTCTTGATTATCAGTATGTGATTTTTACTTTGAGTTTTTGGTTTAATGACATTCATGGTTATTCGCTTGAAACTGGTTTAATATTCTTACAAACACAATTTTTATGTGATATTCGTCGTTAGATGACCTTAGGTTACCATTGAAAAAGCCGAGGGGCATACTTTTGAGAGTCCTACATTAGGGCGGAACCGCTATTCAGTGCTTCTGTAGCGAATATAACTAACAAACTAAACAAGATCCCATAAAATCAACTCTTAAACTTCTAGCTTGTTGTTCGGGTCTTAATTTGTTACATGTATATGCGATTGTAATATTTAAGTTCTTGTATGGATTTCATTTTCCAAACTAATTGTTCTATGACCTAATGGGTGTATTCGACTTAATGGAAAGCTTTTATGACTATTGTTGATTGTAACTTGATGTTATGTATTTACCTATGACTATCACCATATTTTTGGGCTTTGTTTTTCCTTTAAAAAAAGATGACCTATGTTTATATATATGTACGGACGCCTGCTTGAATATCTGGGTTACCTTTTTCTGCCATCTAATTGTTTCAACAAGTTATCTGTTTTTTCATTTTGTTTTTAACGTCTCATTATGTCCATTAATCGCATAACCTATACAGGCGCGTTTATGAAAAGCATACGACCTTTCTCTGCACAAGTTACAAAAAAGTACTATAAAAGACATCGTGGTGGTTGGCAATATGCGTTAAAGAGAATGACCATTAATCATATGTCGATTTCCGAGCTGCTAAATTCTAACTGCCGATCACTAATCAACAAAGTGGACTATCTTCATTTCCTACTAATTCAAAATATGTATCGTAATTGTGGTGTCATCACAATTCAAGAATCTTGTTTCGTTGATTTACAGGACGACTGTCTAATATCATTTTTGTAAGTTTTGATCTACTCACATCTTCACAACTAAAACGACTACGGAGGTTGAAAGAAAGAATGTAAAAGGAGAAAAACTCTAATGAAGCTCGTAAGCTAAATGGTCTGATAAACCTAGAGATTAGGCGTCTCAACTCTATGTTTACTCAAAAACTCTCCAAGTATGTGGAAACTTTAAAGAAATTACAGGTGATAGACAGATTAGGAATGATAACCAACTGAATGTTTGTGACTTGAATAAGTCTTTTGTACATCAGTCATCTTATTTAATGCTCCATTCATCCACAGGTTTAAAGAATCGCTGTGTTAATAGTTTCACTGAAACTGATGTCCGAAAATGTCTCCAGTCTCTTAATTCATCCCGATGTTTAGGACCTGATGGTATCCCAAACCTTTTGAAAAAATGTGCTGATGTCCTATGTTATCCATTCACGACTATCTTTAACAGATCTTTCTCATCTAATCTCATACCGAAAGTGTGTAGAAAGATGAAGATAATCCCTGTACCCAAGAAAGTATCTGGTGATAATAATGTGAAATTTAGACCTATTGCAATAACTCCACCCTTCCTCAAAACAATGGAAAAATTATTAATACTTCCACTTCAACCTGCGATAAAAGAGCATATTGATCCGTATCAGTTTGCCTACAGATGCAAAAGAAGCACCTTAGATGCTGTTGCTGTTCTGCATCACAATATCGTGTTCAACTTAGAAAAGGGTCAGAAGTATGTTCGACGCGCTTTTCTGAACTATACTTCAGCTTTTGATTCTGTACCAAGACTACGTTTACTTAACAAGTTAATCAGCGTCAACACTGACAGCTGGATAACAAATTGGCTATGTTACTACCTCTTTGTGAGGGATCAGTACACTGTATTTAGAGGAAAGTGTTCAGAGTCTCTACTGTCCCATGAAGGTGTACCACAAAGATCTGTTCTTTCACCATTTCTTTTCTCTTTTTTTCTGCATGATCTGCCATCTTCCACAGAAAACACTTTTGTGAAATATGCGGATGATCTCACTGTATGTATGCCTATTTCTTCCTCTTTACATCCCATAGAAATGAATGAGTTTTTGTCTCGTATTGGTTGTTGGTCTGTTGGTAATGGCCTTATACTTAATCCGTCTTAATGTCAAACTGTTAACTTTAGCATGAGACATGAACGGCATCTAAACACCATTTTGAGATCCCATAATGATTGTGCCATTGGAGACTTTGATAACCACAGTGTCGAAGGTCAATTATTTTGGTGTTACCTTTTCCTCTGATCTCTCTTGGTCTTCTCACGTTTTATTGTTATCGAAGAAGGTTTTCCGTCTGACTTATTACATAAAGAGGTTGCATGCTCTTGGGATTACTCGTTATTTACTCTTACAATTTGTTGATTCTTGCATATTACCTATTATTCTTTACTGTTCTCCATTATTCTTTCCCGGGCTTTTGAGAAAAGACTTTGCTGCTGTATTGCGGAGAGTGCTGAAGGCAGTTAATAAGGTGTGTGGTGAATCTTTCGAGGTCATAATTAATATGGTTGTGGATAGACATTTAAAATCATGCAAACTCTTGACAGGTGTTATTTTATGAGATGCTAACCGTCCTCTTCACTCTTATCTTTCTCCTCGTATATCTTCTGGTAGAACGAGACGTAATTACATTAAAATCCAAGCACTCAAGCAAAAGTATAAAAGTTCTATAATACCTTACCTAGCAAATATACTCTGTGACGAACAGGTTGTTAGAGTTAGTCTAGTCAATAACCTGCATTCTTAACATGTCTCTAATTTGAAAAGTTGTACAGTCTTTCAGATTGTTTTAAAACACTTTTTGTCTTTGTTTCTGTTTTTTGTTTGTAAGAAACTTGTTGAAATACCCTATGCTGAGAATTCTATATTTTACCAAAATATAATATTGAATAAAGCCAATAATAATAATATAAAGTCGTCTAAGGTCACATAATTTTTGTTTGTTTTGGCTTTTGCCCTATGCTCGATAATTCTGTACATGACCTTAGTAAACTATGTGACCTTTGGATTTCATAGGTGTTTTACCTGGTCCAAACAAATGCATATAGATTTAGTTCACTAATAAAGTTTTCGTAATCTTGCTGTAAATTCAAGACTGCTGTAACGGGAGAAAATTGTATGAATTATTTACACCCACTGTCGATCGCCCAAGTTGATATAAGTAGATAATGACTAACCAGGAAAACTGTATTGCTATAACAACTCACTAGTGAACGGACACAAAAATGACAACTGATTGAGGAAAGTTTTTAGTGAACGCAAATTTTTGTAGGTCTAAAGTTTATCAGATAATTCACCAAGCAAAGGGAACTGAAACTTGTCTATCTGGAGCTCAGTTGCTATCTATCATTTCAGACTTTTTAAAGAAATCGTTCATGTTTTTTATATGAATATCATTCATTTATATTTAATGTAACTTACAATAACTGATATTTGTTGGTTTGTTAAACGAACTACTTGCTCTCGGATTTTGGTTTTGTCACTTTGTTATAAGTTGTGACCGCCGATTAGAGAGCAGTGACTTATCGATCGGATCAAAGACGCGTAAAACACGTGCGAGCAGTCTAGAGTTCTGATTGGTCCTGCTTCCTGTCTAGTCCAGCCATTTAAGTCCAGAACACAAGTCTCAGCCTCTGCGATATGAATCATGTATTTCAAACATACTCTGTTTATATACCAATCAAGCAGACCACAACGTACCAATAAAATATGAAACAACAGTTGTACAGGAATTAGCCAGGTGTGGCTGTGAATAAGGGAGGTAGTAATTAATATACTGGGTATAACTCACGAATGGTAAAACGTATAATAATAGTTTATGGGTCAAAATAAAGCTTATAATAAGAGAAACATGAATATGAATAGTTTAGTTATTTAACAATACGATAAAAATATACGTTTAGTATTGGCCCATAAAAGGATCCAAAAGTTACCATTCATTATGTTTCTCGGGTCCTAACACACTTAAATCATAGTTTCCGATAGTCACATTTCGGTTTTATTTCGAACTATGATAGGTGTTTTTTCAAAATTTCAAGTCAAGAAATTCAATCGGTTATTTATGCCTTAACGTTGTATCTTCTCACTGAAAGATCATTCCTTTTTGTATGTAACTTATCTTTGTGGGAAGTAATATGTTTTTAAATGTAGTACCTTAGGTGGAAAAAATACCATTGTCTCCGATCGTGGATCGCATGTAACTTGGTTTTCAGTTTTCAATAGAAAAAGCTTTCGTTCATTCCATATAAGATCAGCGAAGCATAGCAAACTTAAGAAATTTTATTATTTTACTGCTATCTATGTGATAATGATCAGATAAGCTTTTCTGGTTATTTCATAATGTGTTAATCAAGTGAAAAGTTTGTGTTATCCTTGTAAACCGAAATTGTATTGATAATCATTTTAACTAATAAATGTGTTATTAAAGCCCATAATTTATTCTTTACACTGATTCATAAGTTGAAATACTGACTTTTCGGCTTCGTTACAAATATAGCAACCATAATGTTTTGTATTATTCTCTAGTTATGTGTTGAATTATTCACTTGTTGAGCACCTTACTGAGCCATTTGTATCAGTGCACATGATTTATTTCAAATTTGAACTTTTTCCTTTCTTCAGACAGTGTTTGTAAATAATTGTCCACTTCTTTGCCAACACGCGTATCATATCGTTGAGAACAGTACTATATTTTGATATTATGGTGAAATAAATTATCTTTATCTTCGGATTATTTTTTTTCTACCCTCTTCAAGCCTGGTTTCACTCCACTACATATTGCTGCTCATTATGGTAACGTGACTGTAGCACGTGTACTTATTGAACGTGGGGCAGATGTAAACTTTCAAGCCAAGGTAGATTATTGTTTTTATATTCATTTCTACAAATTGGTGTTGCTAATAACTTGAACATTTATAATATCCTGACGTTTTAATTTGTCATTATCGCTGACTAACCTTTCGTAACATTTGTTTCTGATGAAGATTATTAACTTTCCTCAATTTATTCATTGTTTTGTACATGATATTTCATTTCATTAAAACAAATCCTACTTTTAGATTTGTTTATTGTTTGTCAGTGTTGTGAGATAATTATGTTTCCTTATTTAACTGCATACAACAAGACACGTACAATAATGATGAAAATACATTTGTTCAAACATCATCTATCTTGATTTCCCCCCCTCTTCCTCCGTATAATCCATTTCAAATTCTACCAATGCATATAAATTATTTTTCAGTTTTCTTTGGTTCAACAATAGAAAGAGGAAGTCTTAATGTTACGTGTACATCCTTATTCATTAGTAGTTTTTACACTTATAATAATACATCCACTGCTAATGAATTCCTACTCACTACCTTTTTGCGGTGAGGGTGTTGTTTACGAAATAGAGAGGACGAAAAGTAAACGTTTGGCGCTTTAACCGGGTTGGTAGACATGGAGAATCCACCTAGAGGAGTTGGAAAACCGTAATTCCAAGCCAATGGTGCACATGAGCTCCAGGATCCTGATGGAAGAAATGGCGTATGAACCTACTATTGGTCACCGGCTTCCATAAAACTGCAGTCACTCAGTCAGTCATCTACAACATAGGACCAAACACATATATGCATCGGTCCAAGTTGCCATACCTCATTAGCACAGCAAGATGAACACCGGATTCATAGAAGTAGTTAATTCAATGGTGTTAATATATATAAGAAAGATTGCATATAAGGATATAGTAGAGGAAGAAAGAATTAGTTCGTAGAAAGAAAGATATGAAGCGATTTCAATCTCATTATTTGAGAGAAGACAGAGAGTGTATACACCTATGCCGTTGTGATCGATTCTGAAACATGTCACACACAGTCTCCAACCATTGGTTACGATAGTCACACGGACCCCAACCAAGTAGTCTCCATCTACCAAAATGGTTCAGACCAGAAGTTAGTGACTTCAATGACTGATGCCACGTTTTCGTTCGGCCGCCCCTAACTTACTTCCAATCGCCACCAACACTGGTTTGCATTGTGCGCCGTGATTATCGGTGTTCAGTCATACGTAACACGTAGCCCAACCATCTCAGTCAATGAAGATTCACAACCTCATCAACTGACTTAACATCATTCCCTAATACCCTGTATCAAATACTAATAACTTACCAGTATCTTTTACTCTTATTGGCCGTTTCGCAGCCGTAAATTAGAACAGAACGAAAATAGAACTGCATCTTTTAACGTTGCTTCACTGCCTTGTGGATCAGACTTCTATGTCAAAGGCTCAATGTATGGCCCCTAAGGAAACTACCTGCATCAGTTTTTGTGCCCGAATAGTATCTTATCTCTCACACAACATACCTTTCTCTACAGGAGCAGATAAATTCGTAGAAACACATGGATGTGACAAAACTAGGTATCTTATCTTTTAGTTGAGGAATCACCATAGGTCGGCCGGAGCACGGTAGACAGAATCTAGCTGTATCAAACGTTTTATTCGTTGCTCTAAATAGTCTATCTTGTAGCACATATCCATCTATGTCTCCATCGAGTCATAGCTTCAGGAAGAGAGGTTTCTTACTAACTGTTGACGTCACTATCTTCCTGTTGATTATGTGCAAGTGTTTCTTCAGAAAACCTTGTGGATAATTCATTTCAACCAACATATAAATAAACTCTAGTTCATTTTGTGGTGTCGTTTGACTATAACTTTTTAGCTCTATTTGCAAAACGTCTAACTGGGTTTCTCTTAAAAAGAAGTTTGTGTTCATATTCTTACCTTTGATTTCTAATCACTCAAAGGCTTAAATCAATAATACGGCCGCATGAGTATCCATCACTCGACCGCATCTTATCAATGCGTTCATCTACCGATTGAAATTCTATTCATCAGTTCAAACAATCGAACATTTTGTCTCATCAAATCATCAAAAATCTCCACCTCCTCCCTCAACATGGTGATAATTCTCAACTAAAGTTCACTACTTAGATATTACAGCTTTTTTACCTTTTTATGCCCCCCCGCTATTTGAATAACAATCTTGCAACAATGGTTTATTGTTAAAAAAACATTATTAGTCATTTAAATACATTCACTCATATACTGATTCAGTTTCATTGATTATGAGTTAAAGAATTTGTCATACTGAACAAAATTCAATCAAAATGATACAAACGCATATTGAAGTGGATATATGAGAAATCACATTTTTTTTATTGATACTCAGTCAATATAACTTTATGTTTTTCGTTTTTCTTCATATTTGTCAGGCGGAAATTTATCTTTCATAATCCTGATTCGTAAATTCCTTTCATCCTTCTATTCTTCTGTAACCCCTTGATTATTACGTAACCTCATTTGATACAAAGGTATGTTATAGTGAGCGAAAGCCACATTAAATCAATACATAATCTCACACAATGTTTATTCCTCCCTAATAATTTAATACTCGATAGCCGTGTCGTGAATTGACTGATTTCGGAAATAAAGTTTCGTATCGAACTTTGAACCAAACTAATTGTGATAATACTTACGGATTACGGAACATTGTTGAATGGAACTCGTCATCATACATCAAAGTCCTTGACTATAAAAAACGTTTGACAGCGTAGGCAGGAGGACTTTATTAAATCCTCTCCGACACCATGGTGCACCTGAGAAGATCGACACCATCATGTGGAATTCTTACGATGGACTACACTGTAAAGTCATGCACGAAGGACAGATTGCAGATGCATTTTAATTGAGGATCAGTATCAGACAAGGCTGTTAAAACTCGTATTTTCACTTCTGGTGGTTGACTGGATTATGAAGACCTCGACATCTAAGGTGAAGCATGGAATACAATGGACAACTTGGATGCAACTAGACGACTTGAACTTCACTGATGACCTAGCTCCTCTATCTCATACACAGCAACAAAAGCATATGAACACACCGAGTGTAGCAGCATCCTATTCAGCAGTAGGTCTTAACATTCACAAGGGAAAAGCAAGATGATGAAATACAACACAGTGAGCACCAACGAAAGCACAATTGATGGAAAAGCTGTAGAAGCGTAAACTTCCGAGTACCTTGTCAGCATCATCGATAAACACGAGGATCTAATGCAGTTTTGAATTCAAGCACCGGAGAGTACGTTGAAGAAACCTGGTCGGCGGCTTTTGCTACTCAACATGGGTTAATAGGCGTATATAAAAGTGAAGTGAATTATAGTACTTAAAATGGAGTTTAAACCGGTTACCTAGTGTTGAATCTAGAGTAACGTATCCTCTAGAGTATTAGTGTAGAAAAGCATTTGCTAGTTTTGTCTGTACGTGGACGCTATAAAAAAACACTTCCTTTTACTGTGTGTTTGTATTCAGTTGAAAATCTTTACAGTAAATATGAAAACCTAAAATTGTGATAACTAACTTTTTGGAAAGTCTTTCTCACGTTCAAACTCGTCATTAGTTTTTTATATCTTTTTGTTATTGATAGAATAATATCACACCATTACATGTGGCTGCTAAATGGGGTCGTGGTGGAATGGTCCAACTACTTTTGAATTCGAATGCCTTAGTTGATTGTCGTACACGTGATGGTTTAACACCATTACATTGTGCTGCTAGATCTGGTCATGCAGAATTAGCTTCACTGTTGATGGGTGCTGGTGCAAATCCTTCAGCTAAAACAAGGGTATGTTATCATTATCTTTATAAACATTTGGTGTGAAACAAGTCGTCGTCGAACTATTTATGTCGGCCATCTGAGTTCGCCCTTACTGGTGACAGAAACATGGAATCACACAACCATTTTATTTCGGCCTATCCGTAATGTATATTAGGTATTAATTCTACTGAAGAGTTGGTGATTCGACTCAGTCTACGTTATTTTATTGGTTATTGCTGTGACATGATCAATTGATTCAGAAAATAATTTACTTATAACGTTGTCTGAAAGGGCCACTTCTAATCTCCAACGTCTTCAATCACTGCATTACGCTGAAGAATAGAAAAAAGAAAATACTGATTGATGATGACTCAATTGCTAGAGTCTGTAAAACGAAAATACTTTTTTGCTTGTGTTATGTTACGTGATAGGCATTCTATCAAATTAAATCTTATTTACTGTGAATTATTACATCTGTAGAAACTGTGGTGTGATTAAAAACTATGGATGACCTTAGGGCGACACCAAAGTAATCTTGAGAATGTCCATCTATTCTATTTTATCAACGGGTTAAACTTGATTTTTCTCCGTCAGTCTTTGTGAATAGATATTGGCTTTTATTTGGAGTAGTTATCTTGAATTTTTTCAGTTTTTACTTCGTAACCTTGAAAAAAAGTTCAGCTAGTGATTTTTGCAGTTGTGTTTTCAGATCAAATCGACTTCCCAATGACTATATAAGTGAATTTTACGTATTATCTACAATTTTCACATTAATCTAAGGCTGTCACTGAATCTAACAAAGTCAGTTTGACAGTGTTACATAATTTTCTTAGGTATTGATCATACAATAAACAATTTCCATGAAATTATCAGATCAAATCTCTCGACTTACGTTGTTCTAAATCACTTGGGTTGTTTATTTATCTGTGTAATCATCCCATTAATATTATTTCATCTATACTAGAATGGATTAACTCCATTGCATATGGCAGCACAAGGTAATAATGAAGAAGTTGCTCGTGTATTGATTCTGCGTGGTGCTAGTGTAGCTGACAGAACAGGAGTAAGTTATTGTTGTTGTTACTGTGTTTGTTATTCTCCTATATAGTTAAAATGTTTATGTCATTAATAACAAGAATGTTAATTATATTTATTGTTCAACATGTTGTCTTTACAAACTATCTATTATGTAAGGCAAGATAGAAATTTCCATTGCAAACTGCAAATGAATGCCAAAAAGAAATATTCTGAAGTGATTTTACCAAGTTATCAATTAAGTGTTTTTGTTAGATTTTTGACTTCATTGAAAAGTCAATGCATTATTTTTGTCTCACACTTTTTTAAATATATCTTTCTGATGCAATGAATTTGAACATTTTTTGTGTATGAGGATATTTTAAAAAGTTATCGTTTCACGTTCAATCGATTTCTTTCTTTGGATCGGTAATAGGTCAGAGAGCAATTAGTGATTATGTCGTGATGTTTATTTAAAAATGTGTTTTTTTAAAGCTCATCTGACAAATGTGGTTTCGTGCACTTGATTTCTAGATACACTTTATTTGTAAAGGCTAGTGATACAACCCGGTCGCCCAAATTGAAGTGAATGGGACCCACTTCGAACATGTTACCAAATAGCTGACGGTTAAACGCCTTAACTACTAAGTCAGACTATTATTTTTCAAAAACGACACATATGCTTGTTTTAGTCCACACAAGTGTTTTTTTCAAAGAATGTAGTGTCGGCTGCTGTGCTAAACCCAAACAGCTTATTCTAGCTTTCGGACAAGCCAATTTATTCATTCTTCTTGAGTCACATTTTGAACTTGTTAATTATCTACCTGTTAACCTAAACTGTCTCTATATAAGTATATGTATCTTACTCATTGCATGTCTTTAACTTATTTTTTTGCGACTATAAATATCGATTCACGCTTGGTTAAATCGAGTTGGCTCACATGCCATCCCCACCTGCGTGTCATTTCTCTTCGTCTTCTTCACTTCGCTTTCTGTGCTTCGATTTTTCGCTCGTTTGTCTGGATTAACGATTGTATGAAATACACTTATTCGAAACTCATTCTCGTACTTGACTTATTAAATTTCATTATATACTAACGCGAGTTAAGTCGATGATTATATACGAGAATAGTCAGGATGTATATATCGATATCGATTATTTGATAGCAATCTGAAACGATCCAAATGGAGTCATATGTATGGCTGCTAAAGTGGTGATCCCGTTGACAACATCGCCCCATCTAATTGGTGTCAAAATAACAGGTCATTAAAAGGATGTGCCCATGAAGTTTTGGTAATGTTTTATTGATCACCTTTGTACGCACGATAACTTAATGCCAGTTTTATTGTTGCCAAAATGTAAATGTTAATTTTGAGTGATTCCTATGTACCTTTTCAATGAGTCTTTAATGAAGACGTAGTGGAAAAAGTAAATTTTGTTGCTTCGGTATTGTTTTAAAAAAATTATTATTTATATTCTCAACTAAATGACTGAATCTAGTCCATTGTGACTAGTTTTCATATGAAATCAAACCACTTGGTTTGGGGGTACTATACTTTTAAGACTTCACGGATTGACTGTATTTTTGGCATGGTCTTCACTAACTTTCTTACAACCTAGCCCAATATCAACAAACATTATTTATTAATGTAGGGAATGGATTAGTATACGCAACGCATGTCTTAACTGCATCGGTTTATGAAGTTACACTACTTCATCAACTGGTTCGCCAGTTTACTCTACATTGATTGTCTATTTGGGACTGCTGCTTGACGATTTTCATCACTATCACTGCATCATTTTGATTTCTTGTAAAATGAATAAATGCTGAATTTATTTCATACTTAACATCACAACCCCACAGACTATTAAACTCAAGATCTTTCGGCTTCTCAATGAGTGCTTGACTATTAAACAGACATCCAGTCGTTTGGATGTTTAGCTTCAACTCATGATAGTACACAACTCTCAACGTCATAAGTCACGACTGTGGAATACAGTATGACTTTTGTAGTGATATCGATTTGTAGCTTGATTGATGTGCTTTCAACGGTTATGTATTGTGTAAGCTAAATGGTTCATTCGCTGAGTTTTTCATTTTCATTTTGAGCTACATCATCAGCGCATAATTCAGATCACTAAAGCTGGTGAAATATTATTTATTTTTTCCTTCAAAATTTTGTAATTTCTCTTTTGCAATGAATGAATTCGATGGTAAATATTTAAGGAAATTCAAATTAGTCAGTTACATACAACATAAACCCCGCTACATATTATCCATCCGTTTAAGTTATTTACACCATATCAACACAGTGAGATGAAATTATTAAAACAAATCTATCATCTCCCCATCAGTGATCTCAGAATACTGCAGCGATGATCGAGGACATCTTTGGTCGAATACTGGTAAGACATGAATATTATCTACTCTTGATGACCGTGTTTCACACCCATAAATTAGAATGGAGCGAACTGCTGTGGAATAAACTCGTCCTTCGGTTAACAGAAGTACATCTGCCCCACGCCACTGATGATGCAAGTTGGCGATGGGCAACTTAGCTTTATGAACCCGTGTTGAGATTTCACCAGACATCAACCTATCAATGCTAATGAGGCTTCCAAAACAAATGAAATGGTCGACCCATTCAGTTGGTTCACTCTCTATAATTAATTCACGTGTTGACTCAGGCCAATCCGAAAGCAGCATTTTGCATTTAAATAGAAAGAGTATCATCCCAAATATCTTAGATCGGGACTTAGGTCCGTTGAACTCTTTGGTGCCTTCACAAAACAGGACTATGTCATATACGTATTCTAATTCAGTAAGTGAATCTTCTAGTAGGAAATCAGCCCTTACAAAGGTAAACGAAAAAAGCGTTAATTCCAAAGGAGTGTCTATGGGGAAGATTAGTAAAAATAAAGTAAAAAAGACATCCTATATTAATACCACTTGAGGTTGACAGTTTCGATGACCGTTCACTATAAGCTCTTACTTTTTCAGTTGTGTTGGAGTAGAGAACTTAAACAAGGTTGATATATTTCCTTGGTACGACACTGTCACAGATCCTTTTGATTAACAGAATCGAACCCTGTTTTAACGTCAGACAGTTTACCCATAGTCGAGCATCCGTAAGTATGCAGGTGTTCTAAAACCTGAAGAAAACTAAATATTTGGTCTATATATCTGTGTCCAGGCAGGAAATCAGCCTATTTTTCTGGTGTTCGCTGTTTACGAGCCTTAGCTGAATGTCGGATGATTATTGAACCTAATGTTACACATACTGTGTTAGTAAAACTAATTTTTGTGGTTGACACGAGTGGATTCTTATCCTTAATGTTAAACTGGGAGAATCAGTGAATAAGACCAGTCAAATGGGATTAGGTCTTTCCCACACTTTAGTTATGATCAAAGTCAGTTCAAAACGTAAGACTCGATCACTATCCTTAAGAATCCCATTTGTTAATGCATCAGGGACCTCCATCCACTTTCGTCGTAGATCTGACAGGACCTTTAAATTTATGTAGGTTTAAGGGGTTCATCTCGATCTTCCTTTCTGTTTATTTTGAAATAGTGGCTAAATAAAAGGTACATGGAAGCCTGTAGAACTGTTGCTTAAAATGCTTTGCTGATTAATCATCTTAAATTCTTTGATAAATTGCATCTATTTCTAGCACTTGCGTATTTTATTTGAATCCTGAACAATAAAACAAGCATAATTTTCATAATTTAGTAATTCACTTATTCACATCACTATTTTAAATTTCAAAGGACGAGTATACTGCGTAGCGGTTCCTTCTGTGAAACATGGCCAAAAAGGGTAAAGGATACCCTTAGGTTACTAGTACTTGATTATAGATGTCTTAGAAATATTGCTGAAATCTGCTGGGATCACCGGGTAAGTAATAGTGAGGCTAGACACAGGGTATTAGGGAATGATGGTAAATCAGTTGATGAGGTTGTGAATCTTCATTGACGCAATGCACAATGCAAACCAGTGTTGGTGGCGATTGGAAGTAAGTTAGGGGCGGCCGAACGAAAACGTGGCATCAGTCATTGAAGTCACTAACTTCTGGTCTGAACCATTTTGGTAGATGGAGACTACTTGGTTGGGGTCCGTGTGACTATCGTAACCAATGGTTGGAGACTGTGTGTGACATGTTTCAGAATCGATCACAACGGCATAGGTGTATACACTCTCTGTCTTCTCTCAAATAATGAGATTGAAATCGCTTCATATCTTTCTTTCTACGAACTAATTCTTTCTTCCTCTACTATATCCTTATATGCAATCTTTCTTATATATATTAACACCATTGAATTAACTACTTCTATGAATCCGGTGTTCATCTTGCTGTGCTAATGAGGTATGGCAACTTGGACCGATGCATATATGTGTTTGGTCCTGTGTTGTAGATGACTGACGGAGTCGATAAGTAATTATAGTCTGACTAATCATGAGAAATACATATTCATGTTTATCTATGTATATACTATTGGTTTTCTAGTTAAAATTTTAATAGTACCCACTTCTTTACAGCGTATTAAAAATAAAAAACACGTTAATTAATTACACTTTGTGTATGTTGCATATTCTACGTTGATAATAATGTTTGTAAAAAAAGAGTAATTTATTTACCAAAATTACTTGTAATTAATGACTTCTATAATTATGACTGTCAATTTGTAATTAAATTTTAATTTATAGTTTGTTACGCTTTAAAAAATACATTACTAAATAGTTTGTTCAGTCTTTTAGATGAACATTTAGCGATTAGACAATGTTTATCAGGAATTAGAATAACTGAACCAGTTTTTTTGTTTATTTGTACATGTATTGATCAAATTTTAAGATAGATAATTTGCAACTTCTTTTGATGCATCTGATTGAATCGAATGCTTACGTGTTTATTAAACTGTTTTGTTTATGGTCAATTAATGAGGCTTTATGCATAAATGGGACATTCTCGTGAACTTACTGTTTAAATTCACTGCGAGTGATAGCCACGTTAGAGTATGTAGTCCCATGACAGCGTGTAACCAACAATAGGTTCATATGCCATCTGTTCCTTCATGGGTGTGGAGCCCATGTGTATAATTGGTTTGTAATCATTGTTTCCATCTTCTCTAAATAGGTTCAACGTACTCACCAACCTGGTTAAAGCCCCGGTCATTCGCTTTTCGTTCTCTTAGTTTTGTGAACAACACCCTAGACACGAGAATGCAGTGAGCAGGGCTTCCTTGAGTGTGATTGTGTACGCGTGAACATAGAGAGTATTTCGGGTGGGAGAGTGAACTCTCTCCAACCTCGGTCATTCCGGGGCATTTGGAGACTGCATATTTTATCGCAAATAATAAGTGCCGACGTGTATAATATTTGAGTGTTTTTTCGAGATCAAGTCAAGTAGCTACAATTTCTTAGTAGAGAGATTATATAGCAAGATTTACTTTAACGAAAGGTGACTTACGAATACCATGACCCAGTTGCTGAATAAATCTACATAACAGATATATAGATTTTTTTCTACCAAAAATAGTTCTCTGTTTAATTTTTGCTTCTCTCCGACATAAATTTTTGTCAATACGTACCATGATTTTAACTACAAGTTAAGAACAAACATGTATATTATATCAATCAATACATGAGTCCAGAGATTTTTAAATTTAAGTATATTAGTGTAAAACACACTGAACTGTGTAAATCATCAATTTGATATTTAATAAAACTTTTTCTGTTTATTTTCACCTCATGATTTTTCCTCTAGGATTCTTTGACCCCACTACATGTGGCTGCTCATTGTGGTAATACAGAAGTGGCACGTGTACTCTTAGACAATGGATGTGATGTGAATGCACGTGCTTTGGTAGGCTTTTCATTTTATGTAACACTGATTTACTACAATTTACTTTCACGCATACTTTTTTCTAGAATGTAAATGGTAGATACGTTTAGTTTTCTTTTGTATATTTTCACTTTCTCTAAATTATGAACAGTAATAAACACTTCGGATCTGTAACCTTATATAATGATCAAGAATTAAACCCGACATATGAATTTATTGCTGTGTGAGTAGTGAATTAGCTGACATTCTTCAACCGTTTATGATATTTCGCAATCTTGTTTATTCCTATGTGTAATTCTTTGTATATCAGGATACTATTCTATTTGAATAAAAAACTCTTCTGGCCAATGATTTGGTTTTAGTTACCAGTTCATTTGTACTGTTAAGTCAGTAATCCGGTTTATCGTATCACTGCATTTATCTTTCGTCTAAGATTCTATTTATTTATTTTAGCAATTAACAACAGTAGTCTTTAATTCTAAACTAAATTATAGCTAATGGTAAAAATTTGAGACCTGTTTCATTCTACTCTATTTGCTATGTACTTAATGGTGATGTTTACACCGGCCCTTGAAATCACAGTACGTAAATATCGCTTAAAGCATCAATCAGTTAAGCAGTAGTCTAATAAAAATTTCAAATAACTACTAATATTAGTTGAAGAAAGTTTACTCACAAAATAACTGTTCAGTGACCAAGCTCCTTTTTACGTAAACTATTCTGTTGTCTTTGTTTTAAGGTTATTGATTTCATCGAATTTATAGTTTAAGAAGATAAAACATTGAATCAGATTCTAGGTCGTGTGTTCGATTTTCACGTGCGGGGTCGTGGATGCATACTACTGAGGAAACCCATGCTCTGACGAGGCAGCTGTCCAATGCTTCTAGGTTTTCAATGGTAGGTTAGTTTAGATCGACTCATGAATTAAACTGTGAAATTACTACAATCTCCACAAATCCCCATACTGATCATATCTGCTTGTTTATCACTGGTACGATCGAGAGTGGGGAGAGTCCGCTCTCCTTCTCGAAATGCTCTCACAAGGCCACGCGTATATAGCCTCTGCCAAGGAAGTCCTACTCACTGCCTTCTCGTGGCGGGGGTGTTCTTTACGAAAATGAGAGGACGAAAAGCGAATGTCCGGCGCTTTAACCGAATTCCGAACCAATGGTGCACATGGGCTCCAGTATCCTGTGGGAACATATGGCGTATGAACCAATTGTTGGTCACCGGCTTCCATGGGACTGCATCTCCTTACGATGCTCCACTGCCTTGTCGATCAGACCTTCAGGTCGAAGGCTCGGGGAGTGGACCCCTAAGAAAACCACCTGTTTCGGTTTGGGCACCCGGGCAGTATCACAGCCTTCACACATATAAAATGAGATCTGTGTGGCGCATATGTATTTGGTGCCTCCTTGTACCAATATCTATGTGTTAAAATCAATAAATAAATAAATTGTACGGGTCTAATTTTCATATCATGTTTACAAGCTTTATATGTTTACTTACTTTTTACTTCTACTAAATTGATTTTATTTATTCATTTATATATATTTCGTATTTACAGAATGGTTTTACTCCATTGCATATTGCTTGTAAGAAACAAAAAATTCGAGTTATTGAACTACTTCTTCAGTATGGTGCACAAATCAATATGACTACTGAAGTAAGTTCTGTTCCATTATCATCATATATTGGATTAATATAAGTTATTCCATTAAATAAGATGATAATGATAAAGATTGAACGTTGAAAATGTACAAAAGTACAATGAAAAAATGTACATGATGGGATGCTAAATAATCAAGATGGAAAATATGAATACATCTGAGCTAATATGATTTTAAACCACGTCAATCAACGTATCCAACCATGTATCGTGTTTATTGCATTAGTCCAACAGTTTATCACCTAATGAATTGATCTCATGTTTTTATTTGTTCACACTTGTCAATCATTTATCATCGTAGATCTTAACGAGGATGTATACTCTTTACTTAGTGAAACTGTGGAACTTCATGGCCACTTTATAATAGGCGATTTATAGGTTACTAGTTTTTGGTTGTAGATGATGGCATAATATCATTCCTTGAAGTTATTAACTGCGGGATCGCTCTGTTTTGATAAGTAGGTCATATACTGAGGATCGGTCACAATGGCACAAACGCATTCACTTTTTTGTATTCCGTTAAATCTTGACTTTAGAAACTACTTAAGTGTTTATGCTACAAGTTCATTCTTCTTGAGTCTTATTATCCTATATCTAATGTATTCTACTACTATTGATACTGCTTCTACATCTAATGCACTGGGATTTGCCTTGATATTTTCATCTCGTTTTACCTATATATTATTGTGTGGCAACTTAATCCGATACATGTATATAGTAGGTTCCATGTTACTTATGACTGACTCTTTGATTAACTCTGCTTACATGTCGCTTATACGTAATTCCTTTTTTGAACAAGAACATATTACCTTTGCTGATTAATCTAGTTAAATGTTGCATTTAAGGTTATAATAAATTATGAATCTGTTGATTTGTTTATAACACTAACTCTATTGATTTTTTTAAAAAGTAAATTGTTTTTTGAATTACTTTACAATGATTTAACATAGTCTGGCCTATCTCCATTACATGTGGCAGCATTTATTGGTGGTCCAGAGATTGTTCAGTTATTAATACAACATGGTGCACATGTGAATCAAGCTACAATGCGTTGTGAAACAGCATTACATTTAGCTGTACGTAATCGACAAGTTAGTGTTGCTGAAACACTTATCTATCATGGTGCATCGGTAAATGCTAAAGCTAGAGTAAGTCACGCCAACACATTTTTATTTTAGGTTTGGTTATTATAACCTTGTGTTACATTATCTTTATTAGGATATTATTAGTTATTTTGTTTTTGATGCTAGTTGTTTGGCGAAAGTTAACAAAAAAGTGTGAACTTAGGTTTTGTGCTTTTTGGTACGCTTGAACAATATATGTCTATAATGTTACAGGGACTGCTTTTCCCTCGTGGATTCGAACTCAGGTTACCATACTTGATAATCTGAAACGTTAGCATTCAGCTACGACTGACTTCTTGTAGAACTGTGATATTTATAATTGATTAATAACTGTGGTGATCAATATCATTTTTACCTGGTCTTTTACTGTTAGTCGGATCCCGTTGACCAAGTTGTTATGTAGTTGCTAGTCTAAATAAATCGACATAACATGCACTATTTTGGAATGTTTGTTGGTTTAAGGTAGTCGGAAGAAACCTTGGATGTGATATGATTAGTGTCTTTATCTGCAAAGTAGCGAAGTAAAGTTTTTCAAATTTTGCATTTTTACTGCTTCTATATTGTAAAGTAATGCTTTGGTAAGAACTATTTTCGATAACCTCTTTGGTTGTTACGTTAGGAACATTATCATTTAGCATTGTTAATATAAGTATATACGTTTAATCATCTGAATAATTCATGGATGGATGTTTTTTGTTAATTATTTAATCGTGTGTTTTGCGTGTATCTCTGGTTTATGATAGGGTTGTCAACAGACCACTCTTTGTTTTTCCTTTTAAGTCAAGATACGTGAAGAACTCATCAATGTTATATTTAATTTTAATTTGTTTCCAAAAAATAAACTCATGATATTAACTATCAATGCCAAGGTTAGACATGATAGTTTAGAAAAAGCTGAACAGTGTTAGAAAGCTGATAATAAATATATTTTTTGTTATATCCCAATGAGTAAAAAATTGTATTTCTGACGTTTCGTGACTTAATGTAAGCCAGTTCATCAGAGTAAATGAAAAACCTAATTTAATTAACACAATTTTAAATAGTCGTTTCCTCTCTTTACTTTCTTCAATTTTTACTCATGATCTTCCTCAGAAAACACTTGTTAGGTTTGCGGTTGGTCTCACCGTATGCACATAGATTTCTACCGCTTTACTCCACCCTTCTAAAATAAATGAACGACACTCTGCGTTAATGATCTCACACTTATTTCTTCTGAATATCAAACTATTAACTTTAGCTTGGGACATTAACAGCACTTGAACACACTGTCGGGTTCCCACAATTTTATACTATTGGAGATTTTTGTAATAAAAGCGGTTTCAGAGGTTATTTATCTTGGTGTAAACTTGTCCTCTGATCTCTCTTGGTCTTCTCATGTTTTATTGATATCTAAGAAAGTTTCCCGTTTGATTTACTATGAAAATAGACCATACGTTTTTGGCATTACTTGACATTTACTCTCTCGATTTGTAAATTCCTGGATATTACCCACTATTCTTTCTCGGGCTTTTCAGAAAAGATTTCGCTGTATTACGGAGAGTGCTAAAGTCAGTTGGCATGGTGCGTGTTAACTCTTTTAAGGTTGTTATGAATATAGTTGTGTATATACATTTAAAATCTTGCAAATTTCTAGCAGGTGTTATCTTATCAGATACTAATGTTCCACCTCATTCACATCTTTCTCGTTTCATATCTTCTGATTGGAAGAGTCGTCAATACATTAAAATCCATGCACGCAAGCAAAGGTATAAAAGTTCTACCATGCCTTATCTAGCAAATATACTGTGTGACGATCAAGTTGTTAGAGTTGACCTAGTCAATAACTTGTCTTCTTAAATATGTTGCTAATTGAAAATTGTATAGATTCAAATCTTCCTAAAACCTTTTTCGTTTAATCCCAGGTAGTTTATGAACTTAATTTATGTGTATGTGTGCAGTTATCTTATCTTTCTCGTTTTGCAAAAGAAACTTGTTGAAATACTCTGTTCTGAGAATTCTATATTGTACTAAGTTTATCATATTAAAGTAAGCCAATAATAATGCTTTTAATCTTAGTCTTATTATGATATAAATAAATTTGTGTGATCTCTGGAGATTTATCCTATCTGAATTAGATTAACTGTTCTAATCCTCAAATTTCTTCTGCTCATTTTGTGGTATTAAATTAATTACAAGTTGTGTTATAGCCCTCTGTCAATCAGTTCCATTTATTTCAATTATGTATATCTAGACACTGTGGGTCGGCAAATTAATTGTTGTCAGGGCTTTTATTTTTTAGGTAAATACAAAAGAACTATATGCAATGCAATAGGTTTTCTGACTAGTAATATTGTTTAGCACTACCCAAATACACCACAAGCATACCCTAATCTCCATTGCTTGGTCAGCAAATTTTTGCTAAAGTTCATTTCCTTATCTTTATTACTGTTTCTTATTGTTTTTCAACTCAAAAAGTGTCAATAGGTTTCATTAATTAAATCTAATTTCGTTATTCAGGTCAATGTATACCATAACCTTAGAATAACTGAATTAACTTCATTTTTACAGTACTATCATTTTCTAAAATTCAGTATTTTGATTATTATGATATTTCTATATTATGCATCATGGGCTGAGGTTAGTTAGAAATGTAAATGCCCTGGTACGGCCGAGAGTGGGGAGAGTCCGCTCTCCCTCTCGAAATGCTCTCACATGGACACGCTTATATAGCCTCTGCCAGGGAAGTCCAACTCACTGACTTCTCGTGGCATTACTGTTGTTTACGAAATTGAGAAGACGAAAACGAATGTCCGGCTCTTTAACCGGGCTGGTGGATACATAGAGTCCACCTATGGAAGTTGGAAAACTCTGATTCCAGAACAAGTAGTGTACATGGGCTCCAGTATCCTGAGGGAACGAATGGCGTATGAACCAATCGTTGGTCACCGGCTACCATGGGACTGCATCTCCCAACGTTGCTTCACTGCCTTGTGGATTAGATTTTTAGGTTGAAGGCTCCGGGTGTGACCCCCCAAGAAAACCACTTGCTTTGGTTTTGGCACCCGGGCAGTATTACAGCCCTCATACATATCAAATGAGATCTGTGTGGCTCATATATATTTATTGCCCCCTTGTACCAATATATATGTGTTAAAATTAAAAAAAATCGCTATTAAGTGGTCTTAAGTTCAAACGCTAGCGTAGAAACCTGAAGGGTTGGGTATATTGTTTGCTTTGCCTGAAAGTCTCACTCTGAAACTAAACAGCTGTTCGTTACATATTGGGTTTCAGAGTTTGGTAAGGATCAGTCCGCGATATTGAGCATGAAAATCAAAGTAATCTATTGAATGATATTCTCTAAAAACTTTCTAATATAGGTTGATAACGTATCTCTTCTTAGTGGGATATTAACGTTTAATATTGTTATCTCTGTAGTTCATTATAGCTAACATCTAGTGTTACCATTTTTAAAAATCTGTTTATGGATTATAAAGTTGAACATGATAACTGAATTACTCTTTCTCCCTCCATTGGTGTAGTGATGGTTTAGTGTTTAAAGTATTCAGCTTACAACCACTGAGCTGCACGTTCAAGTATTATACGATTGCAAGTTTCTTTCATTTTTCCATCCATAATATAAATGGAATAAATATTTACGTTGAGATATGTATCTGTACGACTATTATTAACTTCAGATTATGCAAATAAACTATTACAAATCCTCATGATATATTGTCCTTTCTTTTGGGTATTGTTATTGTAAAAATCAGTCGTAAGTTTTTTCTTCACTTCTACATTGTCATTATATATTCCTTTTCACGTGATCTACAATGAAATAATTAATCTTACTGTTAACACATTATCGACTATCTGCACACATTCTCAACGTACCATGTTTATATATCTGTCAATAACCGTGATCTATCAGCTGGTGAATTAAACCCGAGTCATGGGTAAATGAAAATACAAGTACCTTTAATGTTCACAAAAACCTTAAAACGGTTACACTGGAAAATGGCTAATCACAATACTTCCAAAGATAATGCCAATTGAAATCGATTTCATGAAGAGATGAATAAGTTATAACAGTCTTTGTTTATCAATTGTTATTCAGTGTTTATTTTCGCTAAAACATACAGGAATTAGTCAGATACAATCGGGCGACAATTAATACACCACAGAAAATCCATTGACTATATGAAGGTACCGGAAGTCAAAGCAATTACTGCAACAACATAGTTCTAATTATAAATAGTCGAGAAAAATTAGCTCAAATGAATGGAAGAGTAATTAAGGTTTCCTGTCTATCCAACTGCTCATAAAGAGTCACTTAGTCTGGTAATAACAGGCAAAACTTGATCGATGGAATTCCATCATCACTAAATACCAGACAAATGTGATGTCAGTTACTACGCAATCACCAATCGATGCAAAAATCTCAGCAATGTAGAAAGGTAGTCACCATCTGAATGACTCTTTGACAACATCTCTTACCCTGAAGCCGGGTGATGCAGGTTCGAATCCTACAGAACGCAACAATTCCTCTAGGATTCGATTGTTCTTTATTGACAAGTCTCAGCTAGAACGAAACCTAGAGCTACATTGTGAGCGCAATGATTTTAGAATTCTATGCATGGATATTACACTCTCTGTATAAGTGTCACAATTATTTTGACAACGCGTAATCGACTCAAGGATAACAAAGGCATTTGTTTGGTGGTGTTCGCAGTACTTCAACAGTGCTAGTTGTAAGCTATCCATGGAATAAAACATTGCAAAGTACTTGCTTATGAGATGGAGTCGATAATACCTCAGTTAAATTGTTGGAGTTTTTTGGTAGATTTACTTTCGACAAACAAAAAATCATACTCCTATTTCCAAGAAAGCAACCAATTTAAGTGTAGACAGTCATGCACGATAAACCATTGTTTCTTTAACGAAGACTTTGATGAATGAATGATGTAAAATTCGAGACAAACAAGGAAACATTGTACATTTGAAGTAGTAATAATAATCTCATTTGTATCAAATATACATTTGATGCACATGATTAAGATGATTCAGATCAATAAGGTTTCATATAATAGGTATGATTATCAGAATTAAACTTGATAATTTGAACAAATTGGTTGCTATAAATAAAATAATATATTTGTCATATCCCACTGGAATATTAAAAATATATTAGTTTATTTATAAGGTTTCATATAGGTTGAAACGAATGATCATTGCTGTACAACATATACTCTAGGGATTTCTCAACTCACCCCAAAAATATAACACTGTATCCAGGATTTCCTACTTACCGCCTCTAACCAGTGGCCTCGCATTTAAACCCACTATATGATTGTCGCTACCTTCATTTCTGATCCATTTTTAATATTCTTGTAAATTCATACTATTAGATAATTCTTTACTTTAATCTCATGATTTGCTGACATGAGATGTTTATAGTCAGATTTATTATTCCTCAATCCACACACTGATTTTAACTCACTGTTAAACATGATCCCTTAAGTATACTTATGATCATTTATCTTGTATAAGCATATTTTAGCTTCACTAGTGTGTCTTTGACGTGAGTTACAATCTTTGATTAGTCGAATTACTATTCTCATTGTAATATACTACGTACATATATACAGTATATATGTATCCACTTTTTATCCCAAATGTTTTATTTAATTGGGAAATTGTTTTTTTCAAATCCTGATCGACATCTTGACTCTTTTGATGCTTTGACAAAAAAAGTTTCCTTGGTTTATATACAGGAATTTTTGAAAAATTTAGCTATATATTCTTTCTTTGAACCCATTTATAAATTTATACCAAGGCAGATTATACTTGTCGTGATCAGTATTGTTATTGTTAAAGTGGTCGTTCAATGTTTCATTCATAAAAAACTACAGTATACATTGATTAAAAGATATAATTGGAAGTTATAGGCTTCTCTCATCACCCGAAGATGGCTTCAAATTACAATGAATAATAACGTGTTATAATTTACATATACCTTAGTCAATGAACTCGATTCTGAAAAAGAATTACAGCAAGCAGACATAAACTGTTCAGTATGATGTTTAACATTGCTGCGTATGTGTGTGTTGAAATAGAGATAGTATAAAGAAGGGGCTGATATCATAAATTCTGGTTGTGAAGCGAAATGGGAAAAAATAACAAATGAGTGATTGTGTAATCATATTGCCTAGTCTTTCATGTCATTACTGTTATCAAAAAATAAGCGATCGATTGCAAAGTAGATAACATCAAGGTAAATGGTTATAAAACGCACTTCAGGATGAAATCACTTATCTCACACCTTATCCCGTATTCATGATGATGTAGATGAAAATGTTTTATTCCGAATAAATAAGTCTGTTTGTATTTATCTTATGTGTGTTTGTGTATTGTTTTTTTATAATAATTATGCTTTAGTTTGAATAATTCTATGTGATACCATGGAGTAATCGAGTTGCATAATTTGGCTGATTGAATTGGGGATTATAAACACAGCTTTGGTCCTTGTTGACATTCTTAAGGGAGCTGATGGTCCTTATGGAATTATAGTTCCCCTAGTATTGCAGTCATGGGTGTTGCTATGAAATTTGAACTGCGACAGATATCTTCTAACTGTAGGTGGAAATCGATAAAGAGCTTATTCAATTCCAAACAAATGTCTCTGACTGTGACACTGAGAGAAGCTAACAGGAAGCAACAACTGTCTAAGGATTTTATGTCCATCTAAAGAGATACAATCTTCTCATTTTTAGTAGTAATAAGAATAACTCCATTTGTAAACGGTTTGTCCCATTGGTCTTTTTTGTTTTAGGATGAACAAACACCGTTGCATGTGGCTTGTTTAACTGGGACACCAGAATTAATCAATGTATTGTTATCATGTAAAGCTAATCCGAATCTACCAGCTCGTGATGGTTATACAGCTTTACATATTGCATCTAAAGAAGGTCGTCATGATTTGTTAGGTCAATTGTTAGAAGCTGGTGCTGATTTAAACGCTCGTACGAAGGTTAGTAGTCTTTTTTGATATGAACAATTTTTTCTGGTCAGCGTTTTTTTGCGATTTAGTCTTCTACGGGATGGGGTCGCTAACCTCATGCCCAGCCCTCCTTCTTTATCCGGGTGTTGGGGATCGGCAATAGCCACAAAGGGGCTCGATATTCTTATTTTCCTATTTTATTTCGCATTGGTTACCACTAACTTTTGTAAATTCGATTATGAATTTTGATATACATTTTCATCATTGTGCTCTTAATTCTGCTTTTAACTGTTCATTCCTTCTCCTGTCATTCACATTCAGTTAACTAACTCATTGATTTTAAAAGACTCTCCTCAGGAATTCAGTAAAAATCCATAAAATATGTCAATAGAAACTTACTTTGAAAATTATTACTATTTAGTATTGCTCATTTGTCTGAAGTACACTTTTTCTACACTGAACGTTGACTGACACTTTTTTTAAGTTTAAGGCCTAGTATATTACTGTTGCCGAAAACCTAAACTCAAAAGAAATGGGTTTAATCCTGCATGACCAAGTAATCATAAATGGAGTACATTAATTTTATTATCACCTCTACACTTTTGATTCTAATCACCACAAGTGCTTTTTGTATTTCTGAAAATAATTTGAAATCCTGTTATGGGTTTGTAATTTTGTATTGTGATATTTATGAGTGCACTTTGCCAATCTCTATTGCCTATGTTATTTTTAAGTAGAGTGCATAGATATATCTTTATGTCTTACTATTTATTTATTTATATATTTGTACAAGGAGGTATCAAATATATATGCACCACACAAATCAGTGAGTATCTATGTGGGCTAGGATATTATTTCCCAGTCGCCCAAACCGAAGCAGGTGGTTTTCTTATTGGGTTACTCCTCGATCCTTTAATCTGAAGGTGTAATCGACAATGTAGTGGATCAAGGTTAGGAAATGTGAATCCCTGCTGACTAATAATTGGTTCATACACCATTTGTTCTCTCAAGATCATGGAGCACATGTGCACCATTGATTTGGAATCTGGATTTTCCAACTACCGTAAATGGATCTTCCGTATCTACCAAATCAGTCAAAGCACCGATCATTCACTATTCGTCCTCTCAATTTCGTATATATATAATATACAAATTTGAAATTTTTTTTACATCGTTTGTTTTGTTCCTTACTATTTTTATTTTCTTTTTCTGTTTTGTTTTACTCCATGTATGTGTACAAAAACACACAGAAAGGTTTCACCGCTCTTCATTTAGCCGCTAAACGTGGTCAAGTCAAAGTAGCTAAACAATTAATTCAAGCACAACCGAAAAGTGTTAACGCTATCGGTCAGAATGATTTAACTCCTTTGCATATTGCTACACATTATAATCGTTTACCTGTCGTACAATTATTATTGGATAATAATGCACAAGTAGATTGTCGAGTAAGTTTAATAAATTAATGTTTATTATTATTGATAAGTCTTCTAAATGAATAATCAATCCCATTTCCTAGCTGCGTCTAATAACATCAGGCTAATTTTACACAGCAACTTGAACACAATGAGATAATGAGAGGGAATTGTTAGAAGAATGCTTTGCTCCGTGATTAGTTTATCTACAGAAAATCAGGGCATTTATGTAGTTTTAGGCGACCTTGGGCTTCTGGAAGTTTCTTGAAACGTACTACATATAGTAGCAACATAGGAATGTATGCAATCGGAAACGTGGCTTGGGAGTCTTCACTTTCTACTTGCTCCTTGGAAGCTTTGCACCGTTGATTAAATTTCCCAGCGTTTTCTGGGCCACTTGGACTTTTTTTGAGGATCCTTTTAGTGTACCCCAACAACCACTAATAATAATATTACTATTGTTATTTTTATTTGTAGGATATCAGTCCTATAAATTTTTTTAACCAAACTTTTGTATATATTACCAAGGTTTTAGTGAGAAATTCAAACTGTTATATCAACAGCTTTTCGTATATTTGTTGTGTCATCATGTATAAATTACTCAGCCCAACCATATGAATATCATGTAACTTCTACTTGGTGCTCTAATGAAAATTTGTTCTGAAAACGTAAATCAGCAAGAACAGGTTTCTATAAAATCAACTGTTGTGACTAAGTTCGGCTAGTTATCACACAATTGAGTCCAGAACATCAATAGCAGCTTCCACTATGCGAATCGTTTATTTCTGACATACTTGGTTTATATACCAGCCAAACAGAACTCATCGCACCATAAAATAGGAAATAACATACGTAATAAAGCCAAAAAGTGGCTGTGAATGTAGGAGACAGTAATTAGTAAACTGAGTATAATTTAAGAACAGTAAATCGTTCGATAACAAATTATAGGCCAAAATGAAGCTTATAATAATAGGAATATAACTATACACAATTTGTTACTGAACAATTTTACAGTAGGAATATATGTATAATATTAGTCCATTAATAGATCTCAGAAGTTACTCGTAGTTTAATCTTCGCTAGGAATAACATCAAATATTAGCAAATTATTTTTTTGATATTATATTGATTAACAGGGATTCCTGTAGCAAATAGATCCCCAAACAAAATAAAAATCGATACGTACGGTCTCCTAATTTTTGTGTCGCTCATTTTACTCGTTCGCATATAAAAAAATTCTTTATGTGGTCAATAATAGGTTTCGCTTCTAATATAAAACATCCTAAGTTGAAAAATTCGAAATCCTTATTGGTTTATTTCTGTACATTGAAAACTTAAAAGACTTATAATCCTTCCTGTTTTTAAAGTGTAAACTGCTGTTAATTATGTAGATTAAATTGAAATGATAAGACTGCCCTTAAAAATAGTTCGCAGCTACTTTTTTTCAATATGCTATTTATTCAACTGCAAACATATTTCAACTAGTAACACTATCCATGTATTTAAACCATACAAAGTGGATAACGAATCAAACCTACAACCTAATAATGAAACTCTTGCGGTTTCAATTTACAGATTATCGTTTCATTCTGATCTCATTATAGTTTGTGTAGTGACTTGTTATTATAATAGGGTAACCAACTGTGCCGTAATAAATGATGGCAAATAGAGTTTATACAAAATAGCTAAACGAATAATTTCACTAGGCCACATACCCACTAAGTTATTTAGCCAAGTCTGTATGACTAAATTTAGAATCCATCAAGTAGATAAACTTCTTAAGTACATTCTCAAGTAGTTACTTATCAAAGAAGAAGCGTATTCATGAAAAACAACAGATGCCGTTCTTTCAGTTAAGGATAAAGTAGTTCAATCGTATACACACATAACCAGTAAATGGTACAACTAAACTTTTAAAGAGTATGATGTAATTACTTTACGAGGGAATTAATGCTAACGTTATACTGCAATCCAATTCAAGTAGCAATAATCCAAATAAGTATTATGGCAGTTGCCAGGTTCCTAAATCTATTGGTACAAAATAACACAATTTGTAGAAGTCATGTCTATAAAATTATACTCGAAGTAAATCAATGTTGCTAGTAAAACGACTGATAACAGTCTTATCTGGTTTCAGAAAATAAACAGAATCTGAAAATTAAGGTATCGAAAATAATAAAAATCCTCATTTAAGGGCACGACAGAGTGTTATTGTTTCACTAAATGTATCCTTGCAAGAAATTCCACAAAATAAGCAGACAAAAAGAATCTTACAGTGTATGATATCCGGTGCTGCTGTGAATAATGACGACTATTGATAGATCGACAAACTTATAGTAAAGTCTTTCAGGTAATTTCATATTTGATGATGGAATAAAAATAACAGATAATGTCTTTTCCTACTACTAGTCAACTATCCCAATCCCCTCTTTTTAAACACAATTTAATGACATTTCATTGAAAAAAGCAATCATAATTCTTTTTCCAGTTCATTATCATCAAATTCATATTCTGTTCTTGTTTTGTGTGTTTACTTACTGCCTTGTTTAAAATGCATGAACACACACTCACACACACTAGTAACCTACAATGCATTCTATGCTGTTTTCTTATTTCTCTTGAGAAGGAATTTTTTTATTTACAAATAGGTAGAGCCTACATGTTAGGGATCATAGTTTAATCGGCATTTATATCTATATTATCAATTCTTTTATTGCTCTGTTGGGCGTCATTTGTTCACTCAATTGATTTTATCCATTACATAACGTGTGGTATTATTATTATTTTTACTAGTCATGTGTTCTGTGTTCATCCACGTGATAATATCTTAGTTAAGCCACCATATATTTCATTTGAGTTAGTTATATATATTATAATAGAAAAATTACAGTTATGCTTTGTAGGTGTTCGTACATGCATGTGCGTATAATTAACTCAGTTTAATACACTTTGATTAATGACTTGGCTTGTGAAACAATGTAGGAACTAAAAATGCTTTGGTCAAAATTGTCGAATGTTCGAAACAGAAAAACAATAATAGGCTAATGTTATGCTTTTTTCTTTACTATTGATTTATTCAAAAAGATTCCTATTAGAAAACAAACAGACAAAATAAGCATTGGTTTTTTTCTTTATACCTTATTTTATTTCTTAACTAATTTAACAAGTTCGGATTCATGTACCTGACTTCGAATCACACTAACTGTGAAAGCTAATGATATACTATCCGGTTGATCAACTCGAAACAGATGTAGCCAGTTTCTAATATGTGTCTTAGTGACTGTAAGTCACACTGCCTAATCACTGAACAATCGCTCAAAAACATTTGACATTTGGAACGATCTATTCTTCAGTTCGTGTTTGTAAACTGTTCATTTTTACTACTACATCGTTTCACTTAATGCTGCTATCGCTTCACTTATCTTTGCTCATCAACGTCTACAACATGCGTGAACCGCATGCCCACACGTTTAAGTTCAAAATAATTTCATAATCTCATCCTTATGAATAATTTACTGGAATAAATCAATTTATTGCCTTATATGTGAGCACTAGAATAATTCTGTTAGTCTACTATTATCAGCCATTCAAATATTAATTCCCTGTTTTATGTTAAATATCTTATACAATTAGAATCAATCAGATGATGCTCCAAATATTCACATCTTAGAAAACGAGTCAAAATTATCTGAATTCAAAAATTAGTCTTATAAATGTTATCAACCCTTTATTAGTCGTATTGTAGCCACATACACTTGACATATCTTAATCTACAGCTTCATCATTGGGAAAGTTAAGTAGATGATGTATCTCCTCGACGCTTATTTTTTCGATTAAACGTGGATGAAACAACTGTTTGATTATTGGATGTTATTCATCTTCAGGTGAAATATAGCTGGTAATGTGTGTACTTGAATAGAAAAATCAATCAAGTTTATAAATGAGCGATATTGTTGTTTTATTTCTTTTTCGATCACATATTCTTAATCTTCGATGAAGTTTTCGGATTTGTAGTTTTGAAATTACGTTTTTTTCTGTTAAGGATATGATCCACTTTTATGAATGAGTGGCGGTTAAAACCACTTCAACATATCGGCACTTCACATTGTCCAAATCTTTTTGTCAGCATAGTGACAATAAAAAGCTTTAATCAGTAAAGATGCCAACCGATTCATGCGATATACTTAGTGTTTATATAAACTTGATAAATTTATCTCAGTTGCTAAATAAAGTACTCGATTTTGCTGAATATTACTCAAAAAAATAAATACCAAAATACTTATTTTGGTTTCGTTAATTTTCAGACAATGATTACAGTGCTTTTTGCCACTTACCAATGACTAAGCAATAATCTATAATATCATACCCTTATATATTGGATAAATCCATTTGATTGTTATTCTGTCTTTCTTTATCGATAATTTTTTTAAGGGACTGTTGAACTTTGAATCTAGTAATTTATTTTACTGCTAGGTCTTAATGCTGTTATAAATTATGTGTTTACACCTGTTGTTTTTGTTTTAAGGCTGGCAATGGTTATACGTCGTTACATATGGCAGCTAAACAAAATCATTTAGATATTGCTACACTTTTATTGGCTCATGAATCTGACCAAATTCAAATCGCAAATTCATCATCACGTAGTGGGTTTACACCATTGCATTTAGCTGCACAAGAAGGTCATACTGATATGGTTTCATTACTACTACAACATGGAGCTGACCCAAATCATCAGTCGAAAGTATGTTGAGTTAAATATTCTTTTAAATTATAAAATTTATTTAGGCTTCACTATTGACACATTACTGAATAAAAAAAGATTAATTAATTTAATCAATATTTAGTTAGCTAGTTGTAATCAATCAATCAATAAGCTTTAGCTCATATTGTCACGCCATATTAACAAAACGAAACGAATTTCATGGTCACTAATCAATCGCTGAAAATTTAGATGTAGGAATTGTGTTTTCTAAGAGTATATTTATGATAAAATTAAGTAAAAGAGGCGATGCTGTACAACATTGACGAAAGACTTTTAATGTCATCAATTCAGACAACTGTTCATCATAAGCTTTGACTTAACCAGCAGTGTTTGATTAGAGGGTCGTCACATAGTTTACTGACTTCATTATTGTTATGCCCCGATATATATATGATGATGATTGTAGCAGCTGAATTGTTGGAAAACTTTGGTGATTCAAAATCGCTGGCAGATACTAACTATCAAAAACATTCGTAAAATATGTTTCCAAATGATTACAGCTTAAGTGTATGCTAAGTAGGATTTTCTTATAATATTGAGAAATTTTTGTAATGAATAAATTTATTATTATTCTTAAAAAAATGTATTTGTTTCTCTCACAGAATGGTCTTGCACCACTACATTTAGCCGCTCAAGAAGATCACGTGTCAGTGGCACAAATTTTAAAATCCGCTGGTGCTAAAGTTAGCCCTCTAACTAGAGCTGGTTACAGTCCGTTACATACAGCATGCCATTTCGGACAAATTAACATGGTACGCTACTTATTAGATTTACCCGATGCACCAGATATTAATCAACGAACACAAATGGGTTTTACTCCGTTACATTTAGCTGCACAACAATGTCATTCACAAGTGGTTCGTTTACTCCTAGAAATGGGTGCTGACAGTAATGTTAGAAATCAGGTAGGTGATAAATTCTTTTATTCTTTTAATACTTTGACAGTACCATCAAGACATTGTATGAGTTTCATTTCACTAAAATTTAAGTGTAAACAATAGTTTCGCACTATTTGAGATCGATCGATAGATGTTAGTAGTTCACTGACTAATTACGAGTACTGAATGGTATGTTTGGATAGTCCTTATTAATGTTCGTGTCCTATTTATCAGGTTACAATGGAGTCACCAGTTTTAACGACTTATTATTGCGCGCACTGTGTTTTAATATTTAATAGTTTGAGTATAAAAATGCACACACCTTGGAGAATAATAGATTAATTACTAGATCATATGTTTTGTACATTTTTGGAATATTTTCTAATGTTAATTGCTGATTTACCATAATTTATGCCAAATTGTCAATGATTATCAGGGAATAGAACTTATGTAATACTTTCTAACCAAATTTCTCTGTATGTTTGCTAGTAAATCAAATCAGAAATCCAATTCTAATATATCTTTCACTTTTAATCGATAGCACATTTTAGACGTTTTTCTCTGAAATCATTAACTGAACACTGTTAGACTACCATTGATACTTGAAAACACTGGACGGCCGTTTCATTAGTTTTTCTAGTTTCATCGAAGCATATATATATATATATATATATATATATATATATATATATATATAGTCAAATGCTATAATTCAAATGATTTCAGTTGATTTTATGTACTTACTGTGTTTGCAACAATGAATACATCACAACGACTCTGGAAATATCCTTGACTAGTGTATGGCTTTACGTATTATTTTGAAAATTATTTGCAAGTTGTTTATTAATGCTTGTCTCTTGACAAGTAAAATCAAAGCCGAAATATAAATAGGCTTACCAGTATTCATAAATTCTGATACAAAAGCCATCTGTTTATTTTCGCTTCTCAGCAATTCTGAGTTAGAGAAATAGTGATATTTCTATGATCTTGTGATAGTACTCTAGGTAGTGCGTTCGTGGGTTCTGCCAGTTCATTTTTAGGTACAGCGTCTCAGGTTTGAATTTCTCATCCATCTTGTTGAGCTTAGAAATTTGAGTTGAATTTCTAGTCACACCATATTAGCAGTGATGAAGTTGAACAGTATTTGTTTGGCCACATCGACAATAATTCCGTTTTTGTCACCATCTTGAAACACTGGCTGTTTTACTTCGAGTTTGTTTTACAAATGTCATCCCAGCGGCCTCCACTTCATGCATTATTTGTCATCCTTATAACTAGTTTTAATATGCGAGGTGGTATTCAGTTTATGGTATGATATCATGGTCTATAAGATATTGTATGGGAAATGGCATCTGCGTGTCTATAATGACTTCTTGATCGAGGTCCTAAAGATGCGATGATGTGAAACGTTATCACGTATGACACAGAAGTGAGTAGAAAGCGGTCTTTTTGATAACGTTTTTATCAGAACTGTTCCTCATATTATGATTTGTTTTCATTCACTTTTATTCATTTCTTTAATTGTATCATGCTGTTCCCTCTGCTTTTTTTTCTCAACAATTTTTATTTCTTTATTTTGACACTGTTTTCTTGGTGTTTATCGGTATAAAATGAAATTGGTAGCTGCCATGTAAATCTCTTGCGCGTCGAAACTGACTTTATTAACCTTAGGTATGGACTTATTATATATTGAAGTATGCATAAATGATATTGACTTTCATAGTCATAACCTTTCTTACTACATAAATCCAATAATACAATTAGTTTTCTATCAATTTTATATTTGACGTAGAAACACATCTTTCTCAAAGCAACCTACTGATCGATACATATATGGTCATTGATGAGGCTAGTTTTTCATGGTAAATCTCATTCGATACCATCGGTAAATAAATTTATAACCATGTGAAGTCATTTGGAAAATTTTCGTATTTACTGGTAATGTAATTGCCACGATACTTTTTAAACCATAAAAGTTTCCCATAGTTCTCTTGCTTCTAATATGACAAACATAAGTTCAATAGCGTCAATTAACCTTAATTAGTCCATACTCTTCCTATCTGTGTGTGCTTAGATTTTTGTGGATTGCATATACTGTGTACGTCTAAAAGCCTGTATTTTTTTACAGTTTCTCTCTGTTTCTGACTGCATTCATATTGTTCATCTTAACATTCTATTCGTTTCTAGATTTAATTTATTGGTCGTATCACAATATCACAGATTCGTAACTGGTACTATTTTGTATTGTAAACTTCCTTAAAATTTTTATCAAAATAACCTAAAATCTACATTCCGTTGAAAATAGTTTCGTTATAATGATTGTTGGATAGGAATAAAGAGGATTTCCTCTGAATTGTCGTTATATATACTGAGACGTGAAAATATAGTCTTTGGAAATTAATAATGATGGTACTTATCATTGTGGTTATTATTATTATTAGCGTTATTGTTATATTGGCTTAAATGATATGTATATAATCCACGCTTCTGTGTGTTTCTTTTGCTCTTCATTTCACATTTCATTCTATACGTTGGACTCTAATGGATATTGCCATATCATGATCATCACTATTCACTAAACACCTCTTTATAGCAAGGTCTGACACCAGCACATATAGCACGTAAACAGCATTATGTCACAATATTTGATATTTTAAAAACTGTCACTACAACTGTTGTCAGTTGGGAGGAGGAACATGAAGAACTTGATCAAACGCTAATGTTAGAACATCCAGATTTTATGCGTGAACATCCATTTACAGAATTAGATGAAGATGGTGTTGGTATGTTATTTAGCAATTTTTAATATTCATATGTTAGTTTTTGATGAAAATTTGCAGTATTTGTCTAATTATTTATAATCCACTTGTTATTCATCGACACTGCTTTCCTATTTCACGCCGTATTTCTCGCTATATATGTGTTTTTCACTCAGTATATTGTGATGGGTTTCACAAATTTGTTCATCATACCAAACGGTTTGAGATATGTTCAGACACATAATAATGTTCATATAAATTATTGTTAATTTTGAGTGATATAAGTAAGTTGCTTTAAGGAAGAACTCTTTTTTATTTAATTCATTTACAGTGGTGGGCAATTGTTTCGATACGTGTTAAGTTATAAAACTAAAAATAATTTGTATATTTGTTAGCATACCAATGCAGAGTGAATTGTGATATGAAAATCAACTGCTTAATATTTTGTAATTCGGTGGTTATAGGAGAGAAAAGCATATATTCATCACGGCAAGAGAAGTAACTTAATAGTTGAAACGGAGGACAATTATTCTATTAAGTTGATAATTAATTAATTACTATGATAATATCGAAAACAGAGACATCTTTTACCAATTAAATTCATGAGTCCATCTAAACTAGACCACCGTTAAAAACCTGGAAGCACTGGACGGCCGTTTTCTCCTAGTGTGGGACAGCTCAGCAGTCCACATCCATGATCCTGCATACGGGATTCGAACCTAGAACCTTCGGTCTCGTGTACGAACTCTTAACCTCTAGAACACTGAGCCAGGACTAGCCAGATTAGCTTCAAAATAGATTTCGTGGAGTTCTACTGCGAAGCCTTGTCCAGTGTAGTACAACCCATGTCCTGCTTGAGACAATTACCCACCTCAGACAATGGATGAAGGATTGAACATGATCATGGATCAATTGAAGTTAGACATCAACACCGTGTAATTATCGCCATTTACTAAACTATGATTAACAAACCTATGGTATGTTATATTTAAGATTCACTGTATGAAACGAAACATTTTACAAATCGACTCCTCCGGTCGATTTCTAGGTATCATCAATATCACGAGTGTGTTTAATTTTTTATTTGTTCACAACTGTTAATGTTTTTTATTATCTTGATAGTCATGTTAACCTGGTATTCTGAGGAAATGGCCTAACTGATGTGTATAGATTGTTGAAATTATTTTATTCGTATGGTCTTTAGAATATGCTCTAATTATTGTTTATATAACTAAGTGTGTATAGAAATGAACTTTGATTATTTTAATTCATTTCATGATACATGTTGTTTTTGGTAATTTTATTAGTATTGAATAAATAGGTAGTTTGTATCACTTCTCTATGTCCTGAATAATTAAATTTGACTGTAGGAACTCGCTACTGGAACAATGTTCATAATATACTTTCTGAGCTGAGATTTGGTAATTTATTTATATTTTAGCATTACGCTACATCCTAATATTACCATGTCATTTGTTTCCTTCAAAGTAGAACTATAATTCGGCCGTTCAGTCATTTTATTTCTCAGTTATTTATTCACGACTCTGATTCATTAACTCATTTGCCTTTTGCCAATGGCGTAGAGAAGATCTTTGTCTGTTAACGGCATGGCGAGTGCACGTCACAGCAGTTCACTCTTTATTATTCTTCAGGTGTGAAATATTGTCTGTGAAAGTAAAAAGCTTGTTTAGAGTGCATTTATTTAGTCATAAGTTTCTTATGCATCGTGAGATGATCGAGTGAGCAATGTTGAGAGTAGGCATATGGTACTAGATGAATATAGGAAATCTGTTGATGACCTTGTTAAACTCCTAAATGAGATAGCTGTAGTATGTATTACATATTGCTAACCATCACTTACCTTAAAACGCAATGCTGGCTTGAGAAAATATAGATCAAAAGAATGTTGATCCCAACCGACTCAAGACGTAGCATCGTTCAGTTAAATAATTGACTGTTTAACATGTTCTATAGTACAGCCGTGATGTCTAAAAGCTTCACCGGACTTTTAGTTTATGCTTATTATATACGTGTTTCACAAAACTATATATGTACATATTTCCTACTGTTTAGTCAAATTATACAATGAATACAAATCTTTTGACGTCATTGTCACTAGAAGGATTTTTGTTAGGATTGTTAAGACTAGATACTACTTTTTATGCTTCGTTGGCGCCAGTATGTAAGACCTACGTCACTTGAAGCAATTGCGTTGTTTTGTTTGGAAGAAATAAAGGAATTGTTTAACTTACCAAAAATATTCTCTTTGTGTACTGTTTATTTTTTCACCAGACCACAAATACACTAGTCCTTTCGAGAAGAGAAATAGACGAATTATACAAACTGTGTAGATGCAGACGATAAGTGTGAAATAGTAGACTTTTGATAAATTATCCTAAGCAGCTTTTGTTAAGATTTTTCAAATGGAAGATAGATTTTTGACTACTGAATAATTTTAAATATAAAATCATTGAGAACCAAGAAATATGTGGAACATTAATATTTTTTTCCTGATAGGGATTCCACTACTCCTCTCCGTCATTTTTCTCAAAATAATTGTACCGTTATTGTGAACATGTGACATAAATACATCCCGTAAACTTGAATGCTTCTATTCTTGTATGGTACGAGCTTGAAGGCGGAATGCAAATATCATTAAAAAAAAAGAATATTAAAGAAAAAGTTTTAAAAGAAGTTACCGTTTAATTGATTCGAAGACATAAAGACTTTAAATGAACTACTTGTAGACGTTCAGTCAAATATATTTCGTTCAAACAACATAGTCTAGATAGTTATTGTACACATAGAGAAGACAGGGGATGAAATATGAATTTTCATAAGGTATTGAATTGCAGTGAAAATAAACATAATACAATAAGATAAACATTGAAAATAGATGAAGTGAAACGGAGATAATTGATGATTCATACGTAGTTTCTACAGGTTAACTAGGTCAAAGGAAATCAAAATGTAAATGATCACATTAATTAAGTTACTGAATATTCACACATGTATATGATTAGCAATTTGATTATGATGAATGCAATAGTGTCTGTTGTATATGTTAAATTTGACCTTTCTGAACAATGAAAATGTGAAGTCTCAACACACATTCAATATTCAATTCACATTTAACAATATACTCTAATTTGTGAATACACTGTTACTTAAACATTTATATATATATATATATATATATATATATATATATATATATATATATATATATATATATATATATATATATTTTCTCATAGGCTTGGTAAGTTGGATTTCAGTCATTTCATTTTGAAATGATGTTTTTCCAGAAAAAAAAGAGCCCAGATAAGTTCGAATGTGTGCTACTCACCAAAAAACTGTATGTTGCAATCCAACAGTTAAGTAAAATTGGAAAGAATTAGTTATTTACTGAATTCGTCACAAAGTAAATAAGTCTGGTGATGTAATAAAATGCTGATATACCATGCACCATATATATAATATACCAGAGTATTGAATAGCTCTATTTCCTCATGAACGCGTATTTGTTTATAGTCGTTTATATGAAACTCATCGGCAACATTAGGTTCATGCATACTTGATTTGTTGCATTACACATTTTTGTGTTCTATATAATATCTAGCTAAACCTGGAGATGTCGGAATTTAGATTTTACTCGCAATAGCTAAATGGTTGAAAACCGAACCTTAGAATTCATCACTTCATCATGGTTTTTATTTGGCAATGTTTTTCGATGCAGTAGAATAAAAGTCACTGTTTAGTTTTTGTTTCTATTAATATTTCCGATATACCAACTTCATTTAAGGATTATTTCTGTAAGTCCAAATCAATCTTATTTAGTTGGAATACCTTGTTTATATGATTCACACTGAAATCAATTATGAAAATGTAATGGCAGAGACGTTGTATCATCGTTTTTGATGATGAAGTAATCAGTTGTCTGATCATATAATATGGTTGAGTGTTGATTGCCCTCTACGTAGCTAAAGAACAAAAATGAAATGAAGTATGTATTCGTGTCGAAAGTGGAACAGTTTTCACCAGTCGCATTAAATGACGTGGAAACTGACGGAAATTAAACTCGTACCGTTGAAAACTGATTCATTTCCTGTGAGGCTTCATGTTCCTGCGTTCTATCTCTTGGGTTGTTGGTTCGCACTGTTGAGGGGTGCCATACTAGGACTAAACCGCTATTCAGTTCTCCCTGGTTTTCAGGTATACCTCGACTGAGATCAGTTAGTATTCATCATCACCATTCTAAACAATAATATTTCATTGTTTGTATTTCTTAGATTTCAGGAATTTTATTTTTGTTTTGTTTCTATCTGTTTCTCCTTTACTACTGTTTTGATAATCAATACTCAATATTAATAAAACAATTCAACAATTTTCAGCACCTTCACCATCAATTTCACATCGGTTATCATCATCTAATAAGAAACTCAAATCAAATGAAGATGATAATTATTATTCATCTGATGTTACTGAACAAAAGAGTAAGTAATTTGTGATTTAACATCTTTTTTCCTTTATTTGTTAATAATATTTTAACGAAGTGAATTTCAAGGAAGTGTTATCTTACCGATAACTATAATGTATTTTTTATTGTATGTTTAAGTTATTAACTGAAGTTATAACTAACTGCTCACTAGTAGAAACTTGGTTTATGTATCTGTAAAGGATAAAATTCTTCGTCTGTTTACCTCTGTGTTCATTTACCTGTTCACTTGCTCCTTTTGAGCAAAGCACATAGACTTTGTTCAGCGCTTCCTTTCAACTCGCGTACAAGAACATATCACTGGGGAATTCTACACCGGTGAGAGGAAAGCATTTAGAAATTCCATACTAGAATATTTTATCGATCTCTCTCTCTCTCTCCCTACCAATAAACAGGTTAATTCTAACGTTGTTTATACAAGAAGTCTAAATCTATTTAGATTTCTTTGTATCCAACTCCTTAAAATAGCAAAAGCGCGATAAACTCAGAACTGTGCGTACAAAAGAAGTTCGTCTTATTGTTATTTTTACCATGGCCTTGACCTATTATTATTATTATGCTTCTTATTCGAAAATATCCCACCCTCTCTCTAATTATTACTCATGTCCCCATGATTTCATTTGTAAGTGTTTCTGATATCCCTTCATTTCAGTTTACGCATTACCTTTAATTATTTTAAGGAAACCACTTTGATTATCTTATTTCATTCACGTTATGATCCGTCGTTATACTTGGTATTCACATTCCTCCAACTTAGAAGTGATCTGGATTAAAATAACCACACATATATTGAAACTCGTCAGTTAATCGCATTTGATTGTAAATATCAAATTAAATTTACGTGGATGGACTTGGAGTCAGAAACCATATACTGTAGAAAACAACCTTGCTAAGAAAATGCTAACTAAAAAAAACTTTTGACCACTTAAACTTTTTCCTGACAGTTGAGGGACCTTTGTTTACAGAGTTATGACTCTTCATGGTGAAAACTGAAATTCTTCAGAATTCATGAGGCCTATGCCTTTTCTAACAATCAGAGCAACAATTAGCAAAGGTACATAGAATATCCTCACAATCAACGGAGACTGATAGGACCATTCAAGTAGCTGCATTAATGAAAAAAAGCTATCGGTGCTTCGAATAAATGAAAGCAATTTAACAGAGACTAAACAGAAGAGACCATCTCTGGGAGAGGTGCTGTTGTACTCTGGTCATGAAAAGGATGATGCTTTGCACACAGAAGTTTCACTGACACTTTCCAAAGAAGCACGAAAAGCACTTATAACATTGGAATCTCATGAATCTGGGATCATAAAAGCATCTTTCAAAACAACGAAGGAGGGGATTACAATGAATATCATCTAATGTGATGCACTCACCAATAACAACAATGAAGGTGATTAAGATAAGTTTTGTATGAGGCTGTTGTCGATTGTAGAGAATTCAATCACCAACACACGAAGTACGGCAATGACTTAAATAACTCGTTTGAAGTTAATAATAAGCGGGTCCAACTCCGTGTTATTTAAATTGACAGACGTCAAATCTATCAGAAGGCTTTAACCTGATCTTTTTATTTAAAAACAGTCGGTTGTCAGCCATCGCTACCTTGGTAACATCTTGACCCTTTTTTCAACTTATTGTGATCATAATTTAATGAATTGAGCTCACTTGTTTAATTTCCCTTTTTGAGCTTAAAAATTTTGTTTGATCAAATCATGAAATCGTTTTAATATACTGGTGGAACCATTAGTTCAATCAATAATAAAAAGAATCCACCTTATTAAAACTTAAATTTTTAACTTTTTTCATATTACCCATTAGCTTATTCGTTATTGATTGTCAATTCATTTTTAACATTATATCATCAATTGAAAATAATTAAACATATTAGCTTTTATGCAATTTATCAATATGGTTCTTACTGTTTAAATAATATTCTGTTCTAAAAACTAGTACAGTTTCCATAGGCTTTTTAATCTAGCGCTTGTACAAATCATGTAGATATGCAGGGGGATGGCATTTACGCTGTTATCTCCGGTTATTCTCTTCCAACAAATGGAACATTCGTGTCACATATGTCATAAGAAATATTGTCAATCAAATCATGGGGAATGGCCTAATCAACTTCACCTCTCACCTTCCAAGCTGCTGCTTATTCCTTTTATTCATAGTGCATGAAACCCTTGTGTTAAACTATGATGGTGCATTATTACATAGTTGAAAAATTAGGACGAAATAACTGTTACTACTGGACATTCAATTGCTTTTTAGTTTTATACACTACAGCTTTAAATAAGTCCACAATATATTTCAATTTACGTTTTTGCTGCTCTTATTAATAAAACTGAACACATTTAATGGTATGTATATACTTAATTGAAATTTGTTTCTGTTTTATCTAACGCTCCCCCCATAACACTTGTTTGAAAATAGAAAATTATCCACCTTTCTCCGTATTAATATTACGTAGCGTCGTTAGAATAATTTACTTGCTCCTTCACTGTTTTTACTCAGATTGTCACTTTCTTTTAGTGATTTCACCACATAAATATTTATATGCTCTATTTGTTCTGATGATTTCTTTCAGTGAAATATTGTAATTAATAAAATTAATGAGGAGTCTATGTCAGTATTTATCTCTTTCTATTACTGTCTTCTTCGTTTCCAGGTCATACTGGTCTGTTCAATTCAGCTTTTGATAGTACAATATTAGCTGAAACGGAGAATGATGATATTTGGGGGCAATTGGAGTATATGCATTCCACTTTGAGTAAGAATTTTCTTTTCTTTTAAAATTGATCATCCATGCTCTCTTGTTGTTAGCTGTGATGGAAACAGTCCATTTCTTTGAATTGAATTTTGTGATCGACATTCCAATAAAAATTGAATTTTTTTAAATAAAAAAATCAAGGTTTATATGTTTTTTAAAAACCGTAATTCTGTTATAAATATGATTGTGTATTGTACGGTAATTGTTAAGTTTATAATGGTTTCATTTTACTGTATGTACCAAACATTTCTATTGAATTAAAAGATTAGTTCAGATAAACAATTTTCATATGTTCAATTGGGTTTTTTTGTTGAAAGCAATTCTCTATGCGACGAATACCACATACGAAATTCAATAAGTTGTAATTTATGAGTTCTTTTTCTGATAACTTAAAAATATTTGTAGAGATTGTTGAATTCCACAGAAATCATGAACAGATCGATGTTAAACACAATAAAAAAGCTGGAAGCACTGGATGAGCGTTTCATCCTAGTTTAGGACTTCTCAGGAGTGTTTATCCACAATACCGCACATTGAACTCGAACCCAGTACCGTTCAGTGCTTCCAGGTTTTCAATGGTCATCTAACATTGATCGGTTCATGATTTCTATTAATAACTGTATTTCCAATCTCTTTTATTTATTGTGATTGCTATCTGTTGATTAGCTAATTTTCTCCAGCATACTCCTGATGAATTAATTACAGGTAATTCGTCATACAAATCATAAGTCTCTGGGTTTTTTCTATACTGCTTGATTCCATTTTTATTGCATGAGCACTGTTGTGATTATATTGAATAAAATTGGTAATCCACCTCAATTATTTTTAATAACGTACAGTTAGAAATAATAGATGGTATAATTGGGAGAAGTCGTTAAAATATGAGAAGGGAAAACAAATTAGGATTAGGCTTGATATGAGGATTTCGAGTGGGAGAGTGGACTCTCAACACCCTCGGTCGTTACAAGGCATTTGTGTGCTAACTAACTAGATGGTATGACGATAAACATATAATTAGTTAAAAATATGTAACACAACTGTTCAAACTGTATCAGAAGAATTTACTGGGACTAACTGTTGATGTATATTTAAATTTTAAATATCCAAAGCTGTGCCAAAGTATTGTAAGAGCAGTATTTTTACTGATGAAGCACTTTTATTCCAGTTTCGATTTCATTCTCAATTTGACTAAGATTATGTATATCTTCATTGTAATATATATATAGTTAGCAAGTTGGCACGACTACATACAACGAACGCCATAATCTATTGATTTATTATAGAAAAAAGTATGGATGACCTTGTGAATACCCAAAACTGTGTTAATATTTGCTTAAACTTAATTGGTACATATGATCACTGATACATTCACATATTTTCTTTCTTGTGTGTATATTATTGTGTCACAAGTTTATCAGTATATATAGGTCACGTAAAGCAGAGTTATTGTGTTTGACTGTACAATGTTAACTACACATTTCATGTTTCTAATACGAAATTAATTATCAAATGTATTTTATTGTGATGCAAGATTTATATAAATAGCTGTGAAAAATAAGCACATTTAAAGAGTTAAGAACGGTTACATTGTGCGATGTTTTAATTATTACTTAAGTTTATTTAACTATTGTTCGTCTTTTGCTTCTAATAATATGTACGTTAACACGTATTACTACAGATATTCCATGATGATATTAGTGATTTAAGGTTGAAGAATTCAGTTTTCAATGTTCGAACTCTGCTTGACTTATTACAATTTTTTGGACAATAGAGTTCTGTTATTAGCGCCCACATAAACTTGATATAATTCGAAATCTGGGATTCACAGTGTATTGTATTTGATAAATGAATTATACCTGTTAGCTTTCTTTTTTTACAGATATTTATGTTGAACAGTAAACAGTTGTTTAAATTACAAATTGAGTAAATAACTAAACTCATTTTACTTGCGTATATTTCAGTACTATATTTGAATAATTTATTAGGAAAGCTCCATAATAATGTAACAAGTAAATGGTTAAATTATTCGCTTAAATGCTTTACTTCAATGTTCAATACTAAGTCATTTTTTTCATTTTATTTTTAAGTTATCAATTTTTATGCCCTTTTTCCCTTCTTTTACAACATAAATAATTGACTTTCAGTATGGGGGTTGTGGAGATTGTTAAGTTTTTGGTTGAGATCATGAATTAATTAATGTTAGACCACCGTTGGAAACCTGGAAGCACTGGACGGCCGTTTCGTCCTAGTATGGGACTCCTCAGCAGTGCGCATCCACGATCCCGCACCCCGCGAGATTCGAACCCAGGACCTACTGGCTTCGCGCCTGAGCACTTAACCATTAGAACACTGAGCCGGCATTCAATGGTGTTAGTGTCTAACATCAACCAATCCATGAAATTGCGCGACCACCTTCCATTGTACTGAGGTAGATACCTGTCTCTACCCGACACGGATTAGCTCCACTGCTCACGACTTCTCACTAGAACTCCGAGAATTCCCTCACGAAGCTAGTCACTAGTGAGCACATGTTAATTATCAGTATGGGGGTTGTGGAGATTGTTAAAAATAAATAATTGATTCTGGATAAAACAAAATAAATCGAATTTTTCTAATCGCTGTGGTTATTTTCAATTTATTAACTTTATTTAATTAGCATAAATACAGATGAATTCAACTGTGTAGAATTGACATTTCATCGGGTTAATGTTTTCCATTTCATGTCAATATGAAGTTTGTAATCCTTTTTTTCCATTTTGAAGAAACTAAATACTTTGTTATTCGATCTTACCTCGTACGACTATATATGAATTCGCTACTATTTTCTCGTTGTTATGATATCTCTTTACTCATTCTGAATAGATTAACGGTTTTTTTCTCATAAGTATTCAGTTTAAAATAATTCTAGTCATCTTATATCTTTCGAAACAATGCACCATGTTCTTTTATTATTGATATTATTGTTATTTTTCAAAATATTTCAACCAAATTTAATAAAAATAAGGATAAACACCACAAACAGATTACTAATTTTTTTATTTTTATTTTAGCAAATTACGCTAGTTTCCTGGAGTTCATAGAGTCTCAAAATTCTAAAATATTTTGTCAATTTTCAATGTATTCCTAGTTCAACGATTTGTAGTGATTGCTCATTTAAAAAAATCTGACTATGAATATTGATATAAAAGAGTTTAATTCTTCAAATTAAGAATTTTTACTGGATTCTATAGCAACATGTCTCTTTCTATATTTTGTAAAATGCCATATGTTTATTACTTTTTAGCCTTCCATAAAGTTTATATTTGATGCGTTTAGCGAATTGAAACAACAAATATTGTTCACAAATTACAAGACTGCCAACTAGCTACCAAATATAGATCGATAACCACTTACTAAATACCTCCAGCCGATTATTATTATAACTCATTTCATGAAATGTCATATCACTTGCACTAGTGTCCACATTCCAACTTAAGTAAATCATGATAATGTAATTTACAATTTTGTTGTCTTATTCTTTTACACAACTTAAATTACAACGATTTATTCAATGATACGACAGTTTAAAATTTCATTCACTGAATTATTGTGGGACACCAGTTAACATGGGACTGCATCTCCTAACGTTACTCTACCGCATGTGGATTACACCTCTAGGTTAACGACTCAAGGAGTGTCCTCCTAAGAAACCTACTTGCTTCGGTTTGGGCACGCGGGTAGTATTTCGGCCCTTACATAAATTGAAGGATTTGTGTGACGCACATATTTTTGGTTCCTCCTTGTAACAACTTTTATGTGTTTAAATAAATTTAAAAAACTTTAAAAACAGTTCTCCCATTTCTTAACAGGTTTTTTTTCTTTATCTTCTAGTCCACTATCAACCCTCCCATCTTCCGCTGATCAAATGATTTTCCATCCTTTTCCTAAAATAATATTGAGAACATATTTTCTTAATTAAAATAATTCTAGTTAAATTTGTTACAGGTCAATGACTACATTTTATTCTTGTTTACTCTGTATCAAACATTTTTACTATAACATATATGGAATAAGTTATTTTTCTCACTTATCCTTGGGCATTATATTATTTTATAGCATGAATTATTGTGGATTAGTGAATTGTGAATAGATAATTTTTATATTGTGTAAATTGGAGTTATCATTTTGCAACAGATTAACCTAACCTATTTGATATTTTTTTAAAGTGTTGAAAGGCCTAATGAAAATCAGTGACATTGTACTATAATATATTGTAATGTTTTTGTCTTAAAATCAGAACATCTGAAGAATACCTTTCTAAATTGAAGTTGAATATTTTTAAAATCTTTCAACCAGCAATGGATTTTTTCCCACCAATAGTTTATATATATATATATATATATATATATATATATATATATATAGTATATTTAGAAATAAACATTTTAAATTGTTATTTCACTTGAAACTGTATACACAAATCTAGGTCCTCAAGGTACACTTTCGGATCGTATAACTAGTCAAAAGGGTATGATTTATTGCACTATATTGCAATCTACCGCTTTCAATGTTAATGCTATTGTAAAATTTTCGTTGTTTCTCTTCGTGTAATATATATATATATATATATATATATATATATAGTGCTTGGTGTAAATTCATTTGATATATATGGGTATTTATGTATTTTTGTATGTGCCTTATCTAACCACATATTGTTCCATTTGAATGTTATAACGATGCTAAATGTATGCATGAAAAACATGATTTCTCGTGTTTATCTCTAATGTTAGTGATTTATCAAGTGTACATTTATATACTGAGATTTTTATCATGTCTTTATTGTGACTGTTGTTCAATGGTGCTGTTAATTTCTTGCTGAATGATTGTCTGCTGAGCATGGCATCAATCTTTCAATCATCTAATCAGTTGTTTCAACTCAGTTTTACATACATAAGTTCAGTTGATCAGGTATTAATACAACTCATACAAAAAATTCCAATCATGTTATATTCATTATAAAAAGTAGTGTTTCTCAAAGTTTTTGTAATTTCTTGGTTATATGAAATCATTTTCTCGAAAGAATAGTCTATTAAACTTTTCAAGAGCGTCGAGTTTTTCAAACTTATAGTATCGTATATTATGTTAGTGATGTGCAAATAATGACAAACAGCTTTTGTATATATATTTTACAAAATATTGGCCTTACGCTTCATGTAAAGTGAAACTTTTATTGATAGTTTTATTATCAGAATAGGAGTTTGTGAAGATTGTAGTTATTTAATGAGGTATGCATGAGTTGATTTAAGCTAGAACACCATTGAAAAGCTGGAAGTATTGGATGGCCGTTTCTTCCAAGCATGGAACTCCTCAGCGATGTGCGTCCACCAATAGTCTCATGAATTCAACTATGAAATGATAGTTTTATCTTGTAATGCAGTGCTTGTTGTAAACAATATTCTTGAAGGCTAATGCGTGAAATTTCTTCAGCAGTGGTTCTGTTTCTTAAAAATTCCATCATATTATAAACATGCATCAACAGACTGTTTTTACACAAGAAATTTACTTCAGTCCAAATTTTTGTGAATTTGATTAGTTGTAGAATCATTGAAAAAATTGTTTCCCTCACTATAGGCAACAGTTTTTTTTCATGACTCGACATATTATTTCAAGGTGCCATTTCATTAGGACGTCTTTATGCTTGCTTTTATTCTGTATCTATAATTTTTGGGGATTTTGTATTGTATTTTGTTGTATTTCTGCACATATACATGATTTGATTAGTGATCATTATCAGTATATATTTTAACATACTATAGGATTTAATACAGTGGTGTGAATTTTGCAAAGGTGAATAAGATTGTTTTTTTGCACTGATTTTTCTGTTGTCCGTTTAATACTGGTGTATTCTTGTTTCGCTGAAATTTACAACTTAAAATGAGGAACGGGTCTAAGTGAATGGTGACTCTAGTTTCCAGTTTTTAGAAATCCTTTTCTAAAAGATAAGCATTATGTACAACAGTTCACTCTCATTTATTTCACGACTATAGGCTATACTTGATAAAAATTAAAAAAACGTATTCGATCAATAACTTTCTTTGATACATTGATCAAATGTTTTTTGAGACTCAATATGACGTTTTTGATTAAGAGTAATAATTTGATGAGCCTCTTTGCCTACTTTAGCTTGGTTTCAAGCGACCAACTCTTCATAATCATCTGATTTAGTTGATTTTTTTGCATTTAATAACATCTCATCGTGACTCAGCCAAAAATTAAAGTGGATCAATTCTATTTTATATAGAAAATGTAACACATCCAAGAATTTTAGGTTTAGATAATTTGCTTGACTTCATTTACGAGATTTAGTCAAGTAATCTGAGAGATATACATACAAGCGTGCCTTATATTGTAGAAGCTTTAACCATACTCGAGTTAACACCACAGTTTTTATGTGCCTAACGGTATGACCCTAATTTTACTATACTTGGTTATGTTTACAAAGTTGCCCTGGTACAGCCGAGTCCTCTCTGCCTTCCGAAATACTCTCACATGACCACGCGTATACACCCACTGCCACGAAAGTCCTACTCACTGCCTTCTCGCGGCGAGGGTGTTGTTTACATAATTGAGAGTACGAAAAGCAAATGTCTGGTGCTTTAACCAGGTTAGTGGATCTGGAAGATCCACCTAAGGGAGTTTTAAAACCCTGTTTCCAAACCAATGGTACACATGAGCTCCTGGATCCAGAGGAAATAAATGACGTATAAAGCAATTATTGGTCACCGGCTACCACGGGACTGCATCTCCTGACTTTGGTACACTGCTTCGTGGATCAGACCTTTAGGTCGAAGGCCCCGATTGTTGCCCCATCTGTTTCGGTCTGGGCACCCTGGCAGTATCACTGCCCACACACAAATCAAGTGTTGTTTTTATTCAAAAGTATATGCAGACCAAGTGGGTGTCTAAATATTGTCTACAGTTACATGTTTTAGTAAAATGTTTTCGATTTTTTCTTAGTAGTTTAGTCTGACACTCATGATTTGTTCTATTTGAAACTAGTCAACTGTATTGTTTCAGTGGGAATATAGTGATATAATATAATTTTTAAAAGTTCGTAATGAGATGAAATGTCCAACTAATATTCCACTACACTGATTGCAATCTAAACATCATCTACAAACATAGTTGAACTCATTTAATGAATTGATTATTATTATGAAAATGTTTATTATTATTACTTACTCACTCCTGTTACCCCCCCCCCCCATGGAGAAACATAGACCGCCCACCATCATTCTTCATCGAACTCTGTCCTGGACAATCCTTTCCATTTTCTGTTCATCCTTTTGATGTCTGCTTCCAATTCTTGGCACAGTGTGTTCTGTGTTCTTCCTCTTTTTCGTTTCCCTTCAGGATTCTAAGTTAGCGCTTGTTTCGTGATGTTATTATTATAATATAAAAATGTATTAGCATGTTTTTTCCTGATTAATTGTCCATTTATGTTTCGGTTCTTTCTTTTTTTTCTTTATTAAGTGCTTGTATAATAATTTCTTTAATATTTATAACAATTTTAATGTACCAAATAACAATGTTGGTGCATTTCATGTAAGAGTTTATAGTAATTTTGAACGGATAAACATTGCATCGAATTAACTTTTCTGTTTATTTATTTTTGTATCTGCATATGACATTTCTAGTACTTTTAATAATAATAATAATAATAATAATAATAATAATAATAATAATAATATTATTATTATTATTATTATTATTATTATTAATGATTGTGTGCCAAAACAGAAAAATTGATTTAATGACTCTTATAGTTGTGTTTAACAACAGGATAATAATAATCTGTTTCTCTTGAAATCTCTTTCCTTTGTTTATTGTTCATTTATTTATTTATGTATTGATTGGTAGTTGTTACTGAGTGAATAGAAAACAGCATTTCACACGATAGAGTACACATCAAAGAAGCGTTTATGTTTGTATGTCAACTAGCATATATGTGTGTACATGGTTTTTCACTTTGATTTTTCAGTGAAATTAATCTCGTTAGTCAGCGGCGGTTTTTTTTATGCCTTAAATGGTTTGTAATCAATAAACACCATTATTATTCTTATTAGTTACAGTTTTGACCTGTCCATTATCCAATTTCTAATTTTCCATCAAATAGGAAACAATTAAAAGTTTATTATGCTGTGTGTCATCACTAAAAATGTTTGTATACAGTATGATGATTGTTTAGTGTTTTATGAAAATGTAGTACTTTACTATGATTCCATGAAATATTAATTACAATTTTGTTCTCGTTTATATGCAATCTAAAACCAAACGAATTAATTACACTGTTTAAAGTAATTCAAAAATAACTTTCATATTAAACTGTTTAACACATTTTGTACTACAAGCAAAATGGATGGTAGCTCGCAGTGAAATCAATCCAAGACAAGTTTTTCGTCCTATTTGGGACTCGTCTTTAGCTAGATGTACCTGCATCTTACTTCACTTCGAGACTCGAACCCAGTGTCGTTCGGTTCAAATGCCATCACGTTATCCTTTTAACCACTGAGTCCAGAAAATCACTAGCTTGTACAACGGGGTGACAAGAGACTGATCAATTGCAGTCCTAAACATCAATGAGCAAGACTTAAAAAAAACAATACAAAAATGAACATTTTGTACTGTTCAAACGGTTTTCTATTCAATGATTTAAACTACGAATGAAGCTTACATTTTGACTCTCGTCAACATAAACTGAACTAACAAAATGGTTTGTATGATTTGTTGATAAGTCCAGGTGGAATGACCTACTTACTTCCAGTAACCTCTATTTATTCCATGTATGTATTCATGTACACTGCAATCTCTGATGATGATTCATTAATGTATGTTGTTTTTGTGTTTTTTTTCCATTCCAAAAGACTACAATAACCTGAAATACAATTAGATTTTTAGTTTTGTGTCTCTTTTATGTCATATGATTATTACAAATATATTATTTCTACCATTGTATAATCGTTGTTTCCACTAACCAAGTATTAGCTGTTTTTTTCAACTAAGCTTGTCAAAGATTTGGACGCTTCATTCGACTCTTTTGTGGATAAAGACTATCAGATAATATCTTTAATAGCATCCATACTACAGCTAACGCATGAGGCGTAATAGCTGTGTGTACGTATGATTTGGATTATTCTAACTCTTTTGTTATTAATAGAAATACATGGGTTTTCATTACTGGATAGTTATAAACTACAAAATGATATCAGTTAGATTTTTTCTCTCAGCATATATGTATGTGTGCATATAAACTGTCGTTGAACATAATTTATATTCATGTATTTCATGTCAGTTTATCAATTTATAACTATTGATAAGTGAATTATACATTTTCAAATTACAAATTTTCGTACTTGTTGGTCCGTTTATATACCTATTAAGCTAGCATGATCGTATACTGATTTGTTTTTTTAATTATCTAATACATGTATTGTATATCTTATTGAATTCAGTACTTGAATTGTTCATACCGTATCAATATTTCCTTCTATTTGCTGCTGGGACCACCCCAATTTTCAGGTGATGAGAATACAAATGAATTTATCGCTACTCAAACTAGTTCTGTCTTGGAAACTATCTCCCCAAAATCTGTGCAAAATGTAAGTATGTAAATGTTAATTTCGGTTTAATGTTTTTTCACTTTATTTAATAGTCCGTCTGTTAATCAAGCAACGAATAAAATACTCAACAGTTTACTCTGTATTACTCCTTGCATGTGGAAGTATGAGACGTGCATGTATTTACTTACAGTTATCTTTAGAACACTACTCGATTGAAGGGAACAATTGAGTAAACAATGATGTGTTTGTAATGAGGTTCTAAGAAAGGTTAGCGACCAGTTGCTGAGGTTGTAAATCTTCTCTGACTGAGTTGTCTGAGATATATGTTACATATGTTCGACCATTGCTTACCGCGATGCGCAGTTATTCATAGAGTAAGAGAGCTAAACCTGGCTAAACCAAAACAAAGCATCAGTCAGTAAGAGCTCTCTGATTGAGCCATATTAGTAGTTGATAGCTGGCCTGACTAGGATCCACACGATAACTTCGACCTGTAGTTGAAAATGTCCGGTGACAGAGCTCTAAATTGACTGCCGAGGCATTCTCACTTTATTTTCACCTTTTCTTGAGTTTCCCTATTTTCTACAAATGTTTTCATTGTTTCTTGAGTCATATGTTCAATATTTAATCTTTTTCACTGTCAATTGACTTCTTTGATACTCGTCGTTTTTTAATTGGATTACTGTGTTGATGTAATAAAAGAACTTGAAGCATTGCCCATTATTGTTAGTCTTTACGCTAATTATAACTGACTGATTGTTTGTGCGTAATTGGACTTTTCTGTGAATTCTATCTCTATATTTGTAGTATAATATCAGTGTTGTTTTCTTAAATAATCAAAATATTATCTACTTAGTTGTTTTGCTTCAATGCTTTTTTTTCCTACACGTGAAAACAATGCTGAAAATATATCGATATTGTTGTGGATGCGCAGGAATAGACCAATAATCATTTAGATAAAGTTTATTTCCGTTCTCATACAATAAATATTTGTTTATAGAGAGTGAGAGAGAAAACTAATATCAATAATTTGTATGTAAAGGATTTGTTTGTGTCCGTCCCTAATATACTATACTATACTAATTGATAATGATAGTATCTCATTATTAAGAAAATAATAGTAATAATTTTTTATCCTATGAATGATTTCATGATTAATTGGACTATTGATGATAAACATAACATAATAGAACTAGTTATTTTCAGTTTTATGATTAATATCATGAAAATTCATCAATTTTCTGTCATATGCTTAAAATAAAAGTTGATTATTGTCATTTGTACATCAAAATATTCCATAGTACTCTGATTAATATTTCATACTAACACTTCTCAGTTATAGATTCGTGAAGGTTGTTGAGTTTTATTTGAGATCATGAACCGATCAATATTCAACCACCATTTAAAAACTAGAAGCACTGGACAACCGTTAACACCGTTGGATGCCGAGTTATTGGTTTAAGGGTTAAGCGTTCGCGCGCGAGGTTGAATGTCTTGGGTTCGAATAACGCGTGCAGGATCGTTGATATAGACTGTTAAGTAGTCTCATACTAGGACTATACGAGCGTCCAGTGCTTCCAGGTTTCTAATGGTGGTCTAACATTGATCATTTCATGATTTAAATTAAGACAGATACTCCTGTTCAACTCTTCATTCATTCAGGACAAAATATTTATGCATATATAACAGTTAAGAATTCTTCATAATATTTTTATTTCACTAATTTATATTTTCTTGAATGGTATCTTCCAAATCTAATCTTTTCTGTTACCACTCTTATTTTCCTTCCTTTACTATTCTGAGATGTCCCCTAACAGTCAAATCTAATGAGATATGAGAACTTAAACCTATGTTTATGCGTACCAGATTATACGTTGCGACTGACTAAGGTTTACTTTTCTAAACTTACCTCAGCTTACTAACAATTTTACCACAGATATAAAATTTAATATCCATCCAACAAAGTATATTTTTCATTTGAAAATAATATCATTATCGTTTGTCTAACATATAGATTGTTTACAGAAAAATTAAAGTTGTATATGAATTTGTAGAGTTTACTTTCATTCATTCTTCAGTATTAACTGTTGAGGATATCTTGATATTCAATTAATTTTTCACCATATATAGTTTTATTTGTTAAATAAAACTGTAAAATAGAATAAATGAAGAGGAGCTTCGTGATATTTGTATCTTTTTCCTTCTTGAAACAAAACAAAATTCGTTTCTAGACTGAAGTTCAAATGTTCGGAGAAAGTGGTCAACCTGATGGTGATTGGGATTTGGAAGTAGACAATATGGCGGTTATTAAGAAGCCAATTAATACAGGGTAGATTTTCAAATGTTTAGTTATATATAGTGCAGATGTCTAAAGTTTTTTAATATACTTTACTTTTTTGTCGTTTATATATTGCGTAACTGTCGAGTCAGTCAAATGACATAAATATATCCCGTGCTTGAACATTCGATACTGACTTTTTAAGCGCTTCCTAGTTCCTTTACAAATCTTCATTTTAGTTTGGAATACAGGACATAAGGCGAAAATTATATAAGGTTTATTTCTAAGGTTAGTTTAGATGCAGAACGCCAAGATATTTACGGGTTGATATGTGACATTGGTATTCTGAGAAATCAATAACTAAATCAGCAATCATCCAATAAGAATATGATACATAGTCCGTTGGTTTTAGATATCTCGAGGAAGTTTCTACCGAACGCTAATTTTACTAAGTATCTCCAGTCTTTTCCAAGCTTCTGAAGAGTTTTCTGATGAATTCTTTCCGAGTCCTAGTAAACCATATACACTACGAACAGCAGCATTTATTTCGCTAGTAGTCTGAAAGAATTCTTGCCAAAAATTTCTTTGAATTATAGTTTAACTTGAAAGAATTCACCAGAATTATACTAAGACGTTTAACTAGGCCTAAATTGAGTCTGTGATCTTCCAATCTGATGTCATTTGGATCCATTAAACTAAATTCTAAGCAGTTATTGTGTAATGTTTACAAAGTTTAAATATGTTCTTCGCAGATCTTATTAGAGAGAGAGAGAGCTGTACAGTATGTAATTCAGCTGACAATTTCATACTCGGATGTGTATAGTTCGAGAAGTTTGTTGATTCTATTACAAGTTAATTTCAAATCATTATCAAAGAGAATAAACCTGTCAAATAAATGAATTGTACTGTATTTGTCTGTTCGTTAAACTACAATACTTATTAAGATTTACTTGAGATTTATGTGAAGTATTCATTCTAACTCTTAAATTGAACATCTTTGATCTGTTTACTGTGTTCAACATGATCATTATTTGTTTCATATTTATTTTTTTTTAACTGCTTTACATTAAAAACGACAAATAGATTTTTAGTTTCATTCATTGCGGATGCTCGTGGAGGTCTAATTCAAGCAAGACGTTATCCTGATCTTAGGATATTTATTCCTCCAAATGTTATCAATGGTCCACTTCGTATTGTTTGTCGCCTAGTTCATCCTGATCGCATGAATTCACCACCAATTATGAATGATGGTGATGGTTTAGCCTGTCGGTGAGTTTTATTCTTTAGTAGAAATAAAGCAGTGTTCATATAAACAAGTTACTTATCAATTACTTGGATACAAGAATGAATAATTTCACAATTAAGGTTTTTTTGGTTCAAATAGTTTATTGTTATTGATTGACAAATTTTACTACATTGTGAAGATTTTCAGTTCCAAGTTTAATCCACTGAAATACTAATCCTTCTTCAAATAATATTCATTACAGTTATTTGAAGATAGCTAACGTAAGAAATGTTGTTTGTTTGATCTGTCTAAATCCTTACTTTGTGTATGTTGCCATTCTTTGTCTAAATATGTCGATGTTACTGACTTTAACCTTTTGATATTTAATACTTGAATTATATTTCTGATATTTAGATCTCCATTTTGTCTTCTTGTAATTCGCCCTCTTTTTCTTATGTTGTTAATTTCCTCTCTCGTTATTCTGATATGTGGACGTTGACATATGTTCGCACCAGTTTGTACTTCATTTAAAATCGATTAACTTCTCCAATAACACAGTTATGTTTTGTGAGTCAGTTTCAACTTTTTAGGATGTCTTTTTACAGCACAACTAAACAGTTCCAGTCAGTTTCATACTTTTCGAATTACAGTTGTGTGCCTATCATAGCGCGAAAATCATTTTACTTTGAAAAATTATTCGAATCGCGCGTCCAGAGTCATGGATGTGCACTGCCGAGGTGTCCCATACTAGGACGAAACGGTCGTTCACTGCTTCCAGGTTTCCAATCATGGTTTAGCTTATATCGACCCATTAATTCAACTATCAAAATTACTACAACCACAACTCCTTAATCTGCTTAGAAAGGTATATGTGCATACTGCGCGTATTGCCTCGATACTGTCTTAATTCACAATTAATGTAAGCAAAGATGGACGACTGCTAGCAGTGGAATCCAAGATGCGGGTTTCGTCATATTTGGAACTCGTCAGCCAGATGTGTCTTCATCTCAAAGTTGATGTTCACTCCGAGACTCTAATTTAGTACCGTTTGCATCAAATGCCATCACACTATCCACTTAGCTATTGAGTCCTGATAACCACTTGCTTGTTCTTAAACGGGATTTAGACTCAGTGAAAACATTTTAGGAAATCATATATACTCAGCTGTTGCATTGTGTATTTTAGCATTACATCATTAGTACTTCTGATTGTTTCAGACATCACTGCTAAAGTGTAAAAAAATAATTTTTTTGTAATCTCATTTATTAATCTATTTCGTGCAGATTACTTGAAATCGGACCCGCTGGTATACGATTCGCTTCACCTATTCTCTTTGAAATACCACATTATGCTTTTTTAAATGGGAAAAATCGTGAGATTGTTATCCTCCGTTCAGATAATGGTGAAACATGGAAAGAGCATCCATTGGATGCTACAGACCAAGCTGTTCAAGACACTTTGAATGGACATTTTGGTAAACTCTTTCGTTAGGTTGTTTTTTTTGTTCAAAAATTCGTTACATGTAATTGATACAGCAAATCAATTCTGAAATCATTAAATCTATATCTACTAAAGTGACTTTTGGCACATTTTATACTTGCCTATTGTATCAATCACGTTTAAGTATTAACTGAATCGGAACATGATCTCAGTCTTATAACCTTCATTCCTCTTTATATATCCACTTAGTTGGGTCACAAATTATGAAGGTCACGAATTACTGGTTCGTTTATACCTTTATGACCTAAAATATGAATCTTTTATCCTACTGGTTTAAACACCGCTTTCTCTGTCTCCCCAATCGTTAATCAGAAGTTAAATACAACAAACCTTTTTTTATTATTAATGTATTACTATGCACAACTTAAAGCCAACTAGATTACGTGCATTAATTGAGTCATCTCAGTTAATAAATCAGAACTTGTACTTAACCAAGTCATAAGTAAAACACAGTATAACAGTAAGTGAATAATATTTCTCAAATATCCTTTCTGATTCAACAGTTAGACTATGTACGTGATATCCTTAACTGTTTCAAACTCTCATACTACATATCAATTAGAGTTAATGTTGCAGCAGAAAATTCGTTTTTATACTTCAAACGTGTTAGCTCAATTCTGTTGTACTTTCCTTCAAGTATTGTAATATGTGTTAGTCATTACACTCATTTGTTTATCTTGTCTAATCTTATCGTTTCATTGTAATTTAGTCGACGTTACTTTGTATCACGGTCTTACTTTTCTTTTTTTTCAAGTGACATCATGATCCCATTAATACACTAATACTTCATATTTTACTTGGTTAAAACTAATCCGAACTTTTCTCCACATTTTATTTATGATACAATTAAATTTGATTTTAGATTACGCTGGATCATTTGAAGAATTACGTGCTAAGTCAATACATCGTATTTTAACATATGATCTACCACAATATTTTGCACTTATTACACGTATCAAGCAAGAATTAATTTTAATTGGTCCAGAAGGTGGTACATTAACATCTACAGTTGTACCAGACGTACATGTTCGTTTTCCTCAAGGTGCTTTACAAAAACGTATACGTGTTGGTTTACAAGTACATCCAGTTGATCATGAACTTGTAACAAGAATGCTTGGTCCACGTGTCTCTGTATCACCGATTGTAACAATTGAACCACGCAGACGTAAATTTCATAAACCAATTACCTTGACTATACCATTACCAAAAACAGCTATGTCATCCTCTAGCGGTGTTGCTGACACTAAATCTCGTTCAACTATCGATTCACCTAGTCTTCGATTACTGTGCTCGATTACGGGTGGGACATCACCTGCTGTTTGGGAAGATATCACTGGCAGTTCTCCGTTATCTGCGCACGATCTTTCTGTTTCATTTACATCTACAGTGTCTGCAAGGTAACTGACTTAATTTAATAAATTAATGGATATGTACATAAATTCATCTACTCAATAAATTATTGACTATTATACAATACGTAACCTTGCGTCATTGGTTTCCCAAATATGCGTAATCCAATATAACAGTACATATTGCCATGATTTTGTACTGTCCAGTAAAAGTTGTAAACTAATTGTCTAGGTTTTTCTGCCACATTCCATTTTGAGATGTGGTGACTTGATAGTTTGAACACTTGTGTTTCCAATCACATTCGGTATATTCAACCTTACGAACAAGATTATTACAACTAACATTCACAATATGTACACATTATTTAAACCATGGAGGTAAGTTTGATTATTATTAATAGTGGTAGTGTAGTGAACGAAGACTTGGTGGGGACTACCCATTTATTATTTGGTACAAAATTACAGAGTTCTTTCTCCTATCAATTGTCCCAAACTCCATCGTCCCTTCATTGCTATTGCAATTACTCTCTGTTTACATTCCCGTCCCCTTCAATTTGATCTTCTCACCCATCTGCTACCAGGCATCCCACTTCTGATTGGTGTTAAATACTACTTATGCTTGTCGACATAACCAGCATACGCCGCACTAGTAGTATAGCCAATCACCTTGGAATTAGCAAGATTACAATTTTCGAAATTTTCCTTTTTGATCTCGTTCGAGTACTCATGGTAGTGTTGCTAGCTTCGGTCAACTGACAAATATGGCTTTTAACAACTCATGTGTATTCACCGTCTTGATAACTTTTTTTCAGGGAACAATTGATTGATCATCACTACATTTCTAATCGATTTCTAAAATACATTAATTAGAGTTTTACAAGGCTACTTTGTCATCCATAACTATAATTATTAACATATTTTTTTCAAAGATAGATTTTTATGATTTATTCATCTTGTGTTACTGGAAGCATTGTGTGATCTCATCTACTAAATGTTTCTTTTTTTTAAAATATAGATTGTGGCTCGTAGATTGTCCTAATATTACTGAAGTTGTTGAATTAGCCAGTCGTGTTTATCATGAATCATTGGCAGTGCCTTATATTGGGCAGTTTATAGTGTATGCTCGTAGATTTCATCCTGAAGAAGCTCAATTACGTTGTCTTTGCCTTACTGATGATTCGGCAGAGAAAACACTTGAACTACAAGAAGGATTTCAACTAATAGCCACTGGACCATGTATTGAGGTAAATGACTGAATGAATTTTGATATCTAAATAAACTTTTGTTATGTATTTGAATGTTTAGACTTCTTATTAGTTGATTACTTGTTTGGTTATTATTACTGCTTTTCTTTTTTTGACATTGTTCTTTATAATAGGTTCTTGATGATCATCCACATTGGATTGAAACAGCTGGTAACTTAGTACCTGTTGCTAAAACTGAAGAACAATTACAATTGGGAATGCATGCGTTCCGTGAGAATCGTTTGAATATGATTGTACGTGTGAAAGATTTATCACAGCCGGCTGTTGGAAAATTAGCGTTTATGCGTCATCCTCGAGCTGTACTACAATCTGCTGGGTAAATGAATTGTTGTTTACTTTCGTTTATTGCACAAATTAGTATTTCTCACTGGAAATCGTCATTTTATTCCTTTGCAAATTAGACATTTTTATAGTTTCATGCATTAATATATAACTTATCCTCTTCAATTCATTGACATAAGTAAAACACATTTACCATGTGCTCCATGGTTGATTAATTAGTTAGTAATGAATACTGTAAGCAAGATTTAAATGAAATTTAGACCTTCCATAAATTTAGAAATTTCTGTGTTGTATTCATACATTTTCGTATATTTTCCAGTAATATGACATATCATAAAAGATGATAGCTATGCTCAGAGATGAACTAATCAAAACTTGTTGTTCAGTGATTCCTGTGAAAATCATTTTATTTTTATCTATTTTTGATACTACAAATAACACACGATGAGTCATGGCGATGGAAATTGGGTTTTAGAAATTATAAATAGCAACAGACCTTAACTTCATTCTGAACTGTTTCATAAGTATTATTGATATCAGGTTACCACTACCAAATTATTTCTATGAATGTAGTTTTCATAACCAGATATGTTTTTTTGGATAGTGATCATAGCACACCTAAAAATATTTGTTAATTTTAAGTTAATAAAAATAAAGGATTCAGCGAAGAAATTTTTTTTCGACTGAATCACTTGCTCAAGCTGTACATTCGTATTTGTACTTGTATTGGAAATATATGTTTATAGAAGGACAGAAAAGATTGCATCATGACGTAGTTCTAGACTTCATATATCAGACGAGATTGTGTAATAATCAGAGGGTTTTAGAAATATGAAAATAATTTAAGGGTCTAAATTATGAAAAATAATTGTGGCCGCCTAAGAAAATCACCTGTTTCGGTTTGGATACCCTGAGAGTATTCCATCCCTTACACAAACCAAATGATTTGTGCCGTGCATATATTATTTTGTGTCTCCTTGTACCAACGTTTATGTGTTTAAATAAATAAATAACTCACTCAGCTACTGAGGAGTTAACGCTAGTTCTATATTCCTCTGTTAGCCACCATCCATCTTTGCTCATAGTCATGAACAATAGTTGAAGGATAACAATAATCGATTACGGTTTGAAATTATAAGACATTAATTAATTAATTAATGAAGAAAGAAGACCTAGACGTACTGCAGAACGGAATTAGAGCCAAGGAAGGATGATAGGTTGAACGTATCGCTTTTGCACGCCAGATTTCAGGCTTAAATCGGTAGATCGCCAACACCTCACGTTTTTGATTCGACCTCCGTTCTATCCAGTTCCTTTGATTGGTAGACTATTTTATATTACAAAATATAAAATAATTCACTTGAGAATTTTCAGAGAATCATCTTGACTATTCTAAAAAAAACGATTTTCCAGTCATACCACATTCTCATTGTTTATTATTTGTCATTATCATTTCTGCTACTATTATTTTGACCTCTTTTGCTATTTTATCTTGTTAATCTTATCTCGTGCTATTGTGATATGGAGACTTGCATCAACGCATATCTATGTCATTCTTTACGAGTAACTATGATTGAGCATAAGAATCGCTTTTTATCGTCATTTCAAAATTAATATCATTTATGAACATATTTTCTTCTAGTTTATGTGTTTATTCTAACTAACTAGTTGTGTCTAGTTTCGATGGGATTCATGTATTTTCCCCCTTTCTTTGTATGCATGTGCGTATGTGATTCGGTGGCTTTATTTTGTAGACTTTTAAGCATTTGATTATATGAATACTTGATCAATGTCATTGTTTACCATAGAAGTTGGTTTTATTTTTTTCTATATATCAAGTTAACTGTAATTTCTTAACTTCATTCTTGTATAATTCTGATCAATTTTCTTTTTACTAATAAAAATGTCTTAGGTTACAGTTTTCATAAATTTAAGTGTAATTTGAATAGAATGTGATAGTAGGTCATAAGTTCTGTATGACGTTTTGTTACAACGAGTAATAAATTTAGTCTGAGCACAAATATGGTAATTTCTGTGTCAACTTAATATATTACACATATACTTGTAAAGTGATGTATCAGTAATCAAGGAGTTCGATTCTCAGCCACCAAGTAACGAGTTTGAGCTCCGCTCCACCTACTTTGGTTTAGACGACTGAATGGTATCACTAACTCTTACACTTATAGTGAGGCTTTAAGCCGAGTACACGAGTCTACCTGATAAATTCATAAATGATAATTTGAAACTGTTTCGACGGTCGATTAATTTCATCGTTCATTTTTTCATAGTTTGTCCACACTTGTATGCTTATTCATACAAATGTTTTATTTTTTTCTGTTTATTTTTTATTTTACACATCTGTATTTAAATTTGTTTTATTCATACATAGGTCACCTGTAAAACCGGCAACAGTTCTAGAGGCTAAATTACCAGACGAATTTACTGATTACATGACTGATGGTGTATTAAAAACAACTGATATTGATGATATGCCACCTTATATTCCAGAATATAATCAAAATGGTGGTCAATACACCACATACAATGAATCGTTGCCGCAAACATGGTCAAAACAAGGTGAGTACTAATGTGAAGTGTTTTTTTATTTCCTGGTCGTATTATCTTATTATTGTTTCAAGATTATCCTAGAAATAACATATTGGTGTTGAGTAATACGTTATTGATTGTATTATTACTACCATTATTTTGACTTATTCGCTATATATCTCGTTAATTTAATTCATTGTACTGATTTGATACAACAGCTTGTAGCAATCTATATTTATGCTGATGAATGAAAACTAATTTACCAACTCATCCGCGTTTCTGTAACAGTGTTCGGTTTAATTATCGTAAATTAGGGGGATTTATGTTGACTTGCATAATCATGGTTGATCAAATGTATTTGTTTTTTTTTAGCATATCAGAAAGTATAAAGAATTTTAAGCAATTCAAATTAAGATCTATTATATTTGTAACCAATTATTGTTATTTCTAGCTGTTATAAGTGATATAACTGTCTATAAAATTGAAATTAGTACTTCTGGACAAAATAACATTGTAAATATGGTAAATAAATATCTGACAGTCACATTTCAAAGCTACAGGGTCTTCGCAATTGACTATTATATTCATTATTGGTTAATATTCACTGAGATTTACATTAAAAATGAACATAACGAATTAACAGTATATTATGTACTAAACTTTAAAGTTCTTGGAATATAATTCACTTTATGCATTGCTTGGATTATTTTTTTATATTCCCAAACTTAATGAATTTTGATTCAGACAATATCGAGGCATTCTACACAGGATGCATACATGCCAATGTGAGACTGATCAATCCCAGTCCTAAACATCTATGAGAAGATTCAAACAGCCAAAAAACAGTATATTAAAGAGTAGTTTCGGACCACTCACTAAGATCTTTATTTATCTTAATTTAAAAGTTGAAAGATGAGTGAGTGAGTGGTATAAAATTAATTACCAATTACAGGATAAACCATTCTCATTTTCTACTACACAAAGTGTGTAAGCTTATAGATATTCTTGATAATAATGTAAATGTGTATATTATAGTAAATTTATTATGATTTATGGCGCGGCAGTCTAGTGTTAGAGCCACTTGGTTGCTGAATGCTCAGACTCCGCCCTACGCATTCCAGGATGAACAGTCGAGTGATATCAACCAAGTATTACACATTACAAGATTATAATTCAAAGCTATGTACACAAATTTGTATTTGTTTTACATTAAATCAGCTTTTACTCATCTCTTGCTTTAAATAAGTAGATCATTACGATGAGCCATTAGCTAAATCTGAGCTTGATTTACGACAAGTTGCTTATCATTTAAAATCAGATTGGAGAATATTAGCTCAATGTTTAGGCTTGTCTGATGAAGATCAATATAATATTACCTCTTTGCCTAATCGTCCTGAAGAAGAATATGCGTATACTAGTTTATTGTTGTGGCAAGAACGTAGTGGGAATGAATTAACTTCGGGTAAGCAATTAAACAAAATATGTATTTTTTTAATGATATACGTTAATATAAGTAGAACTGTATTTTAATGACTAACATACTTGACTTTCATCTAGAAAATCGCAAATTAAGAGCCCACTCTCCATGTGATTCAGTTCGAGTCACTAGTTCCCATGGTTGGTTGAAGTATAACACAACTTATCGACAAAATACTTAACATAACAATAAACATGATTAAGGATCACTATCAAGGCATCACTAATGATTGTAAGACATGTATTTTATAGACCATTTATCCATTGATGAAATTAAGATACCTAATTTATCATCAGACTTAAATTATTGTCCACCATATCGCAAATCCAATATATATATATAACATCAATTAGATTAACGCACATTCAATTATAAGGAATACAGAATAGGATGAAATGCACGCCCTGGATACCATTACTAATAACAATATAAAAATAGAATTGTTCTTACTTTCACAACAAAACTGTTATATGATGTAGCAGCTATTCAGTAATTTATTTCAAATAATATTCAGCTTATTTTGTGAATGTATGTAAGGTTAGAATAAACTGTTATCCGTTAAGTGTTACTGTGATATATGATATTAATTTTCTGTTATTATCATCCAAATAACTAATTATCATGAGTGATTTCGAGACAAATTTCACACAGGTTTTGTGGAATGTGTGTTATGGCTTGTGTATTTAACCAAATCGATCGTGAATGAGCTATTAGCGAGGAGATATTAAGAGCATCACGTTACATCGTGGTTTGACTCGCGTGTCCCACTGGATTTAAAGTCAACAATAATATGGAAGCATTGCACTGGTCGCAAGATCTTGAGGGTGTACATTAGATTCCATACGAGGATGTGAGTAGTCAATATTGATGATTACTGTTGACAAGTGTCACAAGTGTATGCCTAGCTTGAATTGAATTTCATGTTTTCTGTTGAATTTATAAGCAAGTATTATTATTATTATTATTTAAACATATAAATATTGGAACAAGGAAGCACCAAATAGATATGCCCCACATAAATCATTCGATTTGTGTGAGGACTGGGATTCTACCAGGGTTCCCAAATCGAAACAGGTGGCTTTCTTATGGGCCCATATCCCGAACGTCTGACCTAAAAGTCTAATTCACAAGGCAGTGGAGAAACGTCAGGAGGTGCATTCCCATGGTAGCCGGTGACCAACAATAGGTTCATACGCCATTGGTTCCTTCGGGATCCCAAAGCCCATATGCACCATTGGTTTGAAATCAGGGTTTCCAACTCCCCTAGGTGGATCCTTTGTATCCACCAACCTGGTTAAGGTGCCGGATATTTGCTTTTTGTCCTCGCAATTTCGTAAACAACAGTCATGCCACGAGAAGGCAATGAATAGTACCTCCCTGGCAGTTTTTGTATGCACGTAGCCATGTGAGACGTTTCGAGAGGAAGAGCTGATTCTCCCCACTCTCAATTGCATCAAGCCATTCGGGTTCTAACTTATAAACATATCATTGTAAATAAATTTCTACTATTTTATCTCTTCCTAGGTACGCAACTTGCCGAAGCACTACAAGCTATCGGTCGTAAAGATATATTGGAATATTGTATGACTAACATTTCGCCTGTAATAACAGCTGATGAACGGGTTACTGCTTTACGTTCATTGAATGGTAATTTGTTGCATTTTGAGGTTATTTTCTTTGACATATTTTAGTTGAGGCAAGAAATAATTTCAGTCCCTTGGTATATTTTTTATTATTGAAAATATTAACTGATTTAAACAGTTGTTGCAAAAACTAAAGACGAATTGTCGAAGCATTCAGGCGAAATTCTGTGATTTCAACCAAGAGGTCGGTGTCCTAGATTATCTAAGAAGGCTTTTGTCTCATACGTGACAGTTGACCCGGAGTTATTGAAAGATGTTTGCTTTTTGATGGAGTTTTGTGGAGAAGTTCGAACGTCTCACTTCTGTCTGAAGTGCGTGCTGATGATGTCGTTCAGAAGAACGATGAAAGCTCCACGACGAACCATCCAGTTCAGAGATCATAGTCATCCACTCAAGCTACAAATCTTCTCTTCCATCTCAAAGATGATTGCTATATAGACCCTTAGTTTACACCTATTCTTATCTCAAATATTATCTACCTAAAGTGTGTTTGACAACAAAGTAAATTGAAGAGCGATTTTATTTGGTGGAGTTTCATCCTGTGAACTGAATAGTTTTGTCGGCGAACGAAATCCTACTAAAAAATCATCTATCTGGGTTATTAATCTTTACTTCTTTTTATAAGTTATAAGAGCAACTGCTTATTGTGAAATTTCATTCTTTAATTTTAAAAAAATAAGGTAAATGGTTCAATCATACTGCAAATCATATATTTAGTACCAACAAGCACCCATATGAGTAAATAAAAAATGTTTCATTTAGAACTAATAGTGACATGAATACTCCTTAATTTACATGTTTCAGACTAAAGATTGTTTGCTTTGGGGGGTGTCACTTTTGATAATTAATAGCAGTCAAGTTCAAGTATATTTTAAAAGTTTTGTCAAATATTTGTACGAACATTTGCAAAGTGCTCTGTTGCCATTGTTACATTCTTAGTGATTTGACGATATCAATAATTTTCCGTATTTTATATGAAAATATGCAGCTCATGTCAGACGGATAATTAATATAATTTGTGTAGATTTCGCTGCGAAACAGTTCCTATTTACTAAAAAATATGTATCAACTTCTTAAAATAAAGAAACTGAGGAAATCTAATCCAAATGACGTTGAATAAAAAGTGAAATGATACTAATGAATTTTCTCATATAAATCTGAAGTAGATCAACTTGTATACGAGGATTACTAATTCTAAGGGATTAGATACACTATGGGTGACCGTGAAGTGGGTCATGTTGTGTTCAGTTTAAAGGCGCGTCGGTATGTACTCTTCAGAAATTCTGAGTATTATTGATGAAACGAAATATAGTATCAGCTAGTAATGTCTATACATAGTTTTAGCTATTGCAATTTATTTTTTGTTGCTATTTTCGCTTTTATTTTTAATAGCCGTTTCGCCCAATTTAAATATTAATCGTGAAAATCGATCTCATTCAAAAGATGGCAGTGGTGGTTTAAGTGAATCAGTTGATACGGGTTATGGCACACAAACCGGATCTACTACACTAATACCAACAACACCAGTGATTACAAAGACAATTTCATCAACAATTCATACACTACCCACTTCAAGCAATGTAGATAATTCTAAACAATCTGAGCAAGAAGTGGAGCAAGAAATTATACAACCAGTTACTGTGACCACTGGTCGAATTTATTCAGGGTCATTACCATATGTGGGAAAATCTATTACTGATGTTCCCGAAGACAAATATGATGTATTAAAAGGAGTTGAAAATATTCTGGTTGATAGTCAACATTCATCGACTATAGAAGATGATAAAATAAATTCCACTTCTACTGGACGTGAGTTGTTGTTATTCATTACAGAGTATCTATATTTATTAGTGATAGAGTTTAGCGCATCGTTTCTCTTTTTCATTTGTAAGTTATAATTATTTCCTCGCCATGACTGGCTATTATCATTCGTGGAACTATTTCAACTAGGAAGCAGTCAGTGATGTGCAAATAATGTGTTTAATGTATGTTTTTCATATTTTACTAAGCTACTGTGTGATTTTTCGTTAAAACAATAAATTGGTTTGTACCCAATAGACTGCTTCGTTCACAACACCAGTAGTGATAAGAATAATAAAATATGAAAAGTTACGATCAATAGTTCAACTGAGGAAGTAGGTCAAATTCATATATCATGTACTACGAGTTATTGTTTCGATTTCGACTAATTTATTTACACTAGCCACTACTTCAATTTCTCACCTATTTAACAATAACTACTTTTTACATGAATGCACTGATTCTTCATTAATCAGTAATTGGCTTATTTTAATGTCCTTCAGTTTCTACACTTTAGATTTTATATTAAGCAATTGGAGATAGTCGACCGGAACTTCGAACTTATTATAGGGTATACGTATGATATGATTTGCAAAGTTGAAACGGTAGACATTTTTCCCAAGTCCAGCATTGATCATTGTTACTCTCAAGATTTTACGTATGCCTTACCAACAAATGCCAACTATCATGAAGGTACCGACTATCTTCAATCACTTAACATCAAAATATAGTGGATTTGATGTCAAGTTACTTACATTGATGGACACTGCAATTTGATCGATGGGATCCAATCCACACTAAAGGACTGTATTGGCCACTACTCATTGATCGATCAGTTGTAAATATATCGGTTTTAAAGAATTTGATTCCCTCAGGGTTACAAATACAGCTTTCTGATGATTGCCAACTCACACAAAACCTAAATCCAGGTTTACCTGTCGATTACCTCTGACTACAACGTCTGAAGACAGTTATCATTGTTCACTGACTTTATCCAGTTCAAGAACAGTTGAAAATCAAGCAGCAGTGGATAAACTTTTCTTTCTGGTTTTAGATTAGAGATGAAAAATGTAGATTATTGAGTGTCAGTCCAATGATTTGAATACTTCTCCCAATCTACGATAAAACATTTTGATACTCTTACTCAATTTCAGCCGAAGTTACACAACATAATTACTTACAGTTAGATTGTTTGCAGCCCAAAAAAGGTTGTACAGTGAAAGTTTGTGATGATAATGGCAGTACATTTGAAAATAATTGAAATCTCAGTTTAATTCCAGATGAAAAATGATTGAAAACCTTAGATAAGAGAGTTCACTGGAGGCAATTGTTCCGTTTATTTCTGTTGTTCACTTTTTTTATTAACGCGTCAAATGCTTTTAGCTTCTTCTTCTTCATCCAAATGTAGTTTATATTTCTAAAAAAAATTTTTATTTTCACTATAGCTCCAGTCAATGAAGAAATAGTTGTCCCTACTCAAATTAATCGCACTGTTCAACTAAATCGTACAGACGATACGACTAATAATAGTAATAATATTCATAAACAAATTGAAAAAGATAGTGATTTATCAAACATTTATACAGATGGTAAGTAACCCTTTGAATAGATATAGGCACACCGGCATTGATGGATTATCATGTTCATCATTCATAATGATGTGAGGTCTGTTGTTATAATTGTTTTCTATCTTTATGATTGAGTGTTGTCTTATCAATTGCTATTTTTGCTGTTTTGTTCTTTTTTATTATTTATTTGTGTCCCATTAAGTCTAAGAGTTTTACTGTTAATTTGAAACGCGATAGTTTAATTTAATCGTTGCAAATTTCGACTTATAACTTACTATCCGACCGCGCTTTTAAACTCTAATCTATCTGTTTCAGTTTGAACATCTTAATGACCTTGACACTTATAAAGCTTTTATATATACATTGAGATTACAGTTGTCAAATAAATGAATTACAATAATTTGTAGCTCATATTTTGATCAGCTAATAATGCGTCCATAAATAATGATAATATTTCAATTACGTCCGATAAAAACAGTTAATAATCTATTATAAAACTTCATGTGGTACTAAACAAATGTCTGTCAATAATTATAACTCATTCACTAAGGAGATATTCATGTACACTAGGCTTTGAACGATGTTTTGTGTGCATTTGTGTGTGAGCTAGTGATATTTCATGGCTGTTCAAATCCAAGTAGGTGGAGCAGTGTTTGGACGTTTTGTTGCTCTTTGAGCCATTAAGTCAACAATTTGTAAACATTATCATAAACCTTTTTATTGATATGTACATGATCATTTTACACTTAATTATTCATTATTATTTGCTCACTACCAAACACAGATTTGTGTAATTGGCTTAAAGTCACACTTTAAGCTTAAGAGCTAGAGTAAACCGAAATTCGAATCTGCGATTTAAGAGTAGCCTAAAATCGAACATCTTCATCACTAAGCCACAGCTCTACTTTTATACATTCGATAGGTTAATTCTTCGATCAGCACTCAATGGATTAGACAAACATGACACTTGTCACTACTAATTGATCAGTCATTTTAAAAATTTCAATTCTGTAGAGAAGGTGGTCATTTATAAACCACATAGATCATTGATAACACCTCTCTCTTTCTCTTTGATTGTGATAACTTAGTTTCCGATACGCTTAACTGTATGACTAGTGCCAGCTTCTTATAGATAACTAACTCCAAATATGTCTAAGAGACTCTCTCTTCGATGTCACTATGTAAAATTTAAATTTTCGCACATACACACCCACATATGTTTCATATTTGTGGTAATGTTACATAACAACATTTACATCATTATATGAATCCTACAAACACTCTCAATAGAAATGTATATTTCTTACTTGTGTCTACTGAATAGAGGAAAAAAATCTAGTTTTTTTTTCGCGAATTATCAACGAAATTGACATTTGAAGAGAAAACATTTTCACAACATCATTTCATATATCAAACTGTTCTTAATTATTATATAAATGCCACAATATAACTTTATTCTATGTGTATACTCTTCTTTTTATACACATATCATACATTTTGTTCGACTTTATTTCTCTAATAAACATGAATCAAAACTGTCAATAAATTAGGTGAGTGGGTTTTTCCGGTTTTCATTTGTTCTATATATTAGATACAATTGTTTGTCTTTACTTTCTATTCAGTTAACAAATAAAAAAATACAAACCAAGACATTATTTTTTTATTATTAATTTGAGATTTCATTTGAATTACATATAATAATACCATTATTACAATAGATGATTTATTTATTTGTATATACACGCATAGTTTTTTTCTTTCTTGCTATAAGCAACATTTCAATATTGTAAACAGTTATTTTGTTTAGTTTGTTTTGTTTTTCGCTCATTTTTCTTTACGGTTAGAGATGTTTAGATAAATTAGATTTTTTGGCTAACAAAGTTGTTAATGAATAAAGATTGATCAATAATTTTCTTATATACGTGTATAAGTCGATTTGTGTTAAACCTTGCTCCATACACAGCTATATATAAATATATGGTTTATTCATCATTTTCACAATTTTCTTCATCACCATTATTATTGTCGTCATTGCTCTTCTCATCATCGTATGTGTATTATTACAACGGAACAATTGTTTAATTAGTTTAGTGTACGAAAATACTTTGGATCTCATCTACATGTTGTCAATTGGTTTGTGAATATTTTCTTGTATGGCTGTGTTTGCCCACATGTTTGTTTGTAATCATATTACACTGCTAAATTATTTATATATTTCCAGTTTTGCACACATACTCCTATACGTGCATATATATCCATCTATCTATTTATATGTGTATATACCTTTATACTCATAAATACATCGTCCGGCGATGGTGTCTATTTGCTATGGATTCATATTCAATACAATTCAATTGATCAAAGCACTTATATATTCACATATAACATATATATCTACATATATTTCGACTTTTGACCATTGTTCGTGGTGTTGCTAACACGTTTGCTAGGCAAGTTTAATTGTTTTAATTTATTTCTTGTTATAGATTGTTGTAACTTAATTATATATCTTCTTTTTTCAATGCATGCGTGTATTTGGTGATATTTTATTTACTATGCAAAATATGTTTTTTGTGCGTGTATTCATTTATTCTAATTATGCAAAACGTAGCACTTAGTATTTTATGCGTACATGTGAGTGATTGAGTGCGTGGAGTATTTAAGTAGCGCTATCTAATTTTTTTTATTGACAAATATTATAATTTGCGCGTTTGTTTATTTACCACAGCCCTGTAGACTGTTTGCTTTATTTTTTATCGATAATGCTAATTGATAGGTCAATGAGCCTACACCAATAGAATGTTTTCATTTTCATAAAGTTTAAGGGATTTCATTTGAATATTCTGTTAGATCATCAGTAAGTTGAAAAACTATTGGAAACCAAAGCAGAAATTAAGAGATAGTTTTCCAAATCTCAAATGATTACATATCTCGGATTCAGACTTCGAAGATTTGGGTTGCAACCGTCCTTCGCTGTACTATGGTGACTTTTAATCATCAATATAGACTCATTTAAAGTCCTTAGATGAACTCAATAAATAGAATTAATTGGACTCCTAAAAAATATCAACTTAAATAAAGCGTCGTGTTATGTCTTTTGCCCCCATTAATTATCACGTAATAAAGGCGCCAATCACAATGCCTACTTATTTGACCTTATTCTTGTGCTAAACAAGTGACACGTCTAACTGTTGTGATTCAGCTAGTCAGTCAGTAACAACGTAGAACTTCGTACGTACATACATCAGTTCAAGTTGCCACACCACATTAGCACAGAGATGCAGTTGTCGATTCAAATCCCGTAGTGGTAGAGGTAGTAAGAGTATAAGCAGTATTCGGAAAGATTAGGGTTTGAAGATGTTATTCAATGAGTATAATCCAGCGAAATAAACTTGGAAAGAGGTAAAAAGTGACATGAAGAATTCAGAAGATTAGAATTTGGGAGAACACAAAGAGTAGATGCACCTGCGCCATTGCAAACGATTTTGAGCCATGTCATGCAGGGTCTCTAACCATCGGTCGCTATCATCTCGCGGTCCCCAACCAGGTAGTCTACACTTAACAACATGCCTCAGTCCACTTGTCAGTGACTTCATGAACTTGTGCCATGTTTTTGGTCTGGCCGCCCCTAGCTTTCTTCCAACCTACTCCTACACCATAAAACGTCGCTCTTCGGGAAGTCGATGGTTGGGCATACGTAACACATGTCCCAGCCATCTCAACTGATCAAGTTTCACTACTTCATCAATTGATTTGCCATCCTTACCTAATACCCGTTTCCTAACAACTGAGTTACTTACTCGATTGTCCCAGGATATACGACCATTGCTTCGAAGACACCTATGATCGAATACTAGTAACCTACGAATATCCTCTACTCTTACCGGCCATGTTTCACTGCCATAAAGTAGGACGGAACGAACTGCTGCTCAGTAAACCCGTTTTTTGTTCGGTAGACGGATATCTCGCCTGTGCCATAAACGATGCAAGTTGGGAAAATCCAGTTTAGCCTTCTATATGTGTGCTGAGACTTCGTCACACACCAGACCACAAGGGCTGATGAGACTTCCAAGATAAGTGAAGCGGTCGACACACTCAACTACTTCACTCCCTATCACTAGTTCGGGTGTCGATGTAACCCAATCCTGAAGCAACATTTTGCATTTCGAGGGAGAGAATCGCATCCCGAACATGCTTGCATTGTTGCTTAGAGTGGTCAGAAGACTCTGCATTTTGTCAGCGTCTTCATCAAATAAAACTATGTCATCTGCATATTCTAAGTCAACAAGTGAATCTCCTGGTAGAAGTTCAACCCCTTGAAATTTAGATGAGGAAAGTGTTATCTCTAAAAGTACGTCAACGACAAAGTTAAACAAGAATGGAGATAGTGGGCAGCCCTGACAAACACTACTTGAGGTAATCAATTCTGAAGACAGTTCGCCATAAGCTCTCACTCTACCAGTTGTGTTTTATTAGAGAGCCTCACTAAGGTTAATTCACTTCTTTGACACTCCTTTCAGTGACAAACACTGCCATAGAACCTCACGATCAACAGAGTCGAATGCCGCCTTAAGGTCGAGAAATACTACTATTGTGGGGCGTCTGAATGTGTGTCTATGTTCTAGGACCTGACGTAGTGTGAATATCTGGTCTATACAGCAACGTCCAGGTCGAAAACCAGCCTGATTTTTTCTAGTCTGCTCTTCACGAGCTTTGATTAGGCGTCGAAGTATTATTGAAGCTAATATTTTAGACATTATATTAGTCAAGCTGATTTCACAAGAGGAATTTTGTCCTTTCTTATAGACTGGCACAAGCAGTGATTGAGACCAGTCAGGTGGGATTACGTCCAGTTCCCAAATTCTACCTAAGACCTCGGGTAATCTCATTGCTAATACTGGACCACCATCCTTAAAAATCTCAGGCATAAACCTGTCAAGGCCTGCTGCTATCCCATGCTTCAGATTTCCTATAGCTTTTCCAACTTTGCAAAGAATTGGAGGACATACATCAACTTGCCATTCAGGTCGACTGGAGATCGTGGGAAATCGAAGTGCATTTGTAGGCCAGTTGAACTGATCCCTAAAGTGTTCTGCCCATCGATCCAATCTCCTGGATTGAGAATGAATAATATGTCCATAATCTTCCGATATAGCTTTGCTAACAGTTCGATTCCTAATAGCAATTTCCTTAACAAGTCTGAACAATTGTCTGCTGTTACCTATTACCGCTGTCTTTTCCATCTCTTGCTTTCGCTTCCCATCGCTGTTCACAATCATTGCGTAGGCTTCTTATCAGCATGCGCTTAAGCTGACTCCGCTCTTCGTTATGTTCAGAGCTAGGTGGAATGAGTTTCCGAGCATCTATCAGTGCGATAGATGCTGCTGAGATCTAGTGTTGCTCCGTAACCTTACGGGTTACCGTACTAGCAGTTATCACCGCTGTTTCCACATCTTTTCGGATATCATTCTACGCTGCTTCGGGGTGGGCATCACTTACATGGCTGCTTAACTGTTTTTCTAGTTGTTCCTGAAATATATTCTTAACTTGGCTATCATTAAGTAGGACCCTAAGAGGTTTACTTACAGCGTCTTTCCTACGTCCAGTAAGACGCAAACAAATACGCGCTTGCACTAGAGCATGATCTGAATCTAAGCATGTACTCCAGAACGAGCGACAGTCTTCTATCGAGCCCCTCCATCGGTGGCTGATAGCGATGTGATCTATTTGGGTCCAACGTTGGGACGAATTAGGGGGTCGCCATGTCAAAAGATGTTTTTCCTTATGCTTAAGGTTAGTATTTGCAAGAAACAGGCGGTTATCTGAGCATAGCTGCAACAGACGGTCGCCATTATCTGTTCTTTGAGCCACGATGCTATAAGATCCACCCAGGTGTCTTTCCCTTTCGCCTATTTTACCTACTTGAGCATTAAAGTCACCGGCCATTATTACTACATCCGAGCGCCTAGCTTTTCGAAGAAGGCCGGAGAACTTTCTGTAAAACTCATCCTTTACATCATCTGAGCTGCAGTCAGTCGGAGAATGGGCAGAGACGACGAAGAAGCAACGACGAGTGTTGCTATCTTTCCGAGTCCTTACTGTTTCGTTTAGTCAGACAGCTCACAAACGACTGTCTACTGGGATCCACTCTAAGAGGGCTAGTTCTGCCCCAGGACTCAATGCTGTGCCTACGCCGGCGAGGCCACGGGAAGCAGAATCAGGTCTTCCAGATACACGAAGTGTGAATCGAGTTGGTTCTTTATTTTGACACGGTGATGTCAAGTTAATGACGTTACTCGGATCCTGTATGCGCGTCACGGAGACACAGCACACATCGATGGCGCGAGATTCTAAAGTCTTAGCTAAGGAAGCCTGCTGTCCTATTTGGCACAGTGTTTGGACGTTAAAAGCTCCTACCTGTAGTTTAGAGCGTGGTTTCAGGAGACCAGGAATAACGTTCGGTGTACTCGAATCGTTTGCCCTAGCGGTGCGAGGTGAGAAAGCGATATGAGGAGGGTTAGTCATGGAGATAAGAGAGGTATTAGGAGGTGTAGGAAGGATTTGAATGTGACCACCTTGGTCTCGTGTGCTGTTACGGGTATGAGGGCTGATGTCACTTCCCGGCTGCCCACACCATGGAAGGGTATTTCTTGAGGAACCTGAGAAGGAAATTGGATTGGTGTTGGTCTTAACGACCTGGGAGTGTGACCGCAGAGCCCAAGGGACAACTACTTGAGGCCGGTCGCGCACGGCCTTTTTGTGGACGATTTTTGACGTGTTAGCTCCGTTCTTCAAAGGGCCTTACCGCCGGAGACGGAAATCCGTGAGGTAAGGTGGGGTGTGACGTTTTTAGGGTCGACCTTTTCTAACCCCTTCCTTCCTTGTGAGAAGGCAGTATCGCTGCAGATGCTGGCTGTCCGAGGGAAACACCTTACTGCTGTTACACCACTCTACAGTCAGCCGTACGACTCCGCCCTCAGACCTTGAGTTGCTGCTTTTAGTCTTGCCGTTCTACAATCGACCTACCATGCATGGTAGAACCTACAGGAACATATGTTCCAGCCAATATTGCTCGGTTGGGTCATCACGATAGACAAGCTCGACCACCGCTTCAAGGTAGCAGTTACGATCGGGAACTGTTGTGATTGGTCGGTCTATAATTGTTATGTCGGAATCGCTTATCACGTATACTTGTAAAGCGAGGAACCACTGAAATTCCCACGACACAAACGTTATAAAACAAAGACTGATACATGTAAAGATTTATTAACCCCAAAATACGACGAAGACGACGACCCTAGTCGAAAATACACTCATCTATATATTGATTCATAAACTTAATTTTGATTAATAATTAGGATAAAATTACATACATGAATAATACTTATAGTTATGGCAAGATCATATGCTACATGTCATGCTGAGTATAGTTCATATCAATTTTTAATACAAGAATATCGTATGTTATTACATAACAGATTATCTTACGGGAAAACAGGAACAGATATTACATTGAGTAATCATTACATTGAATTAAAACGGAAGTAATCCTGCATAAAAATCATAATGAGTAAATGCATCTAATTTTGACTTTTAATCCCGTAATATAGCAAACAACACTAGCAACCTTGTGTCAAATCAGAATCCTTATTTGTCCTTCTCGCCTAGCCGTGGCTCTTGAGTCCAGAAAGCAAACTCAGCTTCCACTATATGAGTCGTATATTGTAGACATACGTGGTTTATGTACAAGTAAACCAGTTGTCATCACACCATAAAATAAAATAATTATAATTATACAAGATCAGTCCAAAAGTGGCTATAAGTGTGAGAGACTGTAACTTATTGATTGGGAATTACTTAAAATTAGTAAATCGTATTGGAGTAGCCAATATTTCAAATAAAAATATATATATGTAATCATGGTCCATAAATAATTCATAAGAGTACCATTCATTTATTCATTTGGATGTAACATCTCATGTTAATATTTACATTTAATTGATTAATCACATCAAATATACATTATGTGTTCAATGCATGCGCTAATTGCATTACATCAAATTTTCATGAAACTTGCGATAAACTCGAACTGTTCAGGATGATAATACTTTAAAGAAACAACCGTCTTCAAATTAATCAAGCATTTTAGTGTTAGTATAATAGAAAACAAGGACAGTTGTCCTTAATAAGAATACCAAAAACATGTGGTCTCTTGTTGTTCCTGATCGTAGATTCATCATCCAGAAGGCTGTTAGTATACCAGATTAGTGGAAGTCTGTGTACATAGTTCTAGCAGGACTTGAAATGATTGTTGAAGAGCCTGAGTTCCGAGGATTCGGAGAGATTTTTCGAATAATGAAAGTAAAGCTGTGACAAGTATACTGCCAGAAATAAGGACTATTCCAATCGGGATTAATATTTACGTCCTATCTTACATCTGTAAATGAAATTTATTTTGCTATTTTGTCAGTTCTAATGCATCTAAGTGGTGTAATTTGTAATTTGGTTTTATTCTTAGTCTTGTTACAGCTCTGCTGCCTACTTATTATAGTCATTGTTTAATAATATAATAGTGAACTGAAATCTTATGTACATCAAGTCAACATGTATTTCACATCATCAATAGTTTGATGAAAGAAATTTAATCCTTAGACTACATATGAATCAAATACTATTCGGAGTTCCTTTTACTCCAAAACTCTACAGTTATTGATTTAATAACTATTGGAAATTAATTATAAATTCATTATCAACATTTCATTTCTACGTATTTTAATTATTTAACTTTTTTGGCACAAGTTAAAAACTTCAATCCATCTTATCGATTTACGGGCCTGTCTGTATTCTTTTTAACTGATTAATTTATTATATCTCTCTATATTTCTTTCTACTGTTAATTTCCTGACATTTTCTTCTTTTTTCAGTCTCCAGTGATGTGGAGTCAGATTTATCGCAGGCTACGGAAAAACACATTTTCATTAAACAGCACAAACAGTTATTCAGTGATTCATTATCTCATCCTAACTGTGAGAAATCGACTGACGATTTACAGTCGATAGTAAGTAAATCACTCGTTGTTAAAGCAGATAATGAACAAGCTCCAGATGATCATCATTTTGAATCATGTGAACAAGAAATTTGTGCACATCACTATCAAAGATGTGGTGAACTTGAAGCTACATGGGGTAAAGGTGCAGATCAAGATGTTCCACCTTACGAAACTAGTGGATTTCATGTAGATAAAACACATGAAAAACAAGTTTGTAAAACCGTATTAGATGAATCAAATGAAGAGGAGATTTGTGCATATCACTATCAAAGATGTGGTGAACTTGAAGCTACATGGGGTAAAGCTGCTGATAATAGTACTAACAAAGTAAAAAATAGTGAAAAACATGAAGAAATGTTGTCTATTGCACCGGGTATTGTACCATCTGAGCAGTCAGGGTGCACATATCAGTTGTCCGACGAAACCGAAACTACATCAAGTAAACCTAAACCAGCAAATACATTTTCGATTGAAGATACAATGCAGCAACTATCATCATCATCATCGTCACAAGAGAAATTAACAAAAACAATCATCATTTCAAAACACACAAAATCAGATAAAGGTGAAATAAAATAGAAATTACCTTCTGTATGTTTGTGTATGACATCGAAGTACAGTTATGCAAGGAACTAGTGTAGACTGTATGAATACACCCATTGAGCTTATGTTTGTTTGTCTCTCCGTTTTTTTTCATTTAAAAGACTTAATTCTATTCTTTCTAAGTCTAATTAAGAATTTAGCTTCTTTTACCGTTGCTTAGTTGATAGCTCGCTAAACTGCATAAAATGATGATGCACTCACTGATCTTGATCTGTGATATGGAAATTAAAATTCTAATGAGTATTCATATATATACGCTTTTGTGAATAAAACACGTCTAGTTATTAGGGTTTTTATTATTGAAGATCATTGGCTTTTTCTTGTTGAAACGGTATCTGACATAAATAGGTATTTATAGTTTGTTCGTTTCATTTCACACATTTTATTTGAACCTAAGATCTATTATGGGTCTTAGTTTTGAATTTTACTAAACCTACTTCACTTTGGGAAACTAGGCAGAGTATCATTAACCATCATACTTAAATTTCGATCCAAAGCCGAGTGCATCAACACTTGTACTTAGTAAATGGATCAAGTTATATCCTGTTATATTCATGTTATTGCATATTTTGTGTATCTCGATAGAATTACCACTCTCTATCTTTCTTTTATCGTGTATTCTATAGAGTTTGTTTAATTATGATGTTTCAATAACTAACTGCTGATTAAAAAAAATGTATATTTGACCAGTGACATGAGCTTGTATGATTGTCTTTTTTGTGTGGTTTCTTTTTCATTTAAGAAATTTGGTTTATTCTAGAACAACTTCAATTATATATAAAAATAAACTGATCATATGATTACACAATAAGTCAGTGTTAGTAGCCTTTATTCATAGTATATGAACTCGACAACACAATAGACCGTATCTTAACATTTAAATTACGTGAATTGAAGTTCATTATTTGTATAACTATTCTCTTGTAAGCGATTGTGTAAATTTTGATAGTGTTCATCTCATGAGACAACCTACTATGGTTTTTTAATTTGTGGCGAACTAACTGGAATACCATTGAAAACCAGGTCAAATATTAAACGTCTGTTCCTTCTTATTTAGAGACACCTCAGAGGTGCTTATCGTTTTCGATAGAATCTATCATTGTTGTTTTGTTATATACCGACTTACTGTGGTCTAAAAGTATCGTTTGATTATTGTGAGACGTGAAGTTGTGGGTTCGACACCGTGTAACATCTCGTATATATATGTCAATAGATAGCTCAGAAGTCTTACACTGCAGAATAAAACAACTATCCTCACTTTACAATGGTTCGTTCTCCGGTAGTTGATGATACCATGTATTCATAGCTGAACTAAATTTTACCTAGTTTTTTTTTAAGGAAATTCTCAATTGACTCTTGACTGATTGCAAAGATTCTTAAATAATGTTATATATATATACAGAATTCAAAACATTATTTAAATTTAAAAACTGTATATTAATGAGACTTTGTTTCTTCAATTTGGTTCATTGAAATTATATTAAATTACGTTTCACATTGAATCACTTGTTCATATCACTTAGATAAAAGTGATTAATGTAGATGTGATAATTAGATAAACTAACTACAAACTTTTCCCTATTCCACTCAATTTTAATAGAAAATGTAGGATGAGATAAAACTTTAATTAATACAATAATGAATTATTATTTCCCTTTCACCTGTGCAAAGTTTGATGCAAATTGTGGACAATTTTTTTTTGAAAACTCGTGTAGATTTATATCAGCCTGAAAGAAGACTGAATTCTTGCCAGTGTAATACATAACTGTTAACAACAATCTTAGCTGGAAATATGTTTACTAAAAATAGACCATAAGAATTGAGATTCTAATTATATATGAAAGTGGATATATCTGTTCGTTTTGTTTGTTTGTTCTTTTTCTATTCCTAAACTTGGTTCTTCATTAATATTGACATTTCAATGGCAAATGTATGTGTATGTTAGTTTTTTATAATAAAAAAACACCAACATTTGAATTTGTGTTTTTTTAAGTCCAATAATTGAATACAATCAAATGAAATCACTCTTAAAAATATTTCTTATCTACTCGTATACATTTATCTGAAATCTATTGAATCATTTCAATGTATATAATTGTAGCACTGATGTTCAAAATGATTGACTCGACAACTATTTAAATGTTTCATGTGTTTCTAAAATATTTGAGCTGTAGTTTTGAACCCCACTGCACATATCAAGGTTTTGGCAGTCATGCTTTAACCATTGGTTCTTACACAGTAGATATAGTTCATAGACTAGTATAAAAGCTAGTTCTAGCTTGCCAAGTGTCATTTTCATCATAGTTCAGCAAATGATTCTTAAAAGTAGGGAAACAATTTATATTGACTTATATTAGTCTTTTATAGTGACATGGCGTTGTGGTCACATATATAATTGTATGGGGCACTACTTTGTTCAGTAAATACGCTGAGATCACAAGAAATTTATTCCCGCACAATTTTGGCCTGTCAATATTTATCCCTTCCAAAGTACTTCTCATTTGTCCCATCCTCCAGTTCATTGTTTAAGAATCCCTGGTTATTGTTAGGATCGTCAAGCACTTCATTATCTCATATTCTTCTTGAATTGCGTACATAGATAACTTTCCTGAATCCAGTTTATAAACAATCGTCCAAATAGTAAATTTTCGACTGGGATCACAAGTAATCATACATCGGATTTTCCACCAAAAACACAGCTGAGCTTGACTTCTATCGTCCTCACATTCTCGATAGGCCATACTGAAATGCTGTGTTCATTTGAAAAGTGTTGTTTTCTTCAAATTGTTACCTTTATGAACATCTTATGAATTTGTTCAGCTGATATCTTAATATGATGATAATGTTTAATTAAATACCAACAACATTCTATCTACAGTTTAAACTCGCATCAATTACTCAGTATTCTAATCCTTTTTTTATTTTATTAGGGGTAATAGTTAACTTTTTTGACACTTTAACTTTCCTATTTTTATGTTGCTCTTGTCTAAAACTGTTTTTCTTTCTTTTCTTTCATCACTTTTTATGTTTGGATTTGGTTTTTTATACTATTCAAAACAAATACATCTAATCTCCCACCAATCCACAAATTCGCTGCCCACTTCACCTCTACCAAATCGTTTTCGTCCATTCATACTATTGAAATATTCAATAATAACAATAACTAAACCACGACATTCATAACCCCTAATCTTTTTTTGATTTCGAACTAACAAATAATCTTTCCATGAAATGTGTATGTGTGCTCAATGCATTTATGTGTATCTCTGCGGGCTTTCGTTCATTTGCTACCCGTAACCTATTCATCTTTACATTTGTCCTATATAATATACACTTTTGTTGTTGCTATGATAACACCTTTTTGTCACACAAATTATGTTTTTTTAACTCTGTCGTCACTGTATCCCTGCGTCTATATCTCTCATTTATTCATCTATTTACTATGGGATCACTTATTCTTTTATTATGTGTGTATATTCTCAACGTTTAACTAATATTTATTAGATGACAATATTATTCAAAATAATATGGAAAAAGTCATGAAATCTAATCAGAATTATTATGATCACTCAGATAAACTAAACGATGACATTTATGAATTTTCTGATAGAGTAATTGCAATACCACAAATGGATCCCGTCGATTCGACAGAAATACTATTTGATGATACTTATTATAATAATATGTTAGGTGATTTACTACAGGGTCGTTCAACATTAGAACCATTGACACCTATACCGGAAACATCTGAATATTCGACAAGATCATCTGTCACTAGTATAAATCCATCGAAAAGTTGGCAAAGTAGTGATTTAAGTCCTTCGGATTCGATTGAAATTCGTCCTGGTGGTGGTGCTGTCACTAATGTATCACGTCGTCTATTGCATCCATTTTCTCATTCAAATCGTACATCACATGAATCATTTAGTGGTCCACAAAAATCATTCAAAAATCCAGCTCTATCTGTACATAGTATATCATCGATTCATTCTGAACCGGATCGTATTCGACGTTCATATGAAGCACATTCTATGGAATCTCCAGGTCAGGATTGTCATATGGATTTGTCTAGTTCATTACGTACACACAGTAGTCGTTCATCATCGTTAGCAGAATTTTTGCGTTTGGAAACATCTTGTGATGGTAGTCGTGGTGATCTGTGTATCGATGTTGATAATGATGATGATAAACGACTTTGTGAACATGATCAAAATTTACACGATCTTATTCAAAGTATACAAGAGTTACAAAGACAACATTTAGATGAATCAATGGGTTTAATTACACCACCCAGTGGTGATGAGGATAGCTCTAATAGTCGCTTAGCTATTGGCTCCAATGATATTGATCGTCAAATAGGTGAATCAATTAGGAATGCAGAATTAGAATCATCGGTGTCATTATTATCCGCTTCCTCTTTACCACAAGTTAATACTACATCTAAATCAGAGATGCAACAATTACTACAACCAATATATATGAGTAGTTCTAGTTTAAACTCCTCGGCACCACAGCCATCACCGCCATCCACAACAACAGCAAAATTGCCTGTGGGTATCACCTGTAGAGTTAATCAGTATTTCTAATAATTAGTCTATGACTGTTTATTGATCAATCTGTAAAATGTTTTAACCATAAACTTTATGTGTTAGGCTAACAATGTGCTTGCTATTTATGGTTGTTGTAATGTTTGACCTATACATACTAATATATTTAGTAAATTTTCTCTCTATTCATTTTCTTCATCATGTAAGTACAGTAATTATCTATATCGTGGTGTTTTTTTACCAATCAGTATACGATTGTTTAAATTGTTCCTTCGATTTTTAGTTTTTATTATCACCATTGCTTTAGTTCACAGTTGTATTTCGAGGTAGATATGCTGACTAGAATTCTTTGAAGTTCAGTGACGAACCCACTGGAACTTCTATCTACACGTGTTAGCTGCTTTATACTGATTCAGGTTTCATTAGCTCATACTTGGAACTTTCAGTTCAACATTAGTAAGCACGTTATTGTTGAATCAATTGGTGAAAATTGACTTCGTATATAAGAACATTATTATAATATTATCAATATAACCAAGTTAACCGAGTATTCAATCCACGAATTTCCACTATTCCGCTTTGAAACTACCCAGTCACTGTTAATACTAGTAAAGTATCATTCAATATGAGAACGTATTAGGTGTTTTAAGATCCGTTAATTTGTGTAGATCGTTCTAAACTAATTGGAAATATCTATCGACGACTGACTATCATGCATTATTTTATGTACAAATAAGAGCTATCTTCGATATAAATTATAAAAATAAACCTGGTTACTGGCTTTGATTTTATTTTTATAAAGTTTATCACTATTTGTAACATATTCTGCTGCTATGATTATTATTTATCCCAATCTGTTCAGCGTACTTGATACTAACACTATTTTCACAAAATTCTCACTTGCATCAATTCTCTTTCTAGAATAATCATGGTTGCTTTGTCGTGTATTTTACTTTTCTTAAAAGTGGAGATTATTTCTTTTTTATATTACACGAATAGAGAGTTCTCCGTGTTTGTGATGCTAGGTAATTGAAGATAGTCAACAGAAAACCGTTGACCTAGGTTTCTTGCTGATTGGCACGCATCAGCAAGGTGTACCTTTTTATCCTGATAGAATAGAACCTGCGTCACTCAGCTTCACTATTTAAAGTTGCCACTGAGTTATTCGGCCAGTGACTGACCTACAAACTGATGTCTATAATGTAACAACGGAATCTGATTAGTGCTGAAGGACTAGAAAAATATAACACTGGTCGCTTCTCTGCAATCAATCAGTTGTTTGCACATTGTCCTTTGCAAAGGTTGAAAAGTAGATTAATCGACTGACTAAACCTCATTCGAACTATGATTGGTAATGTTCATTGTGCTTCAATAGCAGATTAAGTGAATTTCATAGTGTTTGTTTTACATACATGGGGGGATCTCATCATGAGCAGCAGTTCAGTTGTTGTTTAGACTTCACTCTGAGCTACAAATTGTTCACTAATATTGCTATACTACTGTTATGTTGACTTATTTAACATTTTAAAGTTATTTTACATTTGGAATTTTAGTGTTTAGTATTGATCTGTACTCATATGTGTAGTTGCATGTTATTGTGACAGATATTTATACGAAAGAATACATGTATTTGTTGCAGAAAATAAAATAAACGTGTTTAAGGTTTTATACAGATGTATATAGTTCACTAAGATTTCTCAACAGAATTGATCTTTTGTATGCAATTCCTTGATACATTTTGTATTAACACGATTGAGACCTCTTATGTTTGTCTTTTGAACATTCATACTAATCAATAATAACAATGTCTTGGAAACTGTCTTAAAACAGTTGATATACAATATATTCTTCAGCAATCTTCTTTTTTTAGTCTAAATAATTGACTGCATTTCTTTCGTCCGATGGTTATCTACTTACTCCAGCATACGCGCCCATCAGAATTCACCATGGAACTCTGTCCTGGAACAATCCTTTCATTTGCTGTCATGTACTATTCGTTCTCCACATATCTACCTCCGATTCTCGACATCATGTGTTCTTTAGTGTTCCTCATTTCTTCCGGCCTTCAGAACTCGAAGTTTTAACTTGCCTCATGATGTAATTTGTTGATTTGCTCAATGTATGTCCTACCCACCTCTAGCTTCTTACCCTAATTTCCTCCTCAAGTGAAGGTTGGTTATTTGTCTGTCACAGTAGGTTGTTGCTGATGATATCCGACCAACGGACTTGGATTATCTTGCATGGACAACTGTTTATAAATACTTGCACTTTTTTGATGATAATTGTGATTGTTCTCTAAAATTCAGCTCCATACAATAGAACTGTCTTGATGTTTTTATTGACTTTGATGTTAACTGACAGTTGTTTTGAGTTCCATAATTCATCTATTGTTAGCTAGTTATTAATAGTATACCAATTTTACGGAGATTAGACAATAGTAATTTTGCCTTGTTTAATCTTTATCATCTAGTCACAAGACCTTTTTTCATCAACATCTACATAGTTTTATAAAGTAATATTGTGTAATAATCCTTTCCCTTGTTTTCTTCATTTTTATCTGAATATATTTAGGTGAGTAAATGACTTGAGGAATATTTATACAAATATGGGTGTGGTACATAGTATAAAACCATCCCGTTAACTGTTCAGTGTGTCGTGGATATATATATACCATATTGTGTCATTGTTTTCCTTTCTACGTTATTTAAACCGTTTTCTTTTTTTCGATTTGAAGTACTTTGTTGAATAACTATAGTTATTACTTGCACTTATAGTGTTATATGATGGAACATTTCGTATTTAGTAGTAATAACCATAGCTTTATTTATATTTAGATATAAAAAAGGTTTTGTGTGTTTACCTTTTCTGTTTCGAATGAATTTTTTTTTCTGAAAGAAAAACACAGCTGAACTTTGAAATAAAACAATATTATGGAAGGAAAATATCGTACATTTGAAATTTACTGTTAAAAAGCAATAAAAACTACGTTTTTATGTTGATGATCCTATATCAAAGAATTTATTCGTTCAGTTGTTGTGGAATAGTTTTTATATAAATATAGTTTTACAGACGTGAACGCATATCACAGACTTGGACTAAAGACTGTTATTTATAATCTAATTTTTCAACAAGCCTTCCTGTGTATTGTTCTTGTTTGTTTTTCCTGGTTGTGTACTTTCTCTGCTTGTTCATAATAATAAAAATACAACAAGTAATTTTTTTTCAATCCAATCTTACAGTTAGTCGGCTTTTTTTGTTCTGAGCATGTTTACTTGGAAGCATTCTTTGTTTTTTGTCTGTCACCAAGTGGGGAAAAAACCTTGTAGAAATTGTCACTGAATTACGTAATTCTATGCACTTTCTCTATTGTTTGTTGTTTTTACGTCACTAAAACAAAACAAAAAAAACCAAAAACTGACTCTGTATTTTTTTTTTGTATTAGTTGTATCAGCTACAATTGTTTTGTGTTTTTCTTATTCGTTTGTTTTATAATAACGTTTTTCCGCATGTGTATTTTATTTCCTTTCCTGTGTTTATCTATTATTTGCATGTTGCAAATTCCTCAATAACACATTTGGTATTATTGCACAATTATTTTTTAAGAATTTAGCTTTGTGCTTCGTTTAAAAATTAATTAACAATTATTATCTTTATTTACTTCCAGTCTTTATAAATTGTTCTGTTCGGTAATACTACAGTATATATGTGTTTAATCCCTCTCCCTCTATGTATGCTACGCGTTATCATCAATTGCTATTGTAGTCATTAATACTATCATAAATTGTAATTTTTCCTACCTTCTGTAGTCGTATGATCAGGATGCTTTTCTGTCCTCTTTACATGATGGATTTAACTCCACGGACGTAATTGTTTGTTTGTATCGAGTTAAAAGTCTGAAATTAACTCTTTCCTGGTCGATATAAAAAGCAATAGTTTATGGTAATGTTATTTTTCGATAGAATTCACCATAGCTCGTCTATGGAAATGAAAACACTACTTTTCATGCGTACCATGAACTAGTGAATGAGAAGACTGACTAGCACCTTATTTTATTCGTTTCCTGGAGTATACTTGTGTTTTTTAATATGTTTTAAATAAAGTAGTCTATATTAGATTAACACTTAAAATTATGGGTTTCAAAAAGTTAGTAGTCGGTAAACGTCTACTCTATCGTTGGATGATTTGTCCCAGACTACCGAAATCCCCTGTTATGTTCTTAGGAATATTCTAACCTGGTTGGTGAGAATATATAAGACTTGTCAGGTGAAAAGTCATTTATAGAATACTGTACGTCAAAGGCATATATTTATCTTCAGTAAGACAGCAAAGGCGCTTAACTTCCAGAGTCACTACTCGTATAGCAAGTCTTCTTGGAGTCATCCGTTTGGTAATCCTAAGATCCTTTCCAAATACACTTAAGTAATCCTTTAGACCAAGAGTAACAGTCTTCCTGACATTCTCCAGCTATGCTATGTGTAAGATGGTTTATATGTTGATCGTAGAAAAGGTTGATTTCACAGTTCATGTTGCTCTTAATATTGAAGCTGAGAAAAAGCCATATTCTGATATAGTATTTACTTATAACTCATTGATTTTTGGACCATTCTAGGTTTAAGCTGAGAATATAATTAAATAACAGATTTTGGTCTGTACTGAGTGCGGAATAACACTGAATTCTCATCTTCTATTAAGTTCAACCATTTCTACGTTTGACGAGTGAACACTGCATTTCAAATAGCTGATGGTAAAGGTCAGAAAGCCAACACGGAGAATTTACCGGAACTGTATAGTTTGGCCATTTAGTTTTGGTCACTATGACTCGTTCGTCTTTTTATTAAGTAGATTGTTATATCACTAAGGTCAGATGTTATATACAAAGGTTCTTACGAAATAGTACTACTGATTATCATCATAGAGCTGGCCAGTAAAAGCAACAAGGTGAATTCGAATAAAATCATAGAGAATAAGCCATCACATCGCGCCCAGTCCATAATTTTAGACCAGGTCTATTATCCTAGTAGCACAAATAAATACACTAATTGATAAGTCTTGTTGATTGAACGCTTTATTTATTTCCTAAGCTATTTCGATGACCTGCACGCTAGGACTACACAGCGGCTTGAACACCAGAGAGAAGATGCAAGTGTGAGAGAAAATGCTTTATCCCAAGGTTCCTTTTTGTACAGAAAATCATGGGTATTTATAGATGTTGGCGTCTGTTGAATCAACATCATATTTCAGCCAATCCGTTAACGACATATTATGCTATCGACTAATAGTAGCACGCCAGGTTGGAATTCTAGAACGTTCCATCATACTCTGACTTGCTAGGACCCTTCGGCTCCTTTTGGGCTTCTGGAGGCTCCGTTGAAGTTCTCCGAAAGCCGACTCAACACTAATACTGACCTTAGAACTAATTCTCAGATTGCTAGTCTTCATTTCGTTCCGTTCAACCAGATTGATAAACTATGCTCACTAGTTTATCATCCATGAAGCAAATAATCAGTTCATACTGTTATTCCATTCAGCCCCTACTTGATTATTATCTGGTTTCAAATATAAGCTCGGAAAGCTATTGTTTTTTTCTTGTCTATCGTTTTAATTCTTTATTATCAAGTCTTATAACACACCGAAAAAGATAAATGGCTACTTGAAATTCTGTTAGTCAAAGCTGTGCGAATTCCTCTTACCAAGGTATGAAGGTTACTTTTGTGAAGTTACATGTGCAACCTCTCAATACCTACCGTTATTAAGTTTTTATGATACCTGCGAAACTTCCAAAAATATGGCAATCAAGATTGACTGAAACAAATCCTTTAGTATACTAGAATACAATAAACGGGTAGGGTTTCGATACATATACCATATTCGTCTTCTTGGGAATAACTCAGGAAAACATCAATACCATAAAGACGGGGTTTCAAGGTAAATACACCCAATCACTAATATTTCACGTAGGCTTAGGAAATAAAAGAAGTGCGTTTTTATTAATCTGTTCCTAGTGTTTGCTCAACAAATTTTTATGAGAAGTAGGCCAAATACATGTTATTGATTGAGGATAGGATTAAGCGAGTTGTGACTTCTGTTAAATTAATTAAGAGTCCTTAAAGAAGAGGACAGATATAAAACAACGTACTAAACATCCAGGCGAGCTGCTATTACCGTTCGTGGAACAGCATCCGCCGCTCATCAGAATTCACCATGGAACTCTGTCCTGGAACAATCCTTTCATTTGCTGTCATGTACTATTCGTTCTCCACATATCTACCTCCGATTCTCGACATCATGTGTTCTTTAGTGTTCCTCATTTCTTCCGGCCTTCAGAACTCGAAGTTTTAACTTGCCTCATGATGTAATTTGTTGATTTGCTCAATGTATGTCCTACCCACCTCTAGCTTCTTACCCTAATTTCCTCCTCAAGTGAAGGTTGGTTATTTGTCTGTCACAGTAGGTTGTTGCTGATGATATCCGACCAACGGACTTGGATTATCTTGCATGGACAACTGTTTATAAATACTTGCACTTTTTTGATGATGGTCGACAAATTTCCCCGGCACTGATAATAGTGTGATATCTCTTTAATTCTCACACTAAAACCTCCCTCCTTTGGTATCCTTCCCGGTCTGTTGATACGTGTTTTTCCGTCGAAATCTTTCTGATGAGAGTGTGAAGCATGTTTGTAGTTACCTCTATGTCTGACTTAAGTGCTTCAGCTGGTGTGTTGTCTGTTCCTGCTGCTTTCTCATTCTTGATTTATCTGATGGATATGCTGATTTCTTCGATTATTGGCGGGATAGCATCTCCAGTAAGTTCTGTGGAGTGTATCGATGTCCAAGGTGTTCAGTCTGGTTTACTATTGTTTCCTGTTAGTTTTTTCGTTGTAATGTCAAGTTGTTTCATATTTCCTTCTCGTACAGTTTTTACCGCTGTCGTTGTTAAATCTTCCATAGAATTCCACTTCTCAACTTTAATACTCTTCTTCAATCGTTTGTTTGCTCCTGCGTATTCGGCCTTTGCCTGGGCTTTTTTTGTTCTTGTTCGATTGCTGTTTATTACTGTCTTTTTATTCTCTTTCTTGATTTGTGTCCATGGTTTCCATGTAGATCCATTATTCCAGTGCTTCTTGCAGTTCAACACCTGGCATGTTGAAGTTAATACTTCTTTGAACCCTTCCTCGTTGATCTCCATAGCGACCACCTTTCTAAGTATATGTTGTAAGGCTTAAAACTTGTTGCTGAAACCTATGTTGCATTGATTGAGTTTATCAGTATCTGGAAGGAAAACCGTATTAGATATTTGTAATGGTTGTGTAGTTGTCCAGATCTTTTTCAGTTTCAGCTTGGCCACCACCGTGTGGCGATCTGAAGCTATATCATTTTTTTATTTCCAGGTTCGTACGTCCTCTATGAAATCCATGTAACTTAGTGTATGCGTTTATACGGGAATATGATGCCATATATAATCATTTTGTCGAAGGCACGTAGATTTGCAAATCTCTCACCATTCTCATTCCTTTCTCTAAACACATATCGTCTCATGATATCTTCATACTTGATTGTGTCCAATCCAACCTCGGCGTTTAGGTCTTCCATCAGCATGGTCAGGTCATATCCCGTAGTCCTAGCAGTCTTCTAGTAAAATGTCACTGGGTCCTAGCGAAGTCATCCACCAGGCAGGTCAGTGAATGTCAAACTGCTTATTAATCTTCGTCCTGGTCGATGGCCACCAACATGGATCAACCAATGGCAAGCTATAAACTGACCCATGCACCAGTGGTCGCACTCTGTTTTCCAATCATATTTAACGAACTACTGTAAGCTATCTCTCTGGAATTCACATGATTACCACTGTTTCCGTAGATGAAACACATTTCTGATAGCAGTTTGTGTGTGTTGGTAGCATTACTGAATCCTATCACGGTTAAGCAATAATGAGGTCGAGAAAATCGCCCTGTAACTAAATAAACTGAATCAACCATAACAAACTAACTGGAACACTAGTTAGAATTCTTCCTCTCCTCAGCTATACTTTTTTTTCTTTCAGTTACTTTACTGATGCAATTTCAAAACATATCGGCATAAAGAATAACTGAATTCCTAACTTGAACCACAGGTAATAACAATATCAACATTTCCACAATATTTATTTTTCTTGTACTTATAGGCACAAAATACTTATACTGCCCATAAGTTAAGCTGCTAACCAACAGTTATCGATATGCATCTTAGCGTGACTTGTTAAAATATCTCTATATTAAATCATCCTTAATTACTATTATCCCTTTTTGCTTAACTCTTAAATAATCTTTACATGGATTTTAATTTTTAGCGGGTTAAGAATTAAACTAAACATTTTTAATGATGGTACTTATTTCCTGATGAGTCTCTGCCGCTTTCATCTTGATTTATCTTCCAGTTTATCAATACTTGTGAGCTTTTCATTATTATCGTGCTAATTTCAAGCGCACGACGATCACACTTGTCTTGGTGTCAACCGAGCATCATGTTGATTTTGGTGGGAAAGTGTAGTGTTCTTGGTTCATAACCACATGATCTTTGAGTCTGAATGTATAGTTACTAAGATGACTTAAACTCAACATATAACACAAAGAGGTCAAAAATGGTGAACGCGGAAAACTTAATTGAAATGGCACAACTAGGCTACCCAGGCGTGGCCACTATGCAACGTATTTCTTTTCAAATAAAATATATTGCTGTATTCTCAGTTCAAACATGTTCTTCAGAAGTGCCAAACACCATACTGCTTATTGGCACGTGGGGCGAGTAAGTATAGACAGTGATATGATTTCTACATAGGATCTTATAGATTAGGTAGTTACATCATGATAAATCTACAGTTTTGGGATTAGGTCTATTATTATAATGGCAAAGATAAATGTGCTAATACGGGCTTGGATCATAATTTCACAGGCTTACTGTCGCTATCATATGGCAGTATTAGGGCAGTACTACGGGTTTATGTTAAGCCACTCCTGTCCGTGGTTCTGGTACCTTTTCACACAGTGTGAAGAAGATGCCACCAGGGCTAAAAAAGAGAAGCATCAGACCCCACTGAAAGTAACGTATCAATCTCCATCAATATACTAAATTCACCCAACACATGCTCAACCAAACGCGTGACGATCGGCGCCACAACATGAGCTCGTATATAAACGAACTGAATAATAATTGCTAGTACCCCAGTATCTGTTAACAGTAAGAAAGAGTGGGTAAGAGTTGATAAGAGAAAATATTTTCATTATTATTATTCACAAACAGCTCATTGGTAAACAGTTGTTGTAAAGAAGATATCTTTTGTTTCTTCAGAGATGCAGTAATACACAAGTCTAAATAATATTAGCATGATATTTGCCATGTTTCGACAGGTTCTGTGGAATTGAGGAGAACATTCAGTTGGCTTCAAAGAAGGAAACGGGAAAAAACGAAGGACGTAAACGTAAAATGTGAAGGCAATTTAATAAACGTGTTTGTGAAAACGGATTAAGAGTAAGAGGCGATGTGCGTATTGCCAAATGAGTAAAAAAGGAAGAAAAAAAGGAAAATAAATAAACTAACTGCAAAATATGTCATTATCGCAGTAGGATTTTACGGTAGAATGCGAGTTTGTGCAGAAATAGTTCAGAATGACGCTATAAAAGTTTCACTTATTCGGAAAGGATAATCTAATGTCAATATGTATGAGTCATATATACGTGGTGAAGATTAAATGAATCTGAGAAGTTAATTTATTTAAGTGTACCGTGAGATAATCTGCTTTTAGTTATAGACTTTGGATGTTAAGGAATAATATATGTTTAGAAGGATAAGAAGAGATAAAAAGAATATCTAATGTGTCGAGGGGCCAGTAATGATATTAATAATAATAATAATTACAGATATGAACATAAGTAGACTTCACACATTATGAACAGAAAGGAAATAAAATAGACGTGAAATTCTTCAAAGGTTACATTTCGCTTTTCAGTCAATTAGATAGGTGACGGACCTTATTTGTATAAATCATTATTAAACACATTGATATTCAATAGGTGACACAATCCAATTTCAGAAAGAAAATCATCAAGGAGACTTCTGAACCGGGTTGTAGTTTCACTGCAGGGGAGGTTCACTGGCAGTCTGTTCCACATGATTGGGTAGCAAATAACGAAAAAATTCTGCCGTACGTTTGTGTGGGTTCTTGGAATCGCTAGGATGTTTTCCTTATTGAGTAGATTGTGGGATGATATCATAGGGTATGAAAGGGTAGATACCGAAGAATAGGAAATACCGTTAATAGGCTGGAAGATTTTAATTTAACACGTCTGATTCGGAGAAGTTCTAACTTGAGATATTGAAATCTTTGGTCGTAATCCCTGTTGCCTGAACATCTCAAAACAGCTTTAGTTAATCGCCTTTGAATTTTCAATTTTCATTAATTCATTACGCTTGCAATTGCTGTAAACTAGATTACTACATTCAAGAATGGACAATATACATTTTTTGTACAGTAATATTCTCGATCCGATGTTCTTGGGGCTTATCATTATGGATCCAAGGGGCTTTCTAGCGTCGGATACTTGAGATGCAATGTGCCATATCTCATATTCAAGTCACGAACAGTGATGAGAGGTTTAGGTGTACATTTGTGTAACCAGATTTAGGTTAGGGCAGTGGGTAACGTGAATAAATCACTTTTGTCAACATTCAGTGGTAGGTTCTAAGACAGTCCATTCGTATAACTTGTTTATTTCTTCTTGGATTATCGCTGATATATAGCTTTCTTTGGTAGGAGAAGAGAAGGAATAAACCGCTCTTAAGTCATTGGCAAAAAGGAAGGGTTTACCGTGTTAAAAGAGTGATCACACATCCTTATTCGTAAGGAGGAAGAGTGATGGACCAATCACACCTCCTAGTATAACCCCACTGGTTACATTCACAAGTTTCGAGCAGCAAGATTCAAAGCGATCGATTTGACTACGTTCTTCTAAAAAAGATTTGAGCCAAGATAAAATGGGAGTCTGTATGCCAAATGAAGAGAGACTTGGAAGAAGTTTGTGTGAGACACTGTCGAAAGCCTTACTAAAATCGAAGCAAGGAATTATCACTGACTGACCAACATCTCATTCCCTGGTAATTCGATCAACACATTTCAGGTGCAATGTGAAGTATGAGAGTTTAGTCATAAACCTGTGTTGGGATAGGTTAATCAGACTAGCTGAAATTAAAAATGATAATAGTTGTTTGTGGATGATTTGATTGCACGGATGTTAAAATAATGTGCCTATAGTTAGTAATATCACTACATGATCCCGTTTGGGATCCGGGGGGTGATAAGAGATGTTTTCCATACAGATGGATAGGCCCCATATTCCATAGATAGGTTGAAAAGTTTTAAATAAAAAAATTGGAATTCTCTACTACCATATTTCACAAACGATGAAGGAATCCTGTCTGGTCCATCATCATAAGACTTTGTCAGGGCAGCTATGGCCTGTTTGACGTTGTTGGGTGTGAAATCAATTTCGAATAGGCGTCTGGATGTCAACATTGAAATTATATCGATAGAGGTTTCAGTTTCAGTGTTGTATCATAGCAAGAAATGATAGCTGAATTGTGTATCAAGGTCGTCAACAAAGTTCTAAAAGTATTCTGGCCCTTATTGCAATACAAGCCACATGGCCAATAATTGGAGCAGTGCAATCAAGGCAATATATCAGGTTGTAGTATAGATAATTTTTGTGGTAAAATAAGTTTCACATGGTAAACACTGAATAAGAGTTTCAGTCCATTTCCTGGTTTGTTGATCAAAATGTCTGCTCTGGTACATCATTGAAGCTTTAGAGTTTAATTGTACGGCGTTTAAAGAATGAATAATACCCAATATAACTTTATGATCAATCATAAATAAGTCATGATTGATACGCACTGAGATAGAGCCGGTCTTAACTGTAAACATTAGATAAAGTTTATCATTCCTTCTAGTCAGCTTTCGGACTTCTTGGACCCATCCACAAAGTTCTCTTGTTTCAACTAACTTGTTTTATCGGCGTGGTACCTAAATCCAATCCCACATGGTCTTCGGTGTGTTAAAATCACCTCCGATGACTTTGGACGTATGCGGGTGGTGCAAAGAATGGAAAAATATGTTTGTTAACGATCTGTCAGAGTTAATAACCTCATGGAGTGAGCTGTTTATGCATCCCACCAGTAGATAATTTTGCGACCCACAATTTACGGTAATCCAAGTTGAGTCATCCATAGCATAAAGACATTGATTCTCAAATTTACATGCTTGAATGTTCAAAGGAACATCTATAATTGTACCACCTTCTATGTTATAGCGTCTATCGGTTCCAAAGTAAACTTAGCTATCTCCGTGTAAGGAATGATCAGATATGGATTATTTGCACCACGTTAAATATAATGGTTGGATTAAAAATTATTGAAAGGGTTTTTAATGAGTACGTTCATTGGATAGAGAGTAGGCATTGAATGAAAGAATAAGAAACTGAGAGGCATTATGATGTATCAGGTTAAGATATAGATCACCAGTATTAGTTCTATGAGTACGCTTGAAATCGGCTAGTGTAAGAATTGTGTTATGATGGGGACTAGATTCAACAATATTGTCAGCATTTGTAACATATTCATTGTCGGCAGCAGGGAAGCCGGCGCAAAAATGTCTCTGATTGTTACTGACTGTAATAGTCATGGTTTTCATCTTGAGGGCCAGACCAAGAAGGCTATCAGTTCTGTATATGCAACTAAGTAGCCGTTTACAATTCGAACTACTTCCTGTACCTGATATGTGTGTAGCATGTTCCAGATATTTATTTCCAAGGTTTTTGGTTTGTTTTAACTCCTTTGTAATTTGGGGCGAATCGAGTGTTATTAAACATTCTTGAGGTGATTCGCAGGGTTCAAATATATCGACGTCTAGTGCGTGGTCAGTTCGCAAGGTGAGGAGGAATTAGGCTACACTAGGCAAAATCAGAGACATGTGCTTTCGGTTTAATATGAAGATCATAGTCCCAGCTGAAACAAGGCTATCGCCTAACATTACGAATGGAATATTGAGGTTGCAAGTTATAACACTTTTCAGGTATGATGCACAAAACTGGAGGTGTAGTGGCGATATACTTTACCAGTCACTTCAAAGCCATAACATTACACAGTATCGAGTTACTCTAGGTTGCGGAATCATTCAGGTATGCCCTCACTTCTTATCACTAAGAATCGCCCACATATAAGATTCTCTCTCAGCCGAACTGACTACAGTCCCCTCAGTTGATGGCTTAAGAGGACACTTGACAAATAAATAATCGCCTATGGACTAAAGTTTCTCTCTTGTACCAGATGTGTCTAATGCAGGTCTCATAACTTATTACGGTTATCATTTCAGAATACCGGTAACTACCTCCTATCTCTCTTATTATCATTACCGTTCCACTCTTATTTCTTCATTTCTGTCTTCTTGTATATTATCAACTACTTGACTTATTTGTTGTTCTTAAGACGATGGTCTTCTTTTAGGACTCGAATTATCACTATTATTTTCACATTGCATTCAACCACCTTACCAGACTATCTACTGGTATCCAGAACCCATTTTGCCCTGGGACAAACACACTCACTCGAATTAAAAAATATATACGAATTCACAAACAACTGCCAAACTGATTGGGATTAACTTAGTCGAGTGGCCACACTATCACCCACCGGACATAACCAGATAACTAGGACCGCACCAAAATTACAAGAAGAGAGCATGGAGAAATCAGTTGATTTATGAGTATCACGATCAAAATTCTACACTGTTGACATTTTGGTTCGATTTTCAGGCTGTCCTAATTCCAAGTTCACGTTATTTCTGACTGCTTTCAATTGCTTTCGTTTTGAAATGTAACTGAATTCTGTGTGCTTACAGACTCATTGGCTCAGTTTTCCCCATGTTTTTTCTTCAAACAGACCCACTCATCCAAATACCACTCCACTACACAAAATATCCTCAGGTCAAACTCAAACTTACCAATGACTGGACGTAACAACATAAGCTAAGGACAAAGATATTGGATATTGGAAGGGCGGTATTTGAAAAAATGAGGCGGAAGCGGCGTTCCGATTCGTTTGATGAAGATGGTATTTCTGAAACTTCGACTTACTTAGTTCTGATGAAGACTTTAGATCAAAAAGAGACAGGACAGAACCAGATACGATTGAATCTCTCATATATCGAATAGGGTTCAAAGTACTATATTTTTTGATGCTCATGAACTTCCTAGGACCTTTCTAATATAGAACGGGATATTGGAGAACTCGCGTCAGTTATTCTAGCAGATATCCCAAAGAATGGAGAGGGCCTTTTGAAAGTTCTGAGCAATTGGTATTTTCCGATTTACTTATGATCCTTTTAGTGTAAAGAATGTTCCAGAACGAATACTGATTTACGCAACGTTAGTTGGGTTGCTGAATCTAAAAAATCGATCGTTTGTCGGCCAAGTATGTATCACATATTGGTAAAAACAATTCTTTAGTTGATAGAACTTCTACAGCGGGACCTGAAGGATGCTATTAGATCGGCGAGTTTTGAGGATGCTAAATATATAGTATATGATGTGGTTTTGCTTTCATTACTTGTCTAGGTTTTGTTCTTGTCAGTATCTGTTAACTGTCATACTGTTCAGAAAGCATCCATTCTCGGTCTGTACGAAAATTTTGCTGAAGTCACTCTTGATGCAGGACGAAGTTCTCAGGCTCGAACTGATTGGTACACATACGTGATTCTTTACGGTCTACCATACGTAAGTAAAGCATATCAATCTCTAACTCAGTTTTCACTTGTTGCCTTTGACATCCTTGTATTCGTATATATATCAGGTATTTTTTTAATCTATATTTAGTCTGCAGTTCAAGAACACTTGCGACTAGGGATCTGTCAGCCTTTCTTAGTAACTAGTGAATATAGTCGTGAGTGCATACAAAATTAGTTTTGTTTCCATTTGTTACCTCAAGTTGTTGCAGTTGTCATTTACATAGGAATGATCTGACTTATCGTTTGCTGTAGTTTACTTATTCACAGGTTTATTAAATGATTACCGTTTATGCATTACAGTTCAACACTGTCCCTATGTCATACACAGATATACTTTTAAAATGGCAAGTATAAAAGTATCTGAATGTCTTCATACGGGTAGCGGTAGACTAAGTCATGTACATTTGTTAAATGTCTCCGAACGTATACACTTAATCGCGGATGAAGAATCACTGTCTTCTCGGTGGAAGGCTTTAAAAAACAACAGCTTTTGAAACTAGTATCCTTTGGTATGTTTGATGACATTAGATTTTAGTGTGCATATTTCCTAGACACATTCTGCCTTCCCACAAGGAAGGCTGGGGTTAGAAAAGGTCGACCCTAAAAATGAAGACTTCGCCTCGCCCCACGGATTTCCGTCTCTGGCGGTAAGGCCCTGACAAGTACTGAGCTAAAGCGGAAACTACTCACAAAAAGGTCGTATTCGACCGACCTCAAACAGTTGTCTCTTGGGTACTGCGGTCACATTCTCAGGTCACTAAGGCCACCTTTAAGCCAACTTCTTTTTCACGTAATTCTAGAAGAACCCTTCCATGGTGTGGGCAATCGGGAAGTGATAACTGCTTCCATACCTCTAACAACACTCAAGATCACTTTATTCATAATTAATTTTCTTCTTCAACTGCTATTATTCCTTCTACCTCGATTTCCAACTCTAAACTTCCTCTTTTGACTTCCTTTTTAAGTGTCACCACGGCCAACGATTCTAGTTCGGAAAGCATTGTCCCAGATCTACTGAAACCCCGCTCCAAAATATACACTGGAGCCTTCAACGTACGCACTTTATATCAAATCGGCTAGCAGGCCTCCTTAATTAAAGCCCTAGAATCTCGTACTATTGTTGTATGCTGTGTCTCCAAAACACCCAGACAGCATCCTAGTGTGGTTATTCGCTCGACCTCATCTCGCCAAAACAGAAAGCCGACGATACACCCTCTGTGCATCTGGCGACCCGATGGCTAGTTCTCGTGGACTGGTAAGTGTGGGAATAGCACTAAGTACGAGGACAGAACAAGCACTATTAGAATGGATACCTGTTAGCAGTCGCCAATGTGCTGTCCGACTAGACTGCTCCGTAAGAACTCGGAAGGATAGGGATTTACGTCGTTGCCTTTTCGTCATTTCTGCCTACGCAGTTCGAATGAAGTGGAAGATTTTTACAGAAGGCTTCCTAAACTTCTTCAAAGAGCTTTACGTTCAGACATAGTACTCGTAGAAGATGACTTTAATTCTCAGATAGGTAACTTAAACCAAACAGGAAGACATTTAGGTGGGCATTTTGGTATTCCGGCTCAGTGAACAGATAATGGTGACCGTTTGCTGCAGCTCTGCTTCGACCGTCGTTTATGTTTAGCAAACACTAATTTTAGTATAAGGAGATACATCGTCTAACATGGCGAACCCCTGCACCAAACCAACGATGGACTCAAATAGATCATATTGCCGTAAGTCATCGTTGGAGAGGGTCGATAAAAGACTGCTGCGCGTTCTGGAATACATGTTTAGGCTCTGATCATGCTCTAATGCGAGCACGTATTTGCTTGCGCCTCACTGGATTCAGAAGAACCACATTAAGAAGGCCCATTAGAGTTGAACTCAGTGACAAGAAAAACAAAAGTATATTCCAGGAACAACTAAGGCTACACTTAGGCAGTTCTAAAAACGAGACTAACCCAGATGTTGCTTGGAATGATATATGAACAGCTGTGGAAACAGCGGTGACATCTATTAGTGATTCGAACCAAAAAGTCATGACAAACCAGTGGATTTCTGTTAAGTCTTTTGCACTAATATATTCTCATAAACTCATTCCATCAGGCTCTGAACACGATAAAGAGCTAAAACAAATCAGATCTAGGTTAACCAAAAGTCTAAGAAACGACTGTGAGTAGTGATGGGCAACGAAAGCAAAAGAAATGGAAAAGACAGCTGCTGTAAGTAACACCAGGCAGCTTTTCAGACTAATAAAAGAAATTGGAATTAAGAAGTCAAGTGTAAGTGAAACAATCTCGGAAAAAGACGACACTTATCTCAGCCCAAACGTCTATTACGATGGGCAGAACACATTAAGTAGCAGTTCAGCTGGCCTTCGGATACTCTACAACTACTCACTAATCCCAGACCGCCTGAATGGAACATTGAAATAGGTACCCTGACTTTAGCTGAAGTTCAAAAAGCCATAGCTAACCTGAAACGAGGAACAGCAGCTGGTCCAGATGGATTGGGTACAGAGGTGTTCAAGTATGATGGTTCAGTTTTAGCGATCAGATTGACTAACATTTTAGCTATAATCTGGGAGTTGGACTTAATCCTATCTGATTGATCGCAATCACTGGTTGTCACAATATATAAGAGAGGGTCAAAATCATCCTGTGACAACCATAGAGGGATTGGTTTAACTAATATAGTATCTAAATTACTAGCCTCGATAATTATCGGACGCCTAACTAAGACTCGTGAACCGCAAACACGAGAGAATCAAACTGGCTTCAGACCTGGTCGTGGCTGCATCGACCACATATTCACCATTTGTCAAGTTCTAGAACACAGGCATACTTATCGGCGTCCAGCTATGGTGGTCTTTCTTGACTTAAAAGCAGCATTTGACTCGGTAGACCGCGAGATTCTGTGGCAGTGTCTGTCATTGAAAGGCGTACCTCAGAAGTACATAAACCTTGTGAAAGCTCTTTACTAGAACACCACTAGTCGAGTCAGAGCTTATGGCGAACTGTCATCTGCTTTCGCAACCTCAAGTGGTGTCCGTCAAGGCTGTCCACTTTCTCCATTTTTGTTTAACTTCATCATAGACCTACTGCTGAAAATAACTGGATTATCGAGAACTGATCTCCCACCAAGGAGTCCAATTATCGACTTTGAGTACGCAGATGATATTGTCCTGTTTGGTAAAGTCGTTGATAAAATGCAGTCTTTTGGTAGTACTGAGCAACAATGCCAGAATGTTTGGGATGCGTTTCTCCTCCTCTGAATGCAAATTGTTGCTTCAAGACTGGTCTGCATCAATTCCTGAACTAAGGATCAGAGTGAAGTAATCGAACGTGTCGACAACTTCACTTATCTTGGAAGTCTGAGCAGCCCTAATGGGTCAATGTCTGACGAGGTCCCTGCACGAATTCAAAAAGCTGATTTGGCTATTGCCAACCCATATCACTTATGACGAAAACGAGATATCTGTCTATCAATTAAGAAGCGAGTATACTGCTCAGCAGTTGGTTCTGTTCTAATTTACAGCTGTAAAACGTGGCCATTAAGAGTAGAAGATACTCGTGAGTTACTAGTATTTGACTACAGATGCCTTAGAAATATGACTTACATCTGCTGGGATCACTGGATAAGTAATAGTGAGGTTAAACACAGGGTATTAGGGAGTGATGGTAAGTCAGTCGATAAGGTCGTGAACCATCATCGACTGAAATGGTTGGGCTACATGTTACGTATGCCTGAACATCGAATACCATGGCGTGCAATATTGACTAGTGTTGGAGATAGTTGGAAGAAAGTTAGGGGTGATCAAACGAAAACGTGGCATCAGTCATTGAAGTCATTAATTTTTGGTCTGAGCCATGTTGGTAGATGCAGACTACGTGGTTGGGGTCCGCACAACTATCATGACCAATGGCTAGAGACTGTGGGTGGCATGTCTCGGAATCGATCACAATGGCGTAGGTGTATACATTCTCTGTCTTCTCTCAAATAATGAGATTAAAATCGCTTCATATCTTTCTTTCTACGAACTAATTCTTTCTTCCTGTACTATATTTATTTTTATTTACTTATTTATTTGAACACAAATATTGGTACAAGAATGCGCCACACACTATATCCTTATTTCAATCTTTCTTTTATATATTACCACCTCTGAATTAACTACTTTTATGAATCCGGTGTCCATCTTGTTGTGTTAATGAGGTATGGCAACTTGGACCGATGCATATATTTGCCTGGTCCTACGTTGTAGCTGACTGACTGACTATTTATACATATTACTACCACTGAAGTAACTTTATATGAATCTGGTGTTCACCATGTGCTGATGAGGTGTGGCAACGTGGACCGATGCATATATGTGCCTCGTTCTACATTGTAGCTGACTGCTGACTTTAATCAGAGATAAATGTCTAGAATGTTAGTTTATTATTGTATTCGACAATACACCTTTACTTGTATCCAGCTTGCAAAATTATTACGTACGTAATCATTCACATTTTAGCTACATTACTTTGTTTATGTAACAGAAATAGTTGGATGTATATTTCCTCTAATCTATGATTTGTTTGTACCCTTTCAGAGTGGTTACTTGCTAGCTTCTTATGACGCTTCAGCATTAAACGATATATTAGGTACAATTGAAGTTTACATGACGTAAGTTTGTTTTGTTTGTACTGAAATAAAATATGCGGTCTATACAACGTTTCTGTATACAGATTTGTGTTCTTTGGTGTTATGATGATCATTCGCTGCCCTCAAAGTGTGTTAACTGATTTCCTATGTTGTCATTACCGTTCCTCATATACTAACAAGTGTATGGCAAGTTTTCCTTGGATTGCTAAGTTGTCTCCAAGTTTGCCGAATCCAGACTTTTAAACATCGATCGTCTGTTACAACAACACTTAATCCAATATAAATAAAGTATGCCAAGTAGAATTCAGTCATAGTGATCCAGATTTTCTCAGTCATTTAATAATGAGACGTTTCAAGGGTATTCTGGATATCTTTTCGAATGCAAACAAGAATGTTAAAATATTTCACTTCGAATACCACAAAGATTTCCATAAGAATGATTTTGTCTGAAATTGTTAGATTTGCTTTAGCAAACAATGACAAAAACGTTCAAAATGTATGGTTTACGAATCATGCTGAAATGTTTCTGTAAATTGAACAGATTCTTTTTTTTCTGTGGACTCTCAAACCCATGTTGAACGTTAATGTACGAATTTATGACATCAGATTCCCGGCGAAATTTGTAGCTTAAGCGGGAAATATTGATTCGAATTGTTTTTAAATTAGGGAAATCTGTAATTTATGAAGTATAGGCTTATGAGCCCAATTTTATGCTTATTTTATTAGGGGGCCACACCCGGCGCTTTTGACCTAAAGGTTTGGTCTATTAGGCAATGGAACAACGTCAGAAGATGCAGTCCCATGGTAGCAGGTGACCAACAATAGGTTCATACGTCATCGGTTCCTTCAGGATACTGGAGCCCATGTGCACCATTGGTTCGAAGTCAGAGTTTCCCGACTCCCCTAGGTGGACTCCGTATCCACCAACCTGGTTAAAGCGCCAGACATTCGCTTCTCGTCCTCTCAATTTCGTAAATAACGCCCTCGCCACGAGAAGACAATGAGTAGGACTTCCCTGGCAGCGGCTGTATACGCCTGGCTACGTGAGAGTATTTCGAAGAGAACTGACTCTACCCACCCTCGGCCGTACCAGGGCATTGATGTACATATCAAACAACAATAGCATCACATTATTTATTTATTTGAACACATAAATATTGGTACAAAAACATGATAAACTGTCTACTTGTGAAAAAAATAGCATCACATAAGATTATAGATAATATTAGTTACGCTTTGTAAGGTATTTATGGTATTATTTTACCCACCAATAGTTTTCACGCAAACGTTTGTCTGTGGATCGAATTCACATAAAATCAAAGTGATAGACGTTTAAAAAATAATCCATTTAGTCAAGTCAGTTAATTATAGCTATCAATCAACCAAATGTCCTATATTTTTAAGAAATTTCCCATCAATTTTTATCTCTTGTTTGGTTTGTTCACCAAAAACAATGTCTTGATAATGTTCCTTTCGAAATGTTCATTATTGTGGCACTTAGTTGGTACATCATATGATCTCTTTGGTATTCTGTAATATCGTCATCCTGAATGTTATTTATTACATTAACTGAAACATTTAATATACTTAATTAGTCCTCAATGATAGACTGCTAACTTCCTAAGAATTTTAATTATATTTTAGTAAACGCCAGTGCCCCCATGTCTCATTATTACGCGTTTGGGAGTCAAATGATCCTCACCCACAAGAAGATGTAAGTAAAGCTTTACTGTGAAGACATTGTCTCGTTATTGTGAAAGTATTTTATTCAACTTTAACTGATTGCTCAATACAGTTCAACTAATATCTGTGTAATATTTCAGTTTGTTGACTTTTAATATATTCACTCTTTTCAAATACTGAATGACACTAACCTATACAGTATTTTAAAACTGCATCACTACATTGTCTGTTAATATTTCTTAAGGTAACCGTCAAACTTCTTGTTATGACTTTGTATGTCTGGTTTTTCTATCGCACGACTTATCTACCAATCCGAATACGACTTATACCAATCTTCACACTAGGCCAACCAATGACGTTCAACCGGTGTGGGCAGTTTAGTGTCCTTATTGGTCCTATGTCCTATGAGCCCTCCCACTTGAGTCCAGAACAAGATACCAGCTTCCGAATCAGAGCAGATCGTTTATTTCAGGCATACTTGGTTTATATATCAATCACACAGACCGCAACGTACCATAAAATAGGAAATAATATTTAGACACAAATATACCCAAAAAGTGGCTGTGAATGTGGGAGGCTGTAGTTAATAAACTGAACATAACTTAAGAACCGTAAATCGTACAATAATAAATTATAGGCCAAAATAAAGCTTGTCATAAGAGGGATATAAATATACATAATGTAATTGTTGAATAGTTATACAATAAGAATATTTATAGAATATTAGTCCATGAATAGTCCTCGGAAGTTACCTGTAATTTAATCTCCACTCGGATATAACACTTCTCGATTCAGGTTTGCTAAATGTAAAAATGTTTGATTTACTGCTCAGTTTTTATCAGTCTCAGTTTTTCCAGTAGCATATTGCTACAAATACTAGACTGTCAAGTAGTATTACGGTCGAATATCAAAGATCTTTACAGAAACAGTTCATTCTTTATAACGTCTCGGTGACTGAGGTTGCTTACAACGTCTTGAGTTCGTAATAAAGCAGCATACTTTTAATGACCTTTTACTTCCTGCTGTAACCTTGGATACTACTGTAGACACTGTGACCGGTATCCGCTACCCGTACGCGAGATAAATAAAAACTTGAAAACTGGTGCAGATGGACATTATTATTGACTTTTCAAAACCACTTCAACCGCTGTAGATAATACACATACATGAATCGATTTCACAGACACACTTGATGATTAGTTAATAAGTAGCACATATTTGGGAAATACACATTTACTACAAAAACATATGCAAGTTATGTTAAGTTGAAGTAAGTTCAAATGAAATTAATACAAAACATATTTCACTGAAATAAAACTAATGTTATATTGCATAAACTATCACACTGAATTAAAGCAGAAGTAATATTAAAAAATGGCTTGTTTTTTCTCGTCCTGACCCTGATTAAAATTTCGACAGCATTACACTTCCAAGATAATTTACTAATGGACATTGGATTCGATAATTTCATCTATTTTTGTGATAATATTGAGTCTTCTTAGTTTAATTTGCCCTTTCAGAGTATTCTTGCTGGTCAGTTCCTTCTTTTATCTTTTCATTCCAGTATCTGGATTGTTTGTGGGCTCAAATATGCAATCTCCGAAATAGTGGTTGGGTGGAAAAAGTAACTTGGAGATTATATGACTCTTTTCCTAGCTTAAAAGAACATGGTCAGCCGCATAAATTATCACCTGTAAGTTAAGTTTCCATGACGATTCCCTCAAATTTTGACTCTTGTCGCCATTGCTACTATCATTCACGCAATTTTTCACGTTTCTAATTTATTGGTAGAGAATACTTTGATGGTTTCTTTTTTTGTAGCTCACACCTCCTGATTATGATGCGGAGGTTATTTATCCTCTTCCGTCTGTGGTTTTTCGAATGTTTGACTATACTGATGTAATAGATCAAGATGAAAACGAGATTGTTCCTAATTCAGATTTATCATCAGATGGAGTTAAATCTAATAAAGAAACTCCTGTCCTTCCGGGAGCACATACTATCGAACGATTCCTTATTGATGAACATTTGGCAATTTTGATGAATAATTTAAGTTTCAACAGAGTTATGTGGTAAGTAAACTAATCTAATTTTTTTCATCATTTTGGCTACCGTTAAAAACTTTGGCTAACTCACATTTGTACTAAGCTCTTCGTCGATTATGAGTGACTAACAGTTAGCAAGCATAAACTATGTAAGGATTTATTTCGCAACTTATTACCATTGAAGTTTTAATTAGTAATATGGACTGCTTGTATATTACGTACTACAATGTATACTGGTATGAAAACATATGTAAATGTTAGGGACAGCAAGATTTAGATCATTAAGTATATTTACATGGCAACTGACTGTACAGTATTTTGCTAGAATATAAAGAAAACCAATAAGTATTTTACTGGGTTATTTATTTATTTAACCGATGCAATGATGCAGTGTTTCATTACCTTTTTGTTTGAACTAGTGAAATGTTTTGGTTGTTATATCTGTCCATCAGATTTTCTGAAATAAACAACTATCAGGAAAAAAATTGGTGACCTAAATTCAGCTTCTATGGTAGCAAAAGGGCTTGTTTTTAAGCGTTTTTCCAATTTCAAATGATCTTGAAAAAAATATTCTTGTGCAGTGATATCTTGAATTTTTCCAACTTGTTTGTAGACTTAATGTAAGAAAACCACTTTCAGTTTTAAATAAAATTTTGTTTTACTTAGGTGTTAGTAATCGCACCTTTATATATACTTCATGTACCTTATCTTTTTTAATATTCTCAGGTTTATTCCTATACTTTATCAATACCTTCGGTTTTTTTAGTGCTAAGGCTCTGTTGGGACTCAAAACTCGAGCCAAAGTAGCTTTAGATTACATGATCATTGAAGCTGTTTTTGCTGGAATGTTTCACTTACCTCGTCCACCAGTTCAACATGGGAATCTTCTGTTTTATGGGAGTTTACTAGTACAGTTATGCCATGAAGCTAGTAATACAATTCCTCTGGTGTTAGCTCAAGCCACTGAAGTCCTATTTGAGCGTTTAGATAATATGAAACCTGTTTGTATTGGCAGGTAGGACTACATTTGATTATGATTTCATGTTAAGATTTATTGTCATATCTGTGATTGACTGACTAATGTGATAAAAGTCACATACATTGTTTATCTTCCTAAAATTAACATTTATGTTTAAACTTATAGTGATGCGAGTTTCCCCTGTTAACCACTATTGCCACTCTTAGTGTTGCTTCGTTACTGATTATTTTTCTAAACATCCAACTGTATATTTTAACAACAACAAAGCACTTTAGATACACTGTTATGCAAATGTTCTCATTGACACGTTGTTAATCCGACCTTTTACAACCATTCCAATATTACTACAGCACCAAAGATATAACCCTGATTGTCATAAGTCACTCTGGCTTTCGCTGTACGTACATTGATCTCATCATTAACAGCACCAATAACATTCACACAACTACCCAGACACGCGGACTTTTTGACTACTTCTAACAGCTCACTACGAAGAGTGAGTGCAGCCACAGGCTCCTGTCAGTCTTGTAAAAGTACTTTGGATTTATAAGGTGTAAAGTATATACTATATTGTCACTAATTGTCAACTAAGTGCGATTTATGAAGCTGATGTATCACAACATAAGAAAATATCATTTGCATACTCAAGATCAAAAATTTTCCTCAAGATAACAGATCCCCATCACTACTCCGTACTTCAATCAGAGCTGTTTCTAAAATGTTATTGATGACAACGTTGAGGAGGAATATTAAGATTGGGAAAACCTGCTTAACCCTGCTGCTAAAAAGAAACACTGAAGGGGAGTAATTGTGTGTACTGTCTTCATGATGTTAATAAATTTCTTAGGGATGCCCTTCCCCATCATTGATTGTCATTCCATCTTCACAGATTGATTCAATTACGTCAGACTTCGTGACTTTAATATCTTGGATGAGTTGAAACATCTTCAGGGATTAACTAAATCTAACTGTTGCTTCCAAAAAACTCCAGATTTCTCGGTCCGTTAGCAAACTACACAGTTAATGACGTATCTGTTTATCATCTAACTCGCGATTAGGCAATGTTGACCCACTTGCTAGCAAAAATTGTAAGGAATCTGCAGAAACACAGTGCTCACAATTGTACCGTTTCATGAAGTTGCAAAAGACTTGACTCACCATTTTGATGGGGTCATGCAAACGTAACCAGTCCTTATCCATACTGCGGGTGAATAGCTAGCCTTGAATCTAACTTGGTTTGATATTTGAGTGAGACAGAAACTCCAACCGATTTGCTTACATTAATTCTTTTACAACGATTGGTTTATGGGCTAATAAGACATAAGATTAAATTCACGTGGTGTTGTTTTACTTGGATCTTCCCATTGTTATTTAGGACAGCAATTGATCAGTCTCACATTGGCATATGTGCATCCTGTGCAGATTGCCTCAATATAGCATTAAGTCACAAGCTTTTTAAGCAAAGATGAATAGTGGCTAGCATTGGAACCCAAGACGTGCGTTTCGTTCTATTTGGGACGGTCAGTGTTATCTTATCTGCAATCAGCGAGTCTACAGTGGACACTAACAGCTGTCCTCTTTGCACGGACACTCGACCTGTACATTCTAATCTCCGAGTAGCACTATAATGTCTGTCGCATGCGTTCTCCTGAGGTCGTTCAAATGATGGTACCACTTATCCTTGGTTTATTTGGGTCAATAACCTGTCGGGGGATAGGCGGAGATTACGGAAAGACATTGTTCCCCATATAGTTTTCCTCGCATTTCGATGGAGCTTTATTATATAGCAGCACATAAATGACTGTTAATAAGCATACAGTTGAATAATGCTAGTGTTCTGGTGCTTAGCAAAATACCAACGCCCAACTATCCTGGACGAATATTTAACAGGGTCCCTGTACTCAATATATATTTATATGTAGGTTGGGACACTGCCTAGGGCACCCAATGATATGCAGGTGGTTTTCTTAAGGGGTTATTCGACAACTGAACAAGGTTAGGAGATGCAATCTATGTCAACCGCTGGTTAAAGATATGTTCATTTGTCATTCATCCCTTTAGGATCCTGGAGCTCATGAGTACCATTCGTTTGTAATCAGTTTTAATTTAGGGTAGGTCCTTCGTATCCACCAACCCAGCAAGAGCCGGGCTTTCGCTTTTCGACTGCCCACCTCCGTAAACAAAAGCCCTACGGCTGGTCTGCAGTGAGTAGGAAGACTTTTCTATCAGTGGCTGTAAACGCGTGACCATATAAAAGGATTTTGAGAGAGAGAGAGGAATCTCCACCTTCCTCCCTACCAGGACTGGTTTGATATCCTGGAATTATGAGAAAAATATTGTTGATATTCTATTTGTAAGAGATAGGACCGTAAAAGACTTGTATTCGCTAGTTAGGCGAACATGATACTAAGCTCTACATCGGAAAGCGATGATTTAGTAGTTGAAGCCCTTGGCTTGAGACTACCAAGTTACTGGTTCGAGCTCCACTTCACCTACTTCGCTTAGAATAGTCGGTCGAATATCACCATTCCTAACACATTAAGAAATATGTGGCTCAAAATCCAAATCGTTTTGTTTGACAATTGGACTTCTCCTACTAATAAAACTCGAATCTAACACTAGTAGATTGCAAACCAAATGTTTTATTCACTAAACTGTTGCTTTATCCAGTTGAAATATCAGTACTGCTTCAACACCCTTTTACTTCAGACATTTAAATTATTATTATTACTGTTATCCTGTAGGTTTATTGAATGGTTTTCATATCATTTAAGTAATTATCAATTGCAATGGAGTTGGAAAGAGTGGTCCTCATCTCTAACTCTAGATCCGATGTCTCCACAAAAACGTTTAATTACCGAAACATTATGTCGATTAATACGGTGAGTATATTTCTGTATGACGTGTTCTTAGACAGGATTGCCATTATTATTATTATTATTGCAATGGTTTGATAACACACTAAACCACATATTTGGTACACTCAATGACTACATCATATCGAAATAGTATAAAGACTTAATGTTAATTTTACTAAGAGTAAGTTAAACTGTAAAATTTATCCGCAAAATTAAAAATCTCTGTTACATTTAAGTAAATCCATATATATATATATATATATATATATATATATATATATATATATATATATGTATATATATATATATATATATATATATATATATATATATATATATAGTTAGTCGATAAAACCAAGAGATGATTTATTACCACTATACTGTATTCTTGCTAATATTTCGATGTGTACTAATCTGCAAGTTGGAAAACATGGTACTATATGTAGTCATGTTTCTAAAATTTCAAAACTGTATAACAAAATTGCAGATTAGATAGGACAGAGTTGTTGAATTGTTTATGATTATAGTCGTAATATAGAAACAATATTCATGTTAATGTAAGCTATCACATGATTGTTCGTTACTTCAAATGTAATTACTGTGTAAAGATGAAAAATCATTTGATAAAATTATGAATCTTCATGGGTTAAGATGATTGAGCACATGTGCTACGTATATCGGAGCACCTCTTACGTCAACCTATAGTCCTGTCTGATGTAGGAGTAGGTGGGTTTAGAGAAACTGCTAAAGGCATTCAACCCAAAACATATCTATTAGTCTGTGAAATTATTGACGTTGATAGGTGCAAACTACTTTGCTAGGATCCAAACAATAGTCGAAATCAATAATTGTAGATCTTAAGTGTCATTCATGTTTTTCTGTTTTCTCGAAAATTCCGAATTTCGAGATTATTTCACATTTTGATCGTGCGAATTCATTCTTTCTTTTCCAGCCCCGTATTCTGTATTTTTAGCCCATTTTTCGTATTGTTACTATTACCTTTATTAATCCGACTCCTTTACTGCTCACTTGTTCAACTAATCTGATTTTACTTATTCGGTATGGTAATTTTGGATCAGTGCACATCTGTACTAAGGGCTTTTTCTGTACATTTACAGCTAGTTATCATCTTGTATTTTACATTTTTGTTTTAGTTTTTCATACTACGAGAACGTCAAACGTTTACTTCCGAAATCTTTTTATATAATGTTACCACCTCAACCTACGGTAATCAATAAATATGAAAGTAATCCAGGTAATTAATATTTGAATCCTTAGGATGTAGTGTTAGCTGTATCAGCACCATAACTACGCAGGCTTGTTTTTTTGAACTGGTTAAAGGCTCAACAGTGGTGAATTTTAAATGTGCCATTGTTAATCCTATTAATCCTCTTGTACCTATTCTCGCATAAAATTAATCGTTAACCTCTATGTATGTGCATCTTTAATATATGTGTTTGCTTTTTTATCTATTTACAAATTAGCTTTTTTAAAGTATGTATACTCATTAAAAAATATATAGGTTGATTTATGTGTCAAATTCACAAACCACATAATTCATTCCTTCATTCAATTTTTTCTCGTCACTGGTTTTATCTACAGAGTACCCAGTCTGAAATACATATATTCCCAACACATTTCATATATGACTTAATATCACTTTGTCTAGCTAATATGATGGCACAACGGAATCAGTTTAAGTAAACAACGAAATAAATCGGAGATCGATTAACGTTCGAGTCAGATGCACTCCCAAAGAACTATCTTTTAATAACATAGGTATTTTTAATTAATTGAAATATCAATATGACAAGTAATGTCAGTAAGTTGTTATTATTTGTTCGTTTATACACTTCTGAACCCACTTTGTAGTTTGGCTATTTTATAAAGGGATTCTAATTCCTAAGCCGTTCAATCTCTTGTCACCCAAAAACCTTATTCAAGATTTTGCTTATTAAAATAGATAACTGACAACTGCATGTGAAGAGTCTCAAAATCTGTTTGGATTTAAAAACAAGGATAAAATTGACTGTGCAACGTACACGCAGTTTTTCTTCAAACAGGAAGTTTTATACATAGAAGCATGTCTCTTTATAAACACATCATTTTAACTCCAACACATAAATGTAGATTTAAATAATTTATTTAATCTTGTTATCACGATATAGAATTGTGACTTTGTAATTTTAGATAACTGATTCCAATTATCTATTATCAGATTTGAATTCCATCCCACTTACACAGTTTCGGTAATCGAATAGTTTTGATAATTATCGTACTTCGTTTAAGCTCGTGATATTTAGTGTACAAACCAACACAGCCGCTTTACGTATGTTGTCAGTCTTATGCGTTTAATAAAGAGATTTATAAAAGCTTATGGGATAAAAATCTTAATTTGGAAATCTTGTTGAATGATACAAACTGTATTGCCTGTTTTGCTTCATATGGAATCATGTATGGTTTAAGTAGTTCTTTTACAGTGATTTCCTCTAGTTTATGTTCCTTCACTATTTTCCATTATAGATTTGTCTTCTGCACGTGCATTCTTTCGTCTAGTGGATTCTATCCGAGCACGCCTTGAACCCCAAACCGTCTTAAGAATAGCTGAAACTGCCTCACATAGTCGTGGTCGGCGTCTTTCACTATCAGAACCATTCGATAATGATGGGGTAAGAGATGAAAAAGATGAAGATGCATCTAGTGATGATAGTCACTCTGATCATAGTGATGAGGAGCGTCGTGGAAAAAGCCCCATTGATACCATTCCTCTCTCAGATCCTGAGTTTGATGACTTGGATGATCCTGAGCCTGCTAAACAAGAAACTCGTGCTCGTCTTAAAGCGCGTCGACGAATGTTACGGGAGAGTGCAATGAAACGTAATTTAAAAATATCATCAGAAGGTAATGCCGATGAACAGGTCGGCGTAAGAAGTGATTCTATCGAAAAATTGCCATTTACCACAGGAGCTCAAGTGTCTGAACTTTCTCCTGGAGTGACAAATTTAGCTATTGAATTATTTTATTCTGCTATGTTGATCGCTGGTCATAAAACAATCAGTCACACATTTGCGTTCATAAAAAAGTTAGTTTCCAAACTGCGTTATTTTGGATTTCTCAACACACCTTCCATACTTTTTCCAGTTAATGTTTAATTTTGAAGATAACCCTCACTTGAGAGCTCATTTAGAATAGTTGTCTGTTGTGAACCTATCACGTTAAAACTGATAAAGTAGAGGAATCAGACTATTCGTTTCAGTCTGAATATCAAGATAAATGGGCAATTCAGCTTGAAGGTATATAGGGTAGGGATTGCGAAACTTGGATTCAGATAAATCCAAATGTTAACCTTCGAATGAGGATCAGTCGTATGTGTTCACAAAGACTAAACATCGTTTATACTGGACATCGGTCGGTAGAAGTCAATCAGATTAAAGAAACTCAAATCATACACTGGATTGCTATGTAGTAGAATACGACCGACCAGAGTTTACCTGAGATTTCAGTTAAAGCTGTTTCAGCTTCATTGGGTTTTTTTCGAAGCTTTGCTGGATGGTGTTGTCTAAACTAATTTCAGAAGGTTTACATTTCGAAATTCAATTTTATAGTATCCTAATATAAAGAAAGGGAGATTCACAACGCGATATTGGCATACCTTCTCATTCCCATTTGTTTTGTGTTTAATGTTTAGGTATGCTGCTGTCATCCGGACTCTTACATCTACTGTTGAAACTCAAGTAGAAGCTTTACATGTAATTCAAGCGGTTTGGGCTAATAATCCACAAATGATTGTCATTATTACAGAACATATGTGTCGTGTTGGTTTGATTGATCCGGAAGCGGTTGTTCGATGGGCATATTCACCTATAATGACAACGTTAACAGATGATACAGTCAATTTGAACTCTGCTAATGCTCGTCCAAAAATTTTGGAGTAAGACAATTCATATATATATATATATATATATATATATATATATATATATTATTGAGCTTTTTATTTGTAGAAGAATGCTTACTGTTCTTTACAGCATTCTTCAACGTTAGTTATTTGTGTATAATTGCGTTGACTAAGGGGATACCTTAAAATCTAGCACTCTCTCAATGTTTTCAAAATGATTTTTGTGAAACCAGGTTATGACCATGGCATTTTCCGCTACTTATAAGCCAGTGAATACAGAAGGTTTATAACTAGTCATCTATATTCTAATGAGAACTACGTCCCTTACAAAAATGTTCACTCAAGGGGGATCAATTTACATTCAACTCATTAAATAATGATTGCGCTTATAAACGATTTTGCATATTTCTGACTGTCTTTTTTCCTTTGATTATGGATTTGAAAAGAGCCAAGTGATAATCAGTGACTGAAGTCATGTGGCATACTTATTCGGCCGCATAGGTGTAGTTTGTGCATTAAACTAACTAGTTGAATTCCCATATTCAGTTGATTCCGTAGTTTTTAACTTTCTCCAGAAACTTTTGGATCTCATTACATATTTCTTAACAGTTAAATCTGAAAAATATTGGCGCCAATTTATTTTCACATTTAAGTGGGACGGGTTCGACCCCTGCTCTACTTGCCTCAGGATCTGGACAACGGGATCACTTTTTAGCCTCCATACACTAACTGTGATTGGAAGCCTGGAAAATAAATGTGTGCTCGATTATTTATCGTGTATAAATGATACACTGGCACCCAAAGCTATTGATGAGTACTTGATTCGAATCTCATTGTGAAAACTATCACCGAGATGCAGGTGCATTCAGCTGACTAGTTCAGAACCAGACTAAACGGATGCCTCAAATTCTACCGTCACCCACTATCTTGATCAATTTTTAGCTACGGGCGGTATTAAGTCATTTGCTCGAGAAGCCCATATTGGCTTTAGTGTGGCGATTCCTCTTAATGTAACACTAGGTTAGCAGAAGGTTAAGAGCTATCAATACAAGTCATGGCATCCGCCTATGTGGTCATTAAGTGTTGCTTTGAGCAGTGTTTATAGACCCAGACTACCGGCTTAAAGTCTGCGTGATTATCATAACCAATGGTTGGAAATGTTGGGTGATATGGCTCCGAATCAGTCGCCATGACGCGGGTTCATTCAACACCCGATATCTTGAGTTTTAAGATTATCTTATACCCCGGATCAGATTGTTTATGCTTGTTCTTTCCTACTGTCAGTGATATTACTACTGTATCATTTTTCTTGACCATTCAATTTCGCTGTGCTAATATGGTGTGGCAACTTAAACTCAGCCAGTCACAACGTAGAAACTTTAAGTATGTACATCGGCTCAACTTGCCGTACCCCATTAACACAAAGAGATGAATTTGTCACGTTAAATCCGAGAATAGTAGAGGCAGTAACAGTGTCAGTGATAATAGGAAAGATTAGGCATCAAAGATACGATCCAAAAAGAAAATATAAATTAGTAAAATAAAAACAAAAAAAGTTGTGAGGGATTTAGAATCTCAGGATTTGAAGGAAGACAAAGAATGGATGCACTTGTGTCATTACAAACGATTTTGAACCATTAGTTACGAAATCACACGGACCGCAACCAAGTAGTCTACATCTATCAACGTCGATCAGTCTGATTATTAGTGACTTTATGAACTGTTGCCAAGTTTTGGTTCAACAGTCCCTAGCTTTTTTCTAGTTCAATCCTGCACCACACAACATTGTCCATCAAGGTAGGCAATTGTTGGAAATATGTAGCACATATTCCGGCCACCTCAGTTGACGAAGATTTAGTACCTCATCAACTGAGTTCCTATTTTTACCTAGTACCCTATTCCCAACACAGGTATTCCTTACTCCGTTGTCCCGAAATTCACTAGCAATGCTTCGAGAACACCTATGATTGAATAACAGTAATCTACAAATGTCCTCCACTGTACGTGGTTATGTTTTTCATAGATAAAAATGAACGGAGTGAACTGCTGCGTAGTAAATTTGTCCTTTGGTTGGTAGATGGATATCTCGCCTACTCCACGAAAGGCGATCGAGATTTCATCGGACGCCAGCCTATCAGGACTGATGACACTCAAGAAATGTGAAACGGTCGATGCGTTCACTAATCCTGAAGATGACGGAAGGTAATCCTGATGTTACATTTTACATTTGGAGAAAGAGAAACTCATCCCAAACACGCTTTCATTGTTGCTTGATGTGGTCAGAAGGCTGCATTTTGTCATCATTTCTAAACAGAACTATATCGTCTACGTATTCTAAGTCAAGAAGTGATTCTTCGCATAGAAGATCGATCCCCGAAAACTTAGACGATGAAAGTGTTATTTTTAAAAGTATGTTTATTCCAAAGTTAAATAACAATAGAGAAAGCAGACATTCGTGATGAACATTTGGAATTATCAACTCTGATGACAGTTTGTCATAAGTTTTGACCCGAGAAGAGAGCCTGCACAAAGTTAGTGTAATCGTTTGGTTAACTTCCAGTAACAAACACTAGTAAAGGACCTCACGATCAACAGAGTCAAATGTTCCTTAAGGTCAAAGAATACAATTATTGTCGGACGTCGAAAATTATGTTTATTTTCCAGAACCTTCCGAAGGGTGAATATTTAGTTTAAACATCCACGTCCAGATGTCGAAGTATTATTGAGGCTTATATTTTAGACCCTTTATTAGTTAAACTAATTCCCCCGTTACTGTCACATGATTTTTTGTCCTATCTTATAGATTGGGACGATCAGTGATCGAGACCAATCACGTGGAATTGCGTTCAGTTCCCAGACCGTAGCTAAGATTTCAGTTAATCTAAGTGCTAAAACTGGACCACCTTGAAAATATAAAGGGTTAATCCACTAGGCGTTCCTGGCCTCCCTCGCTTTAGATTGCCCATAGCCTTCTCAGTCTCACTAAGACCTGTGGGACGTAGATCAATTTACTACTATGGTTACTTAGAGGTGGTAACTGAAGGTCAGTTGAACTATTTCCTAGAGTATTCTGCTCACAAGTTCAATCTAGTGGATTGAAAATGGATAACAGTCTCATTTTTCGTGATAAATCTGGACAGCTGTCTACTATTACTTATTGTTGCTGCCTTTCCCGTCTGATTTGCTTTGCCTATCCACCACTGCTCACGATCATTACGTAGACTTTTGATCAGCCTACGTCTAAGCTGCCTCTGCTCATCATTGTGTTCCAACTCAAACAGGATGAGTTTTCAACCATCTATCAGTTCTGTAGACAACAATGAAATCAACTGATTCCCCCTAACTTTTCGGTTTAAGTTACTAGTAGATATCACTGCTGTTTTCATAGCTTTTTGGATATTATACCAAGCTTCTTCTGAGTGGATATCATTTTCACAGTTGACTAACTCGAGTTGTTCTCGAAATATATTCCTAACGTTTTCATCGTTAAGTTAAACTAAGGAATTTTCTTTCCGCGGTTTTTCTACGTCCAGTAAGACGCAGACAAATATGTGCTCAAACTGAACCGTGATCTGAGTCTGAACGACAGCATTTCATCGAGCGCCTCTAATTATAGCTGATGGCACTGTGGCCTATTTGTGTCCATCGATGAGTCGATTGTAGAGGTTGCCTCATCAAGCAATGTTTCTCCTTCTTTTTAAAGTTGTTGTTTGCCAGAAATAGACGGTTATCTGAGTGTAATTGCAATACATGGTCGTTATTGTCAGTTCGTTGAGCCGCAACACCGTAAGATCCGTCCATGTACCTTTCATTTTGGTTTAGTTTACTTGAGCATTAGAATCACCTGTCACTATTACTACATCAGTGTTTAGTTTTTTGAAAGAGGTTGGATAGCTTCCTATAAAACTCATTTAATTTCGTTCGAGCTGCAATCAATGAGTGTGTAGGCCAAAAAATGAAGAGTCAACTGTATGTGTCCCTATCTTTCCGAGATTTCACTATCCCGTTTAGTCAAACAGCGCACAGGCATCTGTTTTTTAAAATGCAGTGTGACAGGGCCTGCTTTGCTTTGGAACTTGATGCTATACCTACACTAGCGAGGTCACAGGAATTAGCAGTGAAGTCTCCAGATACTCAAAGGGTAAATTGTGCCGGTTCTGTATGTTGACAAGATGAGGTCAAATAAGTGGCCGCACGTGGATCCTGTGTGTGCTCTTCGGAGACGTAGCATACATCGATGGAGCGAGTTTTTAGAGTCAGACATTCTACAGTGCTTATAGCTAACCGATTATGGTTAAAAGATGACTTTATGATGGTTCTCATCTGCTTTTTATACTTGACATTTCATCTGAATTACTTACCAAACACTATATGCCTACAGCGTAAAAAATATCTGGGGATAAAAATTATTTTATTTGTTGAGCCACCCATTATTGTTACTGAAGAGTATGCTTTTTTCTAAACGCTTGACTCTTTCTGAAGTTTTATCTTCTGCATAACTGATTCTTAGTAAAATAATAGTCTGATAATTCACTGCTTCGTTATAAAGTAATCAACCATTAGTAAGTTGTCGTTCATTCATTCTAGTCAGTTACATTACAGCAAATTTTTGTAGTCAGCGATCACTTTTCTCGTAAAACATTACTTTGCTTTAACTAAAGCTGTTTCAGTGGAACACCACCAGACACAAAGATATGTGTGGATTAGCAGAAAGATATTTTTCGAGAGTGAGATGTATGGAATTCTTTGCTACATAATCGAAAAGATAACAATCTTACAGTCTCTTCTATGCAAAGCTTTATAATATAATGTTTTTGTTACTTATTTCTAATCCGAACGAGTAACTCACTTATTAATATTATTACTATTTAGCTTTTACGTTTGGGAGTGCTTAAGTCGAACTCTTGTTCGTGTCGGTAGGCGAGTTACTCGAATTACAAGTAGACTAGAACTGGCAAAAGAAACGATGGAAATTAACAGGCGTTCTGTAAGTTGTTGCTCATGTTAATTGTTTCGTGTTTCTTACTTTGTTAATATTGCTGGTCGATAACTTGGACCTATGCGTATGCAGTGTTTTCTAGAACAGTTTTATCGCTGATAGTATCTCGTAACTCCACTCTGTTCACGCCACAACGTAAACCATACATTCTGGGTATTTCATTGTTTTTGTCTGTCCACTTTTGTCATTGGGCACTTTTACCATCATGTGTATTTTTGTCTGTCAGTATTAATCACCTGATTTTCATATTATCTTTTTAACTACCCATGTTTCTTGCATGTTACGTTATAATTTTGCTCCAAAACGATAAACCCAGTTATTCATCACTGAACATCCACAAATGGAGCGACTCATTAATATTATTCAATATCAAAATTACTATCAATCCCTTGATACAAAGTAAAATAACCAGTTTTGTTGTCTTTTTGAATGTTTTTCAAAGACGGTGGATCAGATCTTCGAATAAGTATTAGACATCAAGCACTGTTCCATCAAATCAGTCTCAAAAACATGGCACTGTTGACGGAATGGTTAGTTTCCGTAAAAGCCAAGTCATCATCAATATTCTGCACCTAGCACAATGTTCGTAATCCTGCGTTTGATATTCACCTTTTAATTAGAAACTAAAGCACAGAGCTAAGCGTCGTTCAAGATGGCACATAGAACGTACATACTGTAACACCATCCGAACCCAGTATCAGCATTCTTTCGCAAAAGTAGTTACTTCTAAGTACTTTTTTCATTTCTTTCCTTTTAAATCATATTAATTCAAAATATTGTTTCCTCTTTAGATTCTTAGGCAAGTTTAGTTAACTTTGCCATCTTGAGAGATAAGCGGTTGTCATGATCTTGAAGCTTTTATCTAAGTATGTAGGTCTTCATTTATAATTTTGTTTCCGTGCCAAACATGTACTAGTTTCTTCAAGTTAACAATAAATGTATTATTTTGTTTTTCGATCTTGTTAAGTCTCCTTATTCGACTCCTGATCGTGAAGACGCTGACCAGGGAGGAGATGGTGATAGCTTTCCACGGACTGGAGTCGACAGTGATTCATTCTTCAAGAAACCGAAAGATTCCATTTCTGGGAGAATTAAAGTCAGTGACCGACGAAAACTTATGGCAGGCTGTGAACTGGTTTCTTCGTCTGACGATGAGGCTTATGGTGGAGGAAAGGATAATGTTGGTGGTCGAGTAGCCAGACTAGAAGAAGCCAGGTGTGAAGCAGTTCGTAGTCAATGTGCTGTCATTACACTTCTTCTGCATCGTCATGCTAGACTTACTGCTGAACTTGCATCTGAAATGTCTGGATCTACTCAGAACCATTCATTCAATACGGATTCTCCATTTTTCTTACATGAACCAACTCAACCGAAAAGTTTGTCTGACGAAGCTTTACGAAATATAATGTTCTGGTTAAAAGGTCGTTTAGTACAAGTGGTTCTTGAGGTAAGTCTTATTTTACGTTGCCTTTATTTTATTCCTGCTCATAAAATCGAATATTATTCTGGTCGTGATTTGCAAGTGTTTGTCGACATGTAAGATGTTAGATAGTAGCTTTATTCATATATGAGTTTCCGCTGAATTATATGAATAACCTAATCATGTATGCGTAAAATAAAACCACAATATTTTGATGCAACGTCTCACAACTGTTCTACGATTGTAGAAACTTTAATTACTATGTAGTAGTTCATGTTTGTCCATTGTTCGTAGATCAGTGACGACTTATGTATATGGTATATTGAAATTAGTGTACATGTATTCAGTAAATGTTTACATCTAACACTTTTTATAGCTCCATAACTTCATTACTCTCTCCACTTGAGGTCTCAGAGACTGATCTTTTCAAATCACTTTCTGGCTTTACAAAAATAGTGGCACCAAAATTAGCATTGGAAACGCCTTTTCAATCCAGTTACTGATAAAATAAGTGTACAGTGTATTAATTAGCTTATCAAATTACGTGTACATTTTACACTTTATAGCTGTTTTTTAAAACCTGATAAAAGTTATGTTCCCAACTTATTTTCACAGCATTGCGATCAATTAATACCTTATCTGGATAACCTTGATGAATTTATCTGTGGAGCTCATCCTGAAGTTCAAGGCGTGTTCCAACAGCTTCGTTCATTGTACGCATAGCAATCTCATTTTGATACCTTCTTTATGAGGAAGTCAACTTGTGTGTACTTCAATTCGTTATGTACACTTTTTATCCAAGGATTGTAGAGTATTTTGTAACATATGGTTCTCATCGTTTACCTCCCGAAAACTAAGTTTTCTTATTTTCAGTTTCGGTGTGTCGAATTTACTCTAAGCAATAACTTAAGATTTCTCTGGGAGAAATATTCTTGAAACATCGTTTTGTACTGTTTAAATACTTGCATTTCTAGTTGTCCATGTTGTGAAGAAGTATTATGGCTTTTTAGCCTGAACGTTTTGTTTTCGCTAGTGTAGGGTCATTAACATCCATTCAGACGATTTGGGACCGTCGACTTAGCAGCATAATACAACTGAGTCGTTGACTTTGTGATTTTCAACACATTAAGTAACAGTCTATTCATAACTTAAAACGATTTCGCTCGTACGCAAGTGTTTGTAATAGTTGGTGTTCTTGCGGAAGTGTCCTATGGTTATTTTCTGGATAGTTACTAGTATTTGACTGCTAGATGTGTTGCTTTTTACAGTTAATATAGGTGATTGTTTATCAAACTATGTGACCTCTGAGTTCCATTCAATTGCACAAATTGCCACCAGTATGTTGCATCGATTAGGTGTACTTTCTATCGTTGTTAGTTGTCCATTCGGAACTAACGTCATCAGTTCGATATGTTCCTGATGTTTTTCTGCTTATTTGAAGCTACTCCAGGGTTAGTGAAGTTGCCTGAGTGGGTTCAAAGACTACCGATGAGTACTCAATAATCATCCGATGAACAACCCCACACATGACCTTCTGTACGTTAATGTTAGGTCCAAAAGCTAAAACGATGTTAAGTACATACATGTAACTTACTTTTGAAAACTGATTGGAATATTGTTTTCCGAATACTATTAAATCAGAAGTAGCGTTTAAAGGCAAGGTCTCATATTGTGAGTAATAAAAAACATGAAAATGAAGCCTATTAAAAAGACTTCCCATCTAGGAAGGACCAGAGTTAGTAATGGTAGTGTTTAACAATTATTTAAATGATATGAAGACCAATGGACTTTTACGTTTGGGCAAGTCTGATGTACATATGATAGGAGACAAAATCATAATTTAGAATTACATATTGCAAATTCATTCAACAATCAAACAGTTTTCACATACGAAGTTGGTTTTTATTGACATATAAGACTTGGTGTCATAATGTTACCTTCCCTACACATCTTTTCATGTGTGCGAAGGCTTAAGAAGTTATTTTAATTTAAACATCCTGAATAATGAGCACTGCCTGTATCGCTATTACTAACTCATGAATATTAAGAGGGATTGTACAACTTATGTATTTCAGTGGGGGTAGGTACTTAACCGACAAAATTCTCCAGTAGCGATCACTGTGGCTCTCCTGACCTACGGTTTGTTTAAGGGTATACAACATGGGGAACCACCCACCATATGTACTCAAGGCCCTGAAAGGTTGGCACCCAATGGTTTTCTGTTAAAATTTCGCCTTCTTCATGTTAGTTGTGTAGCGGTAAATAAATTTCCGCAATAAATTGTTCTGTAAGCCTTCAACACTTGATAATGACCTCATTAGTTTTGATAAACGCAACTACATGGAGGTGCTCGTTTACACGTCTTCTGCAACTGTTAGCCAGCTTAGACTATATGCCTCCCGATATATTGATAACCTTACATATATATCATTTCTGATTTGATTGGGTTGGTATACTCCGATTATAAAGATGTTACGTGTAAAGGCGTTGTCAATCTCCGAATACCTGTGATATCCTTAACTAAGGGCGTTTCCGTCTTTGAAGCACCTTTAGGTAGTCGATCTGGTTAAGTATAAACATCCTAGTTACTGATATCGTGTACTAGTTATGGTGCATTGCTCTTGCCTATTCATTACTAAGATTTGCCAGGTTAGGTTCTTTCCATCAAATGGTTTATCCAACTCTGCAACAATTGTAGATTTGGTATTCACTTTGAGCCGGATCATTTGACTCATTTCCACTTTATATGAATAACTTAGGAGAAAATCTGAAATATTTGATTCTCTAGGGTGTGTCTTGCACACCAACCGCGGCAGATTGTAGACAGTACTAATCACTTATCAGTCAGTACACTATCATACGAAATAGACCTGTTTATAATCGTATAGAGAAACTTTGGAATCAAGGTCTTAGTAAACAGAAGTTACCAGAGGAACTAGCGACAGATGCAAAGTACAGAATGCTCTAAATCGAAATGCCTATTGGCTTATAATTGTCTGCTTGACTTTAAACGTTGTGTGGTCAGGCGCGGTAACCATGTAGTTGTGCTGACAGTGGAATCACACTGACCAAGGGGTCACTCATTCTCAGTGCACCCTGTCTGGGTTTTTGCCTAGAAATAGTGGGTGAGAAGGGAAAGGTCAAAGAAGGCTGACTTCGGAGTGACTGTGCCGCTTATCCATGCATGTCTGGTCACTGTGTGTACTTCTTTATACCAAATATCACATTCAGTTACTAAGGTTGCATTCGTTATTCGAAAGTGACATCCCTAACTGCCACGATAAGGTCAGTCAGCAATGAAAATGATGTGAATGACGCTAGTTCATATAGATTAGACAGCTATATCATGACCATTCAACAATATTATGTTAAATGTGTTTCCCTAGTGGCACAAACTACCTCAATAATATCAATGGTGCTTCTTAGTTTTAAGTACTTTCATCTCCAACTGCTTGTAGAATTTACAAAGATTAGTGGGGATTTGACACAGCCTAACTGAGTAACTAATTATCGTAAACCCTGTAACGTTTGTAGTATTTTGGTCGTGCTTGTAAAGTGGGATGCCTCTCGTGATATGTTGTTATATAAAAATAAATTGATATTATTATAAACGTTGGGGTTGGTAAGACTTATAATATAAGACTGAAATCGAATTAGTCGGCCTATTCATCTTGTTTAAATACTGGAATCAGTCTGCTATGTTTTACTGGAATCATGTAGCTAGTGAACTTACACAACGTTACTCTGAAGACAAGTCATCCTATGAGTGCGAGGTCTGAGATATCCTAAGCTGGTGAGCACGATATATTCTTCTCTAATGAAGTCTAGAATAAGATAAGACCTGAAAAAGTAGTTAGACATTTGTCTTAAATCGGCCGTCATGAAATCAGAGGAAAATTGTTTTCGTATTTGTCCATCCAAATGGCCTGAGTGGGGAACACTACTACCCTCAGATATGCCTACTATGATTTCAAAATGCACGAACTGACTAGAAGTAGTTCAGTCCAGTGGTTGAACTACCTTACACCAAACGTCAACAAAGACCAGAAACCATACTAATGCAACAAAGTTGAACACAAAGAAACCAGTTTACACAATATGGTTACGAAGACATCGGATGTTAGGACATTTCTTAGGCAAGCTAACATGCTTAAGTGTATACATAATTATTAGTCTCATTGGATAAAATTGCGTGAGTTGGATGGACGTAGGAGTAACTTCAAAATTTTTAAAACTGGAAGATTTTTGTCAAGGGATATGATGTATTGAATCATTATATTGATTGGTCTAACCAGCAGTTTTACGTGACATCTTGTCAGTATTGTTTTACCAGTGGATCAACTTGCTGTAATTGTGGGGTAGACAGATCCCTGTACAATTTTTCCTTCACTAGTTCTGGTTTGGCGGTTAGGCATGATTAGTTGAGTTGTATCTCATCTCCTATAAGCATGTCGATATTTCAACCGTGACGATCTGTTTAACTTAGCAAACACCTGAGCACGGTTTGAATGTTAGATCCTTCCGAATGTGCCCGCTCTTTCGTTTCAACGACCTTGAACAACCTGACTAGAGGCGGTCATTCCGTATTTCAATTGCCGTAGGTTGGTTGGATTGCATGAGTATCAAGTTTTTTCGGCTGCAATAAAACGCAACTCAATTTCGTAAATGTGCCCTTCAGCTTAGCAACCAATCAGAATGGGGCGGGAATTATTTTATCCGCCATCTTTGTAAGCAATGGCTGTCGGCTTTCTTCGTTCTGTGCTTCTTTCCCAAGCTGCCAGCTTTTGGGGAAATCCACAAAGTGACCCCCCCCCCCAATGTTTGGGTAAAATCCCTTAAATGTTCGTAGCGCATTTTTGCACACTAACGTTTCATCTACATAATATAAATAAGCCTTAAAGTAGTAAATCTGAATAAATAAATTTACATTTTAATGCAATACAGACTTTTGGTGAGGGATAGTCTATCGAATTTCAGATCTTGTTTTAATACATCAACTAACAGACAGGAGACAAAGAGTTGTCGGTTGTAAACAACTTCTTCAAAATTCGAAAGCTATGCAGGTGAGTTATTAGCAATGCAGGTCGAAAAATTTGGTTTCTGTCTATGTTCAGTCTTACTTAAGTCAGTTATTTCTTTCAGAATAATAATAGACAGGTCGATAAGATTTCGAGAAGGCGCGAAATACCTGAGGTTGTTTGGCTTTTCCCGAGCAACCTATTACAGAAGGTTGAGGAAGTTAAAAGCACAGTTCATAAAGAATTGTCAGTTACCGAGTTGTGACGAAGAAATAGACAATCCAGTTGTCGTCACAGAATCGCTTACTACCGCAACTACAGAGCAGTGGGCTAATATTGTCACAGATACAGCTGCTGCTCCATGTAGTTACGTCCAGATAACACAAGCAGCGGTAGTATCTCTTTTATTATTAGGAATTTATAGGTTGTGTGATGTCAGAAATGTCTCCAGCCGTTCATCTTTCGATGAAAGAACAGTTAGATAGAATGGTCATTGAAATGATGAAAGGTGGTTACATAAGCATAAAGAAGGCTGACCAAATATTGGACGTTTTTCGTGCGCGGTATCCAGAACTTCCAACATCCGTCCGGAGTGTTCTACGTCGATGCAACGACGTGTGAGCCTAAGATCCTCGATTCTGGAACGTATTACCACTTGGGTTTGAAATCAAGTCTTTTGAGAATTTTGGGACATTTGCTATGGCAAATCCGTTTCACAGAACTGAAGTTGCAGTTAAACTACGATGGTCTAAGCTTGTTTAAAAGCTCTAAGCAATAGCTCTGGCCCATCTTAGGTCGCATAGTAGCTCCACTAGTTAGTAGCATTTTCAT